CGCGCGTTTCTCAGATCCCCTGCATTCCTGAGAAATGGTTTCAGACCTCACAGCGTCCGCGCGTTTCTCAGATCCCCTGCACTCCTGAGAAATGGTTTTGGCATAGGGCAGTCTTTCCTCATCCCTGTGAATATGGGGAAAAGTTTCCGTTGCCTGCTGTTTGTAGCTAGCTTGCAGCCCGCCTGCAGCGAGCCAGGGTGCACAGAGCAAGATCAGTGTGGAGCCAGTGGCAGCAACATATTTTCTTTCATGAATCACTGTGCATTCTTAAAAAGAGAGAGGAAACACACTTTTTCATCATGCTGTGGATAGGTCTTTTTTGTTATTAGGGAAGACTTGTTTGAATTCTAACTTAAGAAACTTTGGACATGTCATTCAGTTGTTTGATTTTTTAATGTTTCTTCTCCTTGATTCGTTCAAAGCTTCTGTCACATGTAAGGTCAGAGCATGTGACTAATTCCTTGGCTCTGAGCCGTGTGTGGGCAGCCCATCTTTGCTGTTTACTAGTCAGCCCTCATTCCCACCTTCAAAATTACCTTTCTTTAAGCCACTGATCTCTTTCTGTCTCTCCTGTCTTCCCGTTTTAAGTTCTTTCTTTATACTTCTTGGTCTGGAAGAGAACCCTGTCGCTCTTGTTGCACGAGCGCAGGCTCACGGTGGGTGGGCTGGGGTGAGTACCAGTTGCCCACTGGGGTCTTGGGGTCCCCGGAGACCGTGGTGCCAGTGCTCCTGTTCTCTGCCCCAGGCCCTCTTTGTCTTCTGTGGCCTCCTCACGTGCTGCTACTGCTGCTGCTGCCTGTGCTGCTGCTTCAACTGCTGCTGCGGCAAGTGCAAGCCCAAGGCGCCCGAGGGCGAGGAGACCGAGTTCTACGTGTCCCCTGAGGACCTGGAGGCACAGCTGCAGTCTGATGAGAGGGGTGAGTGCCGGCCCCAGGCCCTGGTGTGTGCGTGGGGCAGAGCCAGAACGGGCCCTGAATGGTGTCAACCTGTCTTGTCAAACAGGAGGGCACTGACACTGTGCCGGGAGTGTTTGTGGTGGCAGCTGGGACTGTTGAGGTGTGAACGTGGACACTTGAGGTAAAAGCAGACGCAGAGGCTGTCCCCACCCGCGAACTGTGGTAGCCGTAGTTCCAAGGGACCAAGTAGCTGGGGAGGGGCCAAGGGCTGGCGGTGACCTAAGGCGACTGAGGAAGGTTGTGTCGGGCGGAGGTCAGCAGATAGCCTCTCTCCTTCGAGCACTTGTCCTACGACCTCTGACCCCAGTAGAGCAGCGGCCAGGCGACCGAGCGTTGTTACACAAGGACGGTGTTGCTGGGGGGCCGCATGGTTGTTCGTGAGACCTGGTGTCAAGGCTGCTGTCCCTACAGTGAGCATGCGTGTGCTTGCTTTTCAGAGGCCACGGACACGCCAATTGTCATCCAGCCAGCATCTGCCACAGAGACCACTCAGCTCACGGCCGACTCCCACCCCAGCTACCACACCGATGGGTTCAATTAAGTTCAGAAGAAGCTGCGATTAGAGGATAAATCAGCACCCGGCCGCTTCCACCTTAGAATCATGAACTGTGTCACAGAGATGAGGGGAGCCGCTCTGGCCAGGAGGAAGGGCAGCCGCCGACCTGCCACGGCCGCGCTGAGGCCCCTCCCGCCTCTGTGCCCGCCCATCCGTCGATCCCTGATCCATGAAGTGCGTAGCATGCAGTATTTAAAGCAGTTTAGCTACGGTCTTCTTCTGTTTTTCCTTTTTTAATAGCATGTCTGGGGTTCTGTTCCGTGTCTGTGTTGTGGATGTGTGCTGCGTGACCGCATCAGCCGGACGGTGGGGCCCCTCGGGCTCTCGGTCAGGTGGCGCAGGGGATGGGCCACAGCTGCGTGGTGCCTCCTGGCCAGGCCGGAGGGGCTCCCCCGTTCCCCTGCGCTTGTGGGCACAGAGGCGGGTGCTGCCTGGTGGGAGCTGCGGAGCCTGGTCCCGCTCTGTCTCGCCTGCTGTGTGGCCGCAGGCAGGGCCTCCGGACTCCCCTGCTGGGAAGGAGCAGGCACATCCTCCCAGTGCCAGTGCCACTGGCATTTCCGTGGTGTTCGTGTCGAGGACAGTTTGCAGGGTCTGGCCCTGCTTGCTGCGCCTTGTGGCAGGGTTTCTCCTGCGGGCGAGTTTGTTGTGGGAAATGCAGGAGCGCCCTGGTCCCGAGACCACATTCTATGCCTGTGTCCAGCCTGGGTCTCCGTGTTGCACAGACCTGAGCCTCCTGTCCTTCTAGTGTGTTCCCTTGCCAGGGGTGGGGTTGGGTTTCCTCTGTCCCGCACCCCCCAGGCCACAGGCTGGGCTGCCAGGCCACATTCCAGCAGTCCCCTCCCCTCCCTGCCTCCTCCTCCACATTCCTTCAGGCCCCCCTGGCCTCTTTATAACCCTTTTTGGATCTCTAAGAACCACACATGGCAGCAGCGGCCCAGTTAGCGTAGCCAGAGGGGCTGAGAGTCCAGGTCACTGGTGGCACGTGGCGGCACAGCCCGAAGCACGCACAGTGAGCGCAGCCCTCCTCTCTCTGCTGCCCAGAGCCCCACCCACCCGCCTCCCTTCACCTGCCCCCTTTGGCCAGCCGTCGATGGTTCAGGCAAAGCTGGAGGCGTTGGGTTCCTGGAAGAAGGGCCATGTTGACCGAAGGCACACTGTGGCCTTGGAGGGTCAGTCCCAGGGAACCCTGTGCCCTTTGGCTTGTTAGCCAGCAGCGAGAAAGCTCCTTCACCTCTGTCTCAAGCCGCATCTTTTGTGAATTGTGGGAAGTCAGTCTTTCTTGTCAGTGTCCCAGACCTTGTGGGTGGTGCCCCGCTGAGAGGGACTGAGGAAACATGGGTTACGCTGTGCCCTGCTGGACCTGCGGCAGGAGAGCCATGTGGCTCAGATGGGCCTGGTTTCTGCAGAGCAACCCTGACGGCTGTTGCTGGGAGTCTCCTGAACTTCCAGGAGGGATGAAGAACGAGGAGGGGAAGGCTGCATGAGTGGCCCTTCTCTGGCTCAGACAGACCAGAACATATTCCCAAAGCCCACTGTTTTCCCCAACCGTCTGCTGACGCACGGCCCCAGCTCCCCCGCCGCCCTTGCCTGCCCCCGAGGGCCGTGCAGAGAGTAGGTTCGTGTTGGCTAGGAAGTGTCTGGAAGGAACAGCAGTATCAGGCAGAGTATGCGTCTCCTGGAAAGCCGTGCTGATATGAAGGCCCCTGGCCGGCTCTGGCAGAGCCACTTCAGTGCCAGGACCCCCAGCCGACCTCTCGTGCAGGCCAGCACCAGGTCCTTGGGCAGTTTTTTGGTCCCCTTTTGCTTTGTTTTTTTCTCATTAAAATGATCATGCAGATGTTCAGTGAGATGGAAGATACACACTATGATATTAAATCAGAAATAACTTGCTAAAATCAGATCTCTCATAAAAGGATAAGAAATTCGTCGTTTGACTCAGCGTGGAACAAGGGAGGAGGCAAGACAATGGGTGATCTGTGCCAGTCCCAGACAGCAGCAAGGGTTCAGCCTGAGAGGCAGGCCGCAGTCACCTTTGTGATGTCTCTGGAAAGAGGAAGTGAGTAGTTTCTCCCCAGAATGGCCAAGAACCAAGTTCAAAGCTTAGACTTAAGGTAGAAAGCCACCCCTTCTGTGGTGGCTGTGGTGTCACAGGGGCCTGGCCTCAGCCCAGCCAGGCCCCTCTGTGGGGTCTTCAGGGGACCCCTGCAGCTCTGGGCTCGCCACGGGTGTCAAAGTGAGTGTCAGTTACAGAATCTTATGGATCACTTCCTAGAAACACGAAGCTCCCCTGGAGGCCCGGGGTGGCCTGGAAAAGAGGCAGGTCTGGAAGTCGTTGGACCCAGTCTCTTGTAGAATTTGTAAAAACTAAAGTCCTGACAGTGATGGTAATCCTCAAGGTGATGGTGAAGAGTGCACCAGGCTGGGCACTCAGGAGCCAGATGTGACCTCAGGCTTCCCCCTGACCCAAAGGCTTCTCCCCTTTGTGATTCAGAGGTAGAGCCCCTTCCAGGGCTTTACTGCCCGCCCTTCCAGGCCCCTGTCTTGATGCAGGACAGGGATGCCCTGGACACATTTCCCTTTTTCTTGGTGGTCTGTCTGTTTCCCTGGTGAGCAGAGGGGTTGAGTCTGGAGGGACACCCCCGTTTGTGTGCTAAGTTGGGGATGACCCTCTGCCTCCTGTAGCAGTGACAGGAGCACCTCGGCCCTCACTCTAGGGTTGCCCAGGCCCGGGGTCATGTGTGGCCAGTGCTGGTGTCATCTAATGTGAGTGGCCAGAGAAGTGCTGGGGTCAGTGCACACCGGAGCCTATCCCATTTCACAAAGGGCAGTGCTTGCCCCACAGGCACCCAGAGCAGTGTCTGGCGGCAAGCAGGAAGTGTGAGAGAGGAATGCCAGGCATCTGATGGGAGCACTGGTGTGTAGATTTCTGTTTCTGGGTGACGTGGTCTTCTCTCGTCTTCCTTTGGCTTTATTATGTTTTCAGACTGCTTTAGGTCTTACCGCTCAGCGTGTGAGCCTTCCTAGTTCTCTGTCAGTCACTGCAGCCAGCACCTGCTAGAACCTGTTAGAGTAAGAAGCCAGGTGCGTGCTATGGTTGGAGCAGGTGGCGTCTCCACTCTGTGGGCCTCTGGGCTTGGCCACAAGGCTCCTGCTCAGGGAAAGGCCCTGCTAGGATCATTCCTGCATGTCCTAACTGCGGGTTGTTCCAGGTGAGCTCATGCTGGAGGAACACCCACTGGGGCAGCTGGTGGTCTGGGAGGCCAAGGGGCCTCCCTGGCACCTGGCGTGAGAGCAATGAGCAGGATGGCGCCGCACACGGGCTCTTGCTGCGGGACCGGGCGATGCGTGGGCAGAACTTGGGGTCCCATCCATCCTTGCCTGGCTCTCAGCACATCCTCCCAGGGGATGGGTTGTGAGGGATATGAAAAAAGTGACTGAATCTCATTCCTTTCTCTGTATGCTGAGCTATGGGACGCAGGACTTGCCTGTTTTTGTTATTTTGGTTGTGAATCATCCTCCTGTGGAATTGGCAAACGCTACATTTTTACTGTCCTTACAAGCACGATTGGCTCGTCTGTGCTGTCGGTGTGGGCAGTGGGTGTATCTCCGTGTGTGTACATATGTGTATATGTATATATCACGCAGCGGGCGTTTCTGCTGTGTCCAGCGGCGAAGCAACAAGTACAATAAAAATTGGCTCCAAAATGGCCTCTGGTTTCTTGGTGAGTCGGGACAGGAACAGGGTCTCAGTGAGCCCCTTCACCAGGTGCCCAGAAGGAAATACCAACCCTGTTGTGTATCTAGAATTTGAGGGGATGGCTGGGTGTGGCGCCTGAGCACACTTAAGTGGCCATCCCTTGCCAGTGTCAGCTTCTCCAGGGCAGGGTGCCAGAGCTCCCAAGGGCACAAGTGTCTCAGCCATCTCTGGGTGCCCTCCCGTCACGCTCACCTAACCCACAGGTGAGCATCCCCGTGTGACATCGAGGTGGTGACTGGAAACCTTTCCCACCCCTGGAACATTAAAGCGCGTTGTATAAGCAGCAGACACAGTCAGGGACAAAGCTGCGTTCTGCTAGGTCTCTGTTCTGAGCCCTGGTCGGCCCTGGGAGGGCCCACGGGGAAGAGCAGCGCCAGGCAGTACCATCTGCAGGATCCTACAGGCGGCACCTTTTGGTAGATTCTGTTTCCCTGGAAAACGGGATAATGTTTCAAGCTAGGTGAGGGGAGGCAGTTGACACTGAAATATACATACACGTCGTTTTTAAAAACTAAATGCTGGGGCCGGCCCTGTGGCCGAGTGGTTAAGTTCGCGTGCTCCCCTGCAGGCGGCCCAGTGTTTCGTTGGTTGAATCCTGGGCACGGACATGGTACTGCTCATCAAGCCACGCTGAGGTGGCGTCCCACATGCCACAACTAGAAGGACCCACAACAAGGAACATACAACTATGTACTGGGGGGCTTTGGGGAGAAAAGGGAAAAAATTAAATCTTTAAAAAAAAAAACAAAAAACTAAATGCAAATACCTGGAAAGCAGTTGTCCATGCGCTGGTTCTGCCCTTTACTGGCCCTGACTGCACACCTCGGGGCTGGTGGGAGGGTCAGGGTTTCCACATGGTCTGTGTCTCGTGTGTCCGAGTGTGGCCTGGAATAAAGGTAACTGTTGTGCAATAAACGTCCCACTGCAGGTGCTCCAGGCGTGCGTCATCCTTCCCGATCCCTGCAGAGTCCTGTCGGGAGCGTCTCACCGAGGGGGTAGCTGACCCAGGGCCCCCGAGTCCCCTGGGGGCCGGGACCTCACTCCCACCTGCCTGGTCTGTGTGTGGACAAGTGCCCCCCGGGTTTGGTTTATTTCTCCGTTTTTGAAACACCACGTCTGGAGTCCCCTCCTCCCAACCTGGTGACCATCACTCACTCCTCCCACCTCAGCCTCTGGGAACCTCCATGCCGCCCCACAGACAGCGGCACCACCTTCCATCCTGTCGCCCGTTAGTGACCGTCCAGCTGGATGAGCAGGGCTGCAGCTGTTGCACAGCATGGCCGCACAAGGTAGGGAGGGGGTGATAAGACAGGGCCCCCCGTGCAGGCTGGCCAGCCCCTCACGACCTCTGTGGCAGTGACCTCACTGTGGTCGGGGCAGTGGCTGGGCCTATGCTCTGTGCTGACCCTCAGGCAGCTCCGTCCATGTCCACCTCTGGTCCTGGCCATTCTGGGGTAGGCTTCCCAGTGTTGTCCGCCTGCCTGCCCCGCCCAGGGCATCAGTGTGCAGTGCACAGGATCCTCATGGCTGGACACGACTGTCCCATCTTCCCGGTGAGGTCCATCCTCTTGCCTGGCCCTCTAGCAGTCAGTTGCCAGGTGGGTTTGAGATTCTCCTCCCCTTGCCATCCTTGAAGGCAGAGGGAGAGGAGCAGGGACCAGCCTGGGCCCAGACAGGCCCCACTCCCCGGACACGGTGCCGGCCATAGCCTGGGGCGTCCGTCGCGCAGACTCAGCCCACTCTGTGCCTGTTTCCTCACCCTGAGAGAATTGTGCAGGCTTTGGCTCTCTGCCCCAGGGAGTGTGTCCCTGGGAGTCTGTCTGTCTGGCCACGTGTGTCCTGCACACATGGAGGCGGGTGGGCTCCTGACCCAGGAGCCCCAGTGGGGTTGTGGGCAGCAACTTCCTCCAGAGAAACCAGGCCTGGGCCACAGATGCCACCTGCCACCGCCTTTCAGTTAATATCCCTCTCACACCTGTGTCTGCAGGTGGGGTGCTGGACCTTCGTTGTGTGCCTTTGGTCTTAGCTCAGTGCAAGGGAGAAATATTTTGCTTTAAAAAAGCAGCATAAAAATACCAATATTAATGTAACAAACATCTTGAAACAAACCACTCGGACACAAGAAATAGGAAGCAGCTTGATTCACATTTTCCGTAAAAGGAAAAATGACAGCAAAGGGGGCCAGCCCCATGGCCGAGTGGTTAAGTTCATGCACTCCGCTTTGGTGGCCCAAGGTTTCACCGGTTCGGATCTTGGGCGCAGACATGGCACCACTCATGAGGCCATGCTGAGGTGGCATCCTACATGCCACAACTAGAAGGACCCACAACTAAAAATACAAAACTACATAGTGGGGGGATTTGGGGAGAAAAAGCGGAAAAAAAAGTGAGAGTGAGAGCAAAAACGCATTTGTACCTCTCTTTGCAGCCCAGTGGCCACTAGCACTTCAGTCCATTTCTGTCCGTGGTTTTAAACCCTCAGCATCTTAAATCACGTATGGCTGATTTCTAAAACTTCACATAAATTGTACTACACTGTATTGAATCAATATCAGTTTCATTCACTGTAGGGGTTTTTTTTGATCAATCCATGTCGCTACATCTGGGTCTAGTTGTGGTATCGTAGGGGCTGTACAGCTGCATCACATGAATTAACACAAACAGCTGACGGTAGTCGTCCCTGCTGGGCGGCGCTGCCCTGCTCCCTGCCGCCCCCCGACTGCCGCGCCCCGCCGGCGCTGTCCCCGCCTTCAGCCCTCGTGTCCTCAGCCATTCTTCCCTACTGTTTAGTCGTCTGGATTATCTTTTTTTAAACATTATTTATTTTTAAAGATTTTATTTTTCTTTTTTCTTCCAAAGCTCCCCGATACATAGTTGTGTATTTTTAGTTGTGGGTCCTTCTAGTTGTGGCATGTGGGACGCCGCCTCAGCATGGCCTGACAGCGGTGCCATGTCGGCGCCCAGGATTCCAACCGGTGAAACCCTGGGGCTCCGAAGGGGAGCGCGCGAATTTAACCACTCGGCCACGAGGTCGGCCCCTGGATTATCTTAATTAGGTAGAATTCACGCTGATTATTTTCAGTATTTTCTATATGGGATTCTTAGAAATGTGAAGTAACACCAATCCTTAATGATAGACGTTCAGGGCGGTGGGCAGCGGGCCCCCCGACTCCTGGTCTACGGGCCGAAGGGCGTTCCGGGAAGATTCTGAAGGCCCGCGCAGTCCCGGGACGCGGGGCTCCTGGCGGAGGTCGCGGTCGCCGCGTGGGGCAGGGGTCCTCGGCCACGTCCGTCCCGTCCCGCCCCGCCCCCCAGGCGGCCTTGCTGGCGCTCTTCTCCCGCGCCTGCACGAGGGGCGGGGCCTCCGCGGCCGGCCCCCCGCCCTGTGGACCGCGCCGCTGCTCCGCGTCCGGGTGGACCCAGGCGCACAGGCGAGCGCAGGACTGATCCGGCGGTAAGTGGCCCTCGGGGGTGCTCTAGGCCCGGGCCACCAGGAAAGGTCCGTCTGCGCCCCAGGCCCCGCGTCCGCTGCCCGCGCCCGAACCCCCGGAAGCGCCAACCTGCTTCAGTGTTGGAAGCAGTTTGTTCCAGAAGCTGGAGGGGCAATTGGGCAGTGGCGACCGCAGGCGCCGGTCCCCTCGGGGGGTGCAGGGGTCTGGGACCCGGGCGTCAAGGCTTCCTCTTGCTCAGTGACCGCAGCAGCGACTAGAGGAGGGCGCCCCGGGCCGGACCCCGACCCCCGAGCGTGGGCGGCACCAGGGCCCGAGACTTGCCACCCGGCACCCAGGACGCTGGCCGGGTTGGGGACACTCGCATCAGCTCCCCTTGTGCTGCCTGGGCGCGCGGCGAAGAACCTGGGGGGGGGGGGAGAGTTGGGGGGAGGGGAGAGCCAGGTCCAGCCCCACCCCCAGCCACGTGAGGCCTGGGCAGGTCCTCGCCCGAAGCTGGAAGCTAGTTGGTGACCAGATGCGCCAAAGGACCCGCGCCCAGAGCTAGGCCCACCCTTCCGCTGGCCGCCCCCCAGATATGTTGCCCTGAAGTCGCCACTGCTCCTAACCCAGTCCTTCCTGGGGCCCCATCCTGTGGTGGTCACAGACGCGGGTCTCCACGAACCGGATGTTGAACTGCCCCATGCTCACCCTTCTAACCAGAGCATAGCTAAGATCCAACGGCTGCCTGCTTCCCTGCCCCTTCGCACCTCTGAGTCCATTGCTCCCTCCGTTCCTGCTCCCTGCCTTCTTCAGCTTGACCTTGAAGGACCTGAGAGTTCCCCCAGCCTCCTGCCACAGGCCTGGCCAGGAACCTGTGCAGGCTGCCCTCTTCCCAGGACTCACCCTGGAGCACTCGAGCTGCATCAGGCCGGAGCCCCAGGAATCCAGGTGCTTTGGGGGATGCTTCCTGACTCCAGGTGGCCCACCTGAGGCACCACACGGTGGAGTCCTCCCCCAGGCCTCACCAGCACTCCAGACCCTCCTACAGGCAACACGTGTGGTGGGCACACACGACCTGCTGACAACCACGTGTGCCTAATGCTGGGTCTGTGCCCCATCCTCTGCAGAGACCCCCTAAGCTCCCTTTCCCTTTGGCAGCCACTGCTGGGGAAGGGGCAGCATCTCATGGGCTGACGAACCTGAGAACGACCCTGGAGACTCACCATTCTCAGGTTGGACAGTCCTGGAGTCACTGCCCAAGGGCGACCGGTGGAGCCCTCAGCAGCTGGTTTCTCCTCAAGGACCCTCACCCTGAGTGTCATAGGAACTTCTGAACAAGTGCAGGGAGGGGCTCCAGGTCTGCATCCTGCCCACCTCTCCCCCTGCCAGGCTCTGAGGGTATCTCTAGGCTGTGGCCCCATCCTCACAGCTCTCCTTGACTTCTCCTCTAGGTGCCTCCTGCACACACACCCTTTAGCCTCTGCTTGGCCCAGAGGAGCCCAGATGCCCAGAAGGCAGCACAAAGGCCACCTGGCTCCCAGCCCCCAAACAGCCCATCAGACGGTTTCCTTGGGATGGACTCACCCACCCCTGAAGAACACCACGGAAGTCTTCTCCCCTAGCTGGAAGCCCCTGATACCCTCAGCAGCTGTGCTGAGTGTTGTTTCCAGGAAAGTCTTAGCTCTTGGATCCTCGTCCTGTGTCTGGGACTGAAAGGCTCCTGGGGGCCGGAGGAATTGCCCTATCCAGCCATTGGCACTGGAAGACCCTTCCCTAGGGCTGTTTGGAAGGTAGCTCACTTCCACCACCCTGCAGGGCCCTGGCAGGAAATGGGCTAAAGAACTGCCCTAACTTGTGACCTCCCTGAGCTGCCTCTGATGAAGGCAGTGCCTCTGGTTCAGGTCTCTGCCTCCAGGCTCTGCCCTAGGCCCCCGCCTCCATGGACCTTCAAGAAGAGGGAGGAATTTATCCTCCCCGACAGGCTGGTGGCTGAGTGGGGTGGGGGCAGCTGTGCCATCTCCTTCCAGCCCTGAGCTGCATTGCGCACACATGCACATGTGTGTGTCTATGGACATGTGCTCACTGTGCTGCTGTGAATAAGACATACATGTGTGTGGCGGTGGTGGCACATGCATGTGCATGTGTGAGGTTGATTTATTCTCAGGAAGCTGGTTAGGTGCTAGCTGGACTCTAAAGGGGCCCTCCCAGGAATGCCCCAGCCCTGCTGGGCTCCTCATTCATGGCCCCATTCCTCATTTGGGGAGAACTGACTGGACAGAATGGCCTCCTCCCAGCCTCACGTCCCTGTCACACCTCCTGAGCAGGGCCAGGCCTGCTGCTGCCTCCAGGTTCCCAGCACAAGGATGAAGGAAGGAATGAATGGGGCCTCTGGAGATATGGGAGAGGGGTCCACTCACCAGGTTGGGGAGAAGCAGCCCCTCCTGCTGACCTCTGGCCCCATGTTGGTCCTCTGCCCCTGTGCATGGCCACCCCTTGGACAAGCCTCCCGCCTTTATCTGCCCGCCTTTGGCCTGGCCCCCACCCAGTGACTTCCTGTCCCCGCCTACAACAAGCTTTTCCATGACATGGCCTTTGTGAGGTGGGGGGAGGCAAGGAGACCAGGGGGCAGGAAAGAGGCGAGAGCCAGGCGTGGAGAGCAGAGGAACCCCCCTGGAGCCCACCCGCGGCAGCCCAGGCACCTGCATCGTGCACCCCTCACCCAGGCAGACCTGCCGGGAAGGGCTGTCTGGAGCAGGAAGAGAAGCCTGTCCTCACCCTCAAGCCAGGAGCAGTGAAGGCAGGGTTGGACTTGGGCTTCTGGCCCTGAGCAGCACAGCTGGCCCATTGAGGCCCTGGCTATCTACCCCTGCAACTGGGGCTCATGCCAGTGGCCAGGACCAGCTCCTTATTCCCTCCTACAGCTGCCCACACAGTTTCCGCTGGGTCTCCTGTTGGTATAAACACGTGGTTGGGGGGGGGGGTGCAGAGGAGGTGCCTTTTGTGAGACCTAGCGCCCTAGGTCCAGGCCAGGGAGTCACCAAGGGGCCCATCAGGCAGAGCCAGGAGCTGTGGCCCCAGCTCTGCCCTCTCCTAACCCTGGCACCAAGTCTGGACTGCAAGGAAAGCCAAGAGCAAGAGCAGGAACCCTCGTCTGCGGGGGGACATCAGGGCCCCTCAGCTCCGCCCCCTCCACGGTGATGTTGCCGCTTGGGGACTGGGACAGCCCTGGGGCCACTCCCTAAGCCCAGATCCCAGGCAGGACAGTGCTGTGCCCCCAGCTAACCAGTCACAGCTTCATTTTCCTAAAGCTTTATTTATTTTACAAAATGTATAGAATAAGTTATATTGGTAACATCTTTTTTAATTAAAATAAGTTAACATCTCTGTACTCGGAAAGCAAGAGCCAAGAGGCAGGCGGGGACTGGTGGGGGTGGCTCAGCCTGCACAGCTAACTCGTGGAAGCCACTTCCTCCTCGTCACTGCCATCAGGGACAGCATCGGTCCCAAAGTAACGGTCACCGAAGTTCCCTAGAGAAAGAAGCAGGCCCTTGTGGTGGGGGTCTCAGGTCTATCTGGCCTGATTCACCACTGACCCGGGCTGGGCAGCCTCACCAATGCCGGGGATGATGCGGAACAGGTCGTTGACACGCTTGTCCACTGCCGTGGTGATGATTCTCACTCGCGGGAAGGCATAGGCCACTGAGTGAACACCCATCTCCGCCATGAGCAGCGACAGCAGGAAGATCTTGTCTTCAGGCACGTCATGGTCCTGCGCCACAGGGCAGGTGAACCCCGTGCCCTCCCCCCCCCGCCCCCCCCCGCGCCCTCCAGCCCGCCTGGCTCCGGCCCCCTCACCAGGAGCACGCGCACGGCCATCATAGCAGCAGCGCCTGTGGACACAGTGCAGTCCATCAGGATCACATGGTCGTCACTGATGTCTTTGGGCAGACGCAGGTAGTGCAGCTGCGGGAGGCGCAGGGTCAGGGTGGGCGAAGCCCAGGCCCCAGGCTCCCGCCCCACACTGTCCCCTCCCGCGTGCACCCAGCCCCCAGGCTCCTGCCCCGCACTTCAGGCTCCCCGGTGAGCTGGTTGGTCTGGATCAGGATGGTGCCAATGCGCACATCTTTGCACACGGCCCGCAGCGCTGGCTCCATGGTCTCGCCAGCCCGCAGAATGGACACGCCTGTAATCTGGGGGGAAGGGGGAGTCTTACTGGGCCAGAGCCCCCACATCCACCCCCCAGTCCACAGGCCCAGCGGGTACCTGCTTCCCAGCATAGCACTTGCCCGCGTAGTCCTGCCCTTGTGGGGTCTGCACCACACAGTCCTGTGCACAGAGCCGGGGGTGGGCATGAGCACAAGGAGCCCCCAAGGTCCTGGCACCCACCCCACTCCACCCGCTCCACACCTGGAAGGGCAGGAAGGAGAGCGCGTGCTCAATGAGCAGCCGCATCAGCCTCTTGGAGTAAAAGATGAATTCATCTCGGCTGGTCTCCTTGTCCCTGTGGACCGGTCACCAGTTGGTTTAGCAAAGGGGTGGCCCCACTCAGCCGCCCGCCCCCGGAGGGCCCTCACCTGATGATGGTGTGCATGCCCCGCACCTGCGGCGTGCTCTTGAGGACACTCAGCGTCCGGGGCAGGGGGTGACACTGGTGTGCTGAGGCCAGCGCGGCCCTGGGGACAAGCCGATTGAGGACTCAAGAAGGGATGTCTTCTCCTGGAGCCCCATCCTCCCACTGTGGAGGCTGTGTGGGGGCAGTTGTGGGGACGGCAGGGGGAGGGGCACTGCCTCCCAGTAGCTGATGCGGAAGGAGGGCCCCACCCCCCAGGTCCCCCCTTCACAGCCAAGCAAAGGTTAAAGGACACAGCAGAAGGCAGAGCAGCTGACCATTAGGCAGGAGGCGAGGGGCCGCAGTGTGCATCTCCCTCCCAGTCCAGGTCCCCTTGCTCAGAGGCAACAGAAGGGACCAGGCAGCAGGAGGGCAGCCTCTCACATGCGGATGTCTCAGCTCCCAGGAGGGGCAGCTGGGCCCCAACCCCAGGACGCCTCTCCCTGGGGTTACAGCTGAGCTTTGGGGCCAAGCCTAGCTCTGACTCATACCCCCATGTGATGTGTGGCCCCCTCAGGAGAGGGTGGCAAGGCTGGCTCAGTGCGGCGGCCCCTGCTGCCCCATGCCTGGGGGGGAAAGAGCAGGGTGGAGGGAAAGGAGCTGAGGGGTCTTGGGGAGGGCCGTGGGAGGGGCCTGGGGAGGGAAAGTAGAAGGGACGGGGCGGCAGGAGGGGGATGGGGGGTGGGGGAGGCGCCTGGGGAGGGACATGGGAGGTGCCCGGGGAGGGAAAGTAGAAGGGACGGGGCCGGCAGGAAGGGGATGGGGGGTGGGGGAGGGGCCTGGGGAGGGAAAGTAGAAGGGACGGGGCCGGCAGGAGGGGCGGGGAGGAGAGGGGAGCGCACAGCACAGCGGCACCACAACCAGAGCGCACTCTGTGCTCACATATCCCAGCGCAGCTTCCTCTGCTCGCCAGGTGAAGAGTAAGTTCAGGGAGGGAACAGGGCAGGAAACCCAAAGGTTTACAAGACGAAAAGAACAAAGAGAAAAAGACCATTTAGCAGGGGAGCACGGGCAGTTCCTGGGGCCACCAGCTGGCCTGAGGAAGAGGGAGGCAGGTGGCCAGTGGCAGGACACCCTTGAGCCTTTGCTTCTGTGGGCATGGCTGGCGGTAGGGCATGAGTGCCAGCACAGTCCACACCCGCCATGCTGCGCCCTGCGGGTCCCCCCACCTGCCCCCCAGCCTCACTTCCTGGGGCTGATGGAGGTGAGCAGCCTCTGGCCACCACTTCCTTGGCTGACCAGAAAAGGGAAAATGTAGCTGGCTGCATTTAGGTGTTTTTTTGAGTTTAAAACCCTGGAAACTTTTTTTGCTCAGAACAAAGGCTTCCAGAGGACCTGACACGGCAAGACCTGCAGGTGCCCTGGGCTGGGTGAGAAGCAAGCAGGGACTGGTGCAAGGGCAGGAAGCTGGAGGCGGCTGGTGACCAGCCCTGGAGGCATTTCCAACACTTTGGTGCTATGAGTGTGACCTGGGGGCTCTGCTGACTTCACAGTAAGGCTGGGCTGAGGGCAGGTCACAGTGTGACTGCTGTGTGGGGTTATATCTCTTCTCACGAATAGGATGAGGATGCAGCCCCTGGCCCATCTGGAGCTCCTCCTGGTTCTCTGTGCCTTGGCTCTAGGACGAGGGTGGGCAGGGGGGCCAGGGGCCAGGGGCCTCACCACCACCTGGGGGAGTCAGACTGGACCCTCTGATCAGGCAGAGGTGCAGATCCAGGTCCTCCGGCTGCTGAGGAACGTGCCTGTGGCCATCGCCCTGGGGGCCTAGCAGTGCTGGCTCAGGATGGCTGTGCCTTCTGGGGTTGGACCCCACAGAACCATCCTCCAGTTGGGGAAGAGCCTCCAGAGAGGCCTGGTCAGCCACGTCAGGGTGCTGTATGACCTTGAGCAAGTCCCTTAACCTCCCTGTGCCTTGGTTTCCTTGTCTGCTGGCAAAGGCAAGCAGAAGCAGCATGGGGGCCGCCACACCAGCCCTTCTGTGCCTGGGGCAGGGCTGCCACAAGGGGTGGGCACAGTGGAGGACCCTCCTGCCTGCCCAGGTGACAGCCCAGACATGGAGCTCCCATGGATGTTGAATATGCCTCTGTCCATGCAGATAGCCGTGGGAAGTCTTACCTGACACTGAGCTCACGCTGCGCGGCAACACAGGGAAACACGGAACGGTGGCGTGTCAGTGCGGGCGGCACCACCTGCCACCCCACCCAGGAAGGGGCACCCACAGCCCCACAGAGGGAGAGGGCCAGTTCTATCTAGCCTCCAACCTGACACCCTCTGGGCTGGGTGCCCCATGATGATGATGAGCAGTGCCTTTGGCCAGCCCAGAGCTTATGATCTCAGGTTAGGATATACGTCCACGTGGGACTCAGTGCCAAAACCCGATGGTCCCCAAAGGGTTGGAAGGGACAGGAGGCCACTCCTCCCTGCAAGGCCCCACTTGGGCCAGGGAGCTCCTCTGTGCCCCACACTCTGTCAGGGAACCCAGCTGTCTCCAGCCAGCACAAAGTGCTGCAGGCTGGGGGGTGAAGGGGCTGACCGAGCAGGCCCAGACACCAGAGGCTGGCACACAGCAGAGGACAGTAACGCGTGGGGACTGCGAGAGCAGGTGGCTGTGGGCAGCGGCAGCAGTGGGACGGGGCGTGGGCCAGGTGGGCTGCAGGGAACCTGGCCTGGCCAGCTCACCTCCTCCAGCTGGCTGTGCACATGCTGCACGATCAGGTCGATCGCCACTGTGTTCCCGCTCCCTGGGGTGGGACAGGCCAGAGGGGGATGCAGGCGGGAGGGTGAGGTGGGCCACCGCACCCCCGTCTGTACCTCCCAATGACAGGCAGGGCTGCAGGCTCACCCCGGGGCACAACGATGTCAGCCACGCGCATGGTGGGCTGGATGTACTGGTCAAAGGCGGGCTTGACAAACTTGTTGTACTGCTTGATAACACCCTCGATGTCTCGGCCTCGCTCACTGATGTCCCGGCGCAGCCGCCGCACGAGGCGGATGTCAGAGTCTGTGTCCACAAAGATCTTCATGTCCAGGAGCTGGGCAGGGAGAGCAAGGCACTGAGTGTGGCCTGGTAAAGAGGGGCTCCAAGGCCCGGCCAGCAGCAGGGCCAGTGTGGGCCACATGGGCACCAGCTTCTGCAGAGGCCTCTGGTCTATGTGCTGAGCCAGTAGTCTGGCTGGTGGTGTCTAGGGGATGTGGGGGGATGCAGGGGCATGTACATGAGTAGAGGTGTGTGTGCGTGGAGGGGTGCAGCGGCATGTGTATATGTGAGGAGATGCAGGGGTGCGGACATATGTGAGGGGTGCAGGGGTGTGTACATGTAGGTGGAGATGCAGGGGCATCTACATAGGTCAGGAAATGCAGGGGCGTGTACATGCGTGGAGGGTGCAGAGGTGTGTACATGCGTGGGGGTGTGCGTGAGGGGTGCAAGGTCATGTCCATGCATTGGGGGGTGCTGTCCGCCAGGGGCTTCAGTCAGAGGGCACTGGGTGGATGCGGGCTGCGGAGATGGAAGGGGTTGGCGCTGTGATCCGTGGGCTCATTCGCAGCTCTCACAAGCACTGGGGCTTGTTCCCTCCCCACCACACCCCACACGACAGTTCTTGGGGTTTGGTGAGTTCAGGGTCTGGCCCCACACTCAGCACATAGCAGGTGGCCCCTGAAGGGGCCATGGGGGCCACTGGGTGACCAGGCGGAGCTCCGCATGGTACAGCGAGGTTCCCTGGGCCTGAGCCCAAACTCCCTGGCCTCAGCACTACCACAGGGAACAAGGACAAGCACATGGCCGGTTGTGAGCACAGGCTCCCTCACAGGCCTCAGCAGGGGCAGGAGAGGGAGCTGCCCTCAGAGTGGCCTGGCGGGAAGGATGAGGCTGCATCATCCTGGAGCAGCTGCCCGGAGCCTCCCAGGGGCCAGGAGTGCCTTGTGCAGATAGTACAGACACGAGAAGCCACCTTCCTCCCAGGCGAGAGTGCTTGCGTGCACTCACATCCACCCCCTCAAGTCACTCAGACCTCGGTGACTGTGTGGACCCCAGAGAATGTCAGAGAAAACACCGACATGAAGGGGACGAGTGAGTGGTGCCCAGGGCTCACACCCACCCCCGGGAGGTGAGCCGTCCTCACCCGCCACCCCTGCCAAAGGTGTCGTGTCCCCCGTGGGAGCGGCAGGCCTGTCTTGTCTGCTCCACCTGATGGCCAGCCCTCACCCAACACCCAGTGACTGCACCACAGGGATGGGGCAGGGCAGGTGAGCAGGCACCACGGGGACAGGGTGAGTGCCTGGGGCCTCCCTGCAGGAGGCGATTTAAGGCGAGTCCCACAGGACAGGCAGGGGTGAGCAGGACCACGTGGCTGGAGCCTGCCCTCACCTCCAGCAGCGTCTTGTCAGCAAAGGCCATGATACCCTCGAAGATGATGACGTTCGCGCCATAGAGCGTCTTCTGCAGAGGCACATGGGGTTGCTCGTGCTGCCTGCATGTCCAGGCAGCCCTGTGGCCCCCTCTGCCGGCCCCACGCAGCCCAAGACCCCCGGGCCTACCCAGTCCTTCTTCCGACTGTGGGTGGTGAAGTCGTAGATGGGCACCTTGACGCTCTTGCCCTGCTTCAGCTTCTTGAGCGTGGAGACGATGAGGTCAAAGTCGAAGGCGTCCGGGTGGTCGAAGTTGAAGTTGTTGTGGGCGGCCTGCTCCTGCTGCTGCTTGGTGAGCACCTGTGGCAGGAGGAGCTGCGGCTGGGTGGGCCCACCTGTCTAGGGGCAGGGGCTCCAGGCCCTCCAGGGACCGCAGCCTGCAGGTGCAGGGCCCCTCACCTTGTAGAAGGAGTCCATGGACAGCAAAACCACCCAGGGCACGTCCAGGGCCTCAATGATCATTCTGGCCACGGTGGTCTTCCCGGAGGCACTGCCCCCTCCCAGGCCTGCAGGGAGGAGTGGAGAGACCCTGAGCAGGAGTGGCGCGTGCCGGCCTCACACTCGGGTCCCAGCGGTGCCCACCACCCGCCACGCTGCCTCAGCCTGCAGGGACAGGACAGCCCTTTCCAAGTAAGACACAACTTCCCTCTCCCCAGGCCTGACATATGACCAAGAAGCCCGAGGCAGCACAGGCCAGAGGAAATGGCGGCCCAAGCGGCCTCAGCCTGCCCCTCCTGCCCGCCAGCCGTGCTCACCAATGGCGAAGGCCTCCTTGGACTGTGTGCCATGTTCATTGTACCAGGGCGGCCGCCCCGCTGTGTAGATGGTCCGCTTGCTGGTGCGCAGGAGAGGCGGCTCAGACTTGCACTGGCTGGTGGTACGCTTCCGGGGCGAGCGCCCGGCGCCCACGGGAGGCAGGAGCCTGTCCAGGGACTCAGCACTGCTGCAGGGGGGAAGGGCATACTTGCCTTAGCCCAGGGCCAGCGCCCCTGCGACCCTGTGTCAGCCCAGTGGGCTGGTCTATGTAGGTCACCCCTCACCCAGGCACATGGATGTGGCCGAGGCAGGTGGGCTCAACCAGGGGCACATGAAACCCTCCTGCAGCCCATTCATGGGCTTCCTGGTCTCCGACAGCCACTGCCCACACGATGTCAGAGTGACAGCAGCAGGGGGACTGGGGGAGTGCTGTCCCAAGCCATACTCCTCCTTCCACATGGACTGGGTGTCTGCCGGGCTGGGCAGGGCCCCTGTCCCTCCAGGAGACGAGAGGTGGGCATACCAAGGACCATCAAGACCCCATCGAGGACTGTGTCCCTCCTAGGACACTCTGGGCAACTCTCTCACTTTGTAAGTTCTGATCCCTTCCAGCCTGCAGGGCACACAGGGCGAGGGGCTCCCAGAGAGAAGCCACCTCTAGGGGAGCTGAGCAGGGCTGCAGTGTAGACAAACCCAGGAGGGAGGCCCTGGGCTAGGAGATCCATGGGGAAGCCACTGCTTCTAGCCCTCCAGCATCCCACAAACTCCAGGGAGGAGGGCGAGACCCCCAAAGGCAAAAGGTAGAAAACGCAATCTGGGAAAGGCATGGATGCCAGAGGCTTGCTGCTGCCCCAGCTGCATCACTCACACTAAGCTGACTACTGACTTCTCCGTGGGTTTATACTCTCAGGGGGCATGGGCCCAAGGCCTCAAGCTCCAACAGGGAAAGCTTCTGGAGAGGCTCAGTTTGGCTGAATGGCCCAGCCAGGAGGTAACGTCTGCCTGATGCCTGCTCAGAGCCTATGCTGAGAGGCTCAGACGCAGAGCCTACTGTAAAGACGGCCATGGGGACAAGACAAGCTTGGGCAGAAGCATTTCTGGCCACTGCCTAAGAAAGAGACTGGGCTGGCCACAGTGTCACCTTGCAGACCCGCCTGAGGCTCCAAGGCCGGTCATGGCCCACCACAGCTGCTGACTGTCCTGGCAGAGGCCCAGCAGGTGGCAAGGAAGTGTAGGGACCTGGGCAGGGGCAGAGGATGCTGCCTTGCAGGATGCTTCCTGCAGCACTGCCTGTCCACCCACAGTCTGCAGTCCTGCAGTGCTCGGAACACAGGCGGGAAGACCTGAGGACACGGTCAGGATGGCGTCCTTGAAGTACCGGTAGGCGAGAAAGCAAACTGGCCATCGTATGATCCCGTTTATGTAAACCCAGCAAATGACGAATGTCACCTGTGTGTAACTGCGTGTGAGCAAGATGTGTGAGCACAGAAAAAGCTAGAAGTGGATGTGCCAGGATTGCCCTGGGCACCAAGATTTGGAACAGGGACTTCTGCCACATTTCAGTGTTTCATAAGCACATGCCCCTTTGTTATCAAAAACCAAAACAAGTCCTGGTCTGTCTCTGAGGCTCGCTGTCCTGCTGTCTCTGCTACAACCCGCACTACCAGGGCACTGGGAGCTGGGAACCCAGCCTCAGGCACAGGCCCCATCAAGGGCTTGCTTGCCCAGGGCTGTGACAAGTGCCTTCCTGCTCTGGGATGGCCTGAGCATGTCCAGCTTGGGAATGCTGATGTTTCTAGCTGTGTGATCCTCCCAGAGCACCCAGTGTTGCTGAGAACTAAGAGGATGGTGTCTGTGTGCACATGTGTGGGGGGTGGGGAGGCAGTGGAAGGAATTAGCTGAGGTCTAACCCGTGACAGACAGGTCACAGCAGCAGCCCTTGAGGGCCCAGAGGATGACGCTGGCACTAGCGTAAGCAGCAAGAAAGCCACCCACGGTATCTGACAGAGGACACACAGTGCCACCCTGGCGGACAGAGAAGACAGGGCTGCAAGCCACTGCAACTCCTCTGTCGTCAGGGCAGCACAAGGAGCAAGCCCGGGGGGATAATTAGCCAGTCTGTGTGCAGTGTCCTCTGCCTCTCTGGAGAAAGCAATTACCCGATGAGCTCTGCTCTAGCGCTGGGTGCTGACGTCTGTGGCGGGCTGAGCGCAAACACAGCAGGGCACCAAGACAACCCGGCAGTGACAGCGAGCACATGGGGACTCAGCTGGGCAGAGATGAGCTGCCCCAGAGGTGCTACTCGTGTTCTCACTCAGCCAAGCAGGAGACAGACGGTGAGCACAAGCCGCAGTGTCTCCAGACCCCAGACGGAGGGCAGTGCTTGCTGCTCCCCTGTACCCACTCATCCACCAACAGTGAACACAAGGCCCCTGGGGCTCACCAACAGGCTGCCCTCCTAGCAGGCAACCTGCACACCTGGAGATGATAGCCGGCCCACACCTGGGAAGAGTGGAGCCGGCCCCGCAGCAACAGGGGAGCCCCCAGTGGCCCTGGAGGCTGCAGTGGGCAGAGAACGAAGTCCAGGCTGGCCCCTTGTCTCTGTGCTTCTACTCAGGGAGGAAACTCTGACACAGAAAAGCTGACCTGCAGAGGAGCAAGGCCTGTCATCTGGAGGAGTGTGCCCTTGTGCACCAGTGCTGAGCACACTCATGCAGCACTAGGGCTGCCAGCAGGACTGCGCGGGACAGCCAGGGCTGGCGTGCCCTGCTTCTCACTTCTGTCTGGTGGCCTGACATCTCCAGTGGGAGCCTTCGGGTCCCTATTTTTAACTGTCCCTCATCCTACGGAGGCAATGAAATCACCACCACAGACCCATGGACGACTTCTGAGGCTTGTGCTGCCGACACCTTCTCAGGGAGGAACGCCCTCACGAGGGGAAGAGCCAAAAGTAGGCCACGGATGACTCTGCCAGAAACCCGCCCACCTCGGGCTTGTGCTGGGCCCAAACGGCGGTGGGTGGGTCTGCAGCCAAGCCCAGCTGCAGTGCCTTCTCCAAAGCCCTGTCTCTCCGGAAGCCAGGGACAAAGCTGCACTGTGCCCTCAGAGCAAGCTTCACCCCACTTTCCAACGGGAGGAACTCAGAGATGAGAAAGTCACACAAAAGACCTCGTTTCTCTGTTCACAGACGGACAGGGTGCTTCTGGCTACAGTGATAAAAGGTAGTTTCAACCCAAAGGATTAAGAGCCACAACGGACACAGACCAGCTTGTGACCTACAACCTCAAGCAAAACCAGCACTTGCAGGTGGCGGGCGCTGCCTGGCCCCTCCAGAGCACCTGCCCAGCCTGTTTGTTTCCTGACATCCATGAGACACACCGCACAGGCAGGCGTCCCCACCACAGCTGCGGGAGACAACACGCCTGCCACTCACCTGCCTTCCGCTCCGAGGGCCCAGCACCCTGAGATCCTGATGCCAGGGTAAGCTGGGGGGCTGCTCATGGCTGGGACACAGGGGCACCAGGATGGCGGTGGATCCCAGGTGCGTGCAGGGGCATCACCACACTGTCTCTTAGACCCACGGTGGCCTCCCAGGTCAGCTCAGGAGCCACCTGAACTGCCCCTCCATGAGTGGGTGGCACAGCAGGTGAGGAGTGGGGGTGGGGCCCCCCAGGAGCCCCGTGCAGCAGGAACAGCACTCCCTGCCCGCCTCAGAAGCCCAGGCCACAGGCATAAGAGGATCACCCAATTAGGGGCTGTGTGCTCAGCTGATATTAATAGCACTGACCTGCTGGAGACAACAGCCTTGCGAGGCCCGGGCAGACCTCAGGCCAGCCCTTGGGCGTGAGCTGCCCCTCCTGCACGCAGGCTGGCACACTGCCAGCCCAGGGCTTGCTAAGGACCACAGCACACCCCTCCCAGAACACAGTAGAAAAAGCTCCAGACCCCTGGCCTGCCAAGTCAGCCCCCCACCCTCCCAAACAGGACAGGGAAATTTGAGGTGTCTCTGGGCCAAGCCGAGCTGAATGTCAGTGCTGAGCTGGGCATCCCACTCCTGGCCCCAAAAAGCCTCCTAGAGGCATAAACAAACCTGACACTCTACCCTCCTGTGGCATCCCAGAATAACTGCCCCCGCCCCTCCACGGGTAGGCTCCAGCACGCTCCCCAAGGCCACGCAGTGCTCAGCATTCAGCCAGGGACACAGCTACCCTCCAGCCTGGCGGCAGGAGTAAGAGCAGGTTCCGCCCCACTCCCAGCAGGAGTGGGTCATATCTTTCCTCAAGCCTGGAAAGGGATTTGTGTCCACAGGTCCCCAGCCATTCATCGCGTGTAGCACCTTTCCTCCTGACCTGGCTTCCAACATCGAGACAGCCAGAAGGGGTTCAGGGAAGAAAAATTTCCACATAGGGTTCACACACCTGAAGGGGGCCCACTCTCTGGAGCTGTCTCAGGGGCAGCCTCTCCTGGCTGCCCAGGGAGCATAGGTGTCTGCCCCTGCTCCAGAGGCACCCAGAAGCAGGACTGACCTACTTGTCTTTGCCCACAGGAGCTTCTTCCTCCTGACCCCCTGCCTGGGAAGATGGGCAGGGACCAGCCCACACTCTGGGAGGCTGGAGCTGTCCTGGGCAGGGCTGCAGCATTGGGGCATGCAGTTCCAGGTCCTCCACTGGAGCCTGACACCCCATCCAGGTTTAGGGAAGTTTGCCAAGTGACTGAGTAAAATAAGGCCAGGAGAAGGGAGGGAGGAGCTGGTCTACCGGGGTCTGGCCCCAGGGGTCCCAGACTGGCTCAGAGACAGAGGTATAAGGGCAACTTTCTCTGAGAAGATGGAGAACTGGGGGGCTGAAACAGGCTCCAAGGACTTGCACTGCCCCCACCCCTCTCCCTGGAAACCCCGGGCAGGACTCCTCCTTCCCACTGCTTTGGGTGGGGCCAGCAACCCCTCTCCACCTAGAATGCACAGCAGACTGAGGGGCGTGTTGTTACCAGAAGGTGTTCATTCGTCCACCAGCATGCCCAGGGCCAAGGGAGTCTGAGGTCCCTTCCTCTCAGGGCTGACTCTCTAGGGGGCAAGCAGACAAGAAACAACAGCAAGGTGTACAGCCCACACAGATGTGGCCACAATGATGTGGAAGGAGAAGCTGGTCAGGGAGAGCCTTGGCACAGAGGCACCTGCATATGCCCCTGGATACCAACTAGAGCCAGCTGTTGGGCCGTGGCGGGGCGGGGACTTCAGGGCATGAGCTTGAGGAACAGCGCAGGGGGGACCCTCAGGGAGCAAGCATCAGGGAATAATGTGCAAGAGGTTTCCCAGTGAAGCCCAGGGGCAGTGCCAGGGCAGATCCTATGAGCCTCTGGAGAAGAGTGCTGTGGTCTGCACTTACTGCCCCCTGGTCCCGGAGGATGGGATGACTGCTGCCTCCCCGAGCACTGTGGGGTGCCCGTGCCCACCACGGGGTCTGTGCAAGGGGCAGGGCCTGGAAGGTAGCTGCCACCAATCTGTGTCTTCAGAGGACTTTTCTCAAGAGCTTATCTAGCCTTGTCCTCTCTGGTCTTGGGCTAAATCAAAGATACTTTGGAACCAGCAGGTGTCACAGACTCAGTCCTATTAGACTCTTACTCCATGCTAGCCTCCTAGTCACTGCCTGCTGGGAGGGTGTGAGCCTGGAAGGACACAAGACGCTCCTTCAAAGCCAGGGCAGCCTCTTCCTGCCCGGCAGCTCCTGGAGAACAGATGCCACTGCAAGGCACCCCTCACCCCAGTTCCTCTCCCTGCTAATTAAGCGGCTCCACTGACAGCACCCTGGCCGTTGTGGAAGAGCCCAGGTGCACAGCATTTCTGCCGCAGAGACCCGTGCGAAGAGGTGCCCAGGCTGGTCTCTAGCGCCGGGGCCTGCGGCCATCGCTGAGCCTTCCCCAGGGGACATTCAGACCCGGAAGTGAGGAGCCAGTCCTCAAATGCAGGGAGCCGGCCCTGAGCACTGCTGGCCACCGCCCCCTGGCGGCCCTGGCCCCAGCGGGACCGAGCAGGAGCCCATCTCCTCATGGCCATTTCGGTCTCTTCACCTCGGGTGACAAAACGGCCCCTCCCCCGCCGCGCCCGCACAACTTCCCCTCCGGCAAAGGCCGGTCGGAGCCTCGAGGGTACCCACACCGGGCGGGGCCGTCAGAAGGCACCACGCACCACCCCGCCCCAGAATCACGGCCCCCGGCTTCTCGGGCTGGACGGGGCGGGGCGGGGCGAGGCTGTCCGCGCGGATTCCGGGACCAACAGCCCACCTCGCAGCGTCAGGCGGGCACACGCGCAGGACAGGTGCCCGGGGCCCGTGCACGCGGGGCAGAAGCCGGGGCCGGCCCTGGGGTGCAGGGCCCGCTCGCTCGGCCGCCCGGCTCGGCGCCCGAGCTTCCCGCTCCCGGCCGAGCGGGGTGCGGGCCCAGGCCCCGGGGACCCTAGGCGGCTGGGCCCCGCGGTGCAGCCCTGCCCGTCGCGGCCCCGGCGCACGAGGCCCCCTCCCCGCAAACGGAAGGGCGGCCGCGCCTACCGGTCCTCGCACGCGGTGCCGCTCTTCTCCGCCGGCCGGTCCGGCCCGTCTCCGGCCGCGAGGGGCGGCGGCGGCGGCGGCGAGCGGGGAGCGGCGGAGGCCGGGGGCGCCGCCATGGAGCTCGGAGGCCGCTCCGCGGGCCGCCGGGAGCTGTGGTCCGGACCGCGCGGGCCGCCGGGAGCTGTGGTTCGGGGCCCCGCCCGCCGGAGCGCCCGGCGGACTACAAGTCCCACAAGGCCGTGCGGCCGTGCGCGCGGGCCTCGCAGCCCGGCAGCACCCTGCCCGCGCGGGCGTCGTCCGCGGGAAGGGCCCAACCCCGCGCTCCCCTACAAATTCAGCCTCATGAAACCCCTGGAAAAAAATCAATAAACATTTATTTGATACAGTCATTTTTAATACATACAGTTGATGGCCCGCCCCCACGCCACTCAGGTCCGGAGGCGGGGACGAGGATCGGGGACAGATGGTCACAGGGCGGGCAGGGCCCGAGCTCACCGTCAAACATCTTGCAAATAAACACTTTGTAGATAGAATATATAAGTATATATATGAATACAAGTGATAGCTGGAGCCTCTCTTCCAAAATGCACTTATGTACCGAGAACTGGCATTAAAAAACCCAAACCAAGAAACCCAAAGTACAGGACATGTGGCTGCCAGGCTGGAGGTGCTGGCCACCCGAGCCCCAGGTCTCCAGGACAAGCCACCTGGGGCCCACCCAGCGAGGACACATGGGGACAGCCCTCCCCTCCACAGACCAGAGTGCACCTGTTCTCTCCCTTCTGAACCAGAGACACAGGAGGGAGGCTACAGGTGGGAGGGCCGCTGGTCACACAAGGAGACACCCTCATCTGCCTTTGCATGAGCAAATAAAGTGCATCCTATTTTTGTGTGAAGTGTCAGCCCCTTGAGTGGGCCCTTTCCTGTTCTCAGGGCAAGAGGGGTGGGCTGGGCCAGAGGTAGATCTTCAGAAAGGGACCTGGCATTGTGCCCTGGGCTTGGGTTTCCGGTAGGTTGCACACCCATCACACCCGGGGGGCCTGCCACTCCAGTCCCTCTCACTGAAGGTGTCAGTCAAGGCCAGGTGGTTACCTGGCTGCATTCCCGCCAGAGTGGGAGGTGGGCAGATCCCGCTGAGCTGCCCAGGGCTCTGCCTTCTCTGGAGGAGGGCTCTGCAGACCACCTTGCCACTGCCACTCACCAGCCAGAGTATGGGAAGCAGGGAGGGAAGCAGGGAGAGAGGGGTCCGACCCAACAGCCTCTTTTGGCATCAGCCCCCATGCCCACTTTAAAGACAAACAAGGAGGTTAAAGTGCTAAACATCAAGTTATCCAGGACCCCCCTCTTCCCACACCAGTGACCATCTGTGAACTTTGGGGGGTGACCTGGAAACTCACCCCCAGCAAAAACCAGCCCCCAACTCCCCAAGGGCCAAGTACCTGAGAGGCCGGGGCGGGCGGCCATCCCCAGCAGAGGTGTTGAGGTCCACCCTCCTCCAGGCATTGGTGACAAAGACAAAGTGCACCTGGGGCTCTGACAGTGCCTGCTCTCCCTCCCCTCCCGAGGCAGCCCCTGAAGTGGCTGCCTGACCCCAGCTCCACCTCCACTGGCTGTACACCATAGTGACACCCAAGAACACAAGGAAGCAAGCCCTCTGGCCCTGAAACCCTGCCCACACTGCCCTCCTTGATCTCTGCCACAGCCCAGGCCTCCACCCCCTGATCAGATCAAGGTGTGTGTGAGGGAGGGGAGCCCACATCTCCATACCAGGGCTGCCTAGGGTCAGGAAAGAGGAAAAGCTGGAGGCGGGAGGCATGGTGACCCACCTCCAAGGCCCTCTTGGAACCTGTCTCCCTACTGTGGGCAAGGAGAGCCGAGCCCACCTTGGAGCCTCTCCTCTCCAGGGGCTGGATGAGGACAGGAGCTGAGGGCAGAGGGTGCCCAGTCGGCACTGCCTCCCTGAGCAGGGCAGGGACCCCAGCCTAGCCCCCAGATCCACCGTCGCACCAGGAAACCCTTAGCACCAAAATGTCAGATTGTTGAGTTTTTGTATAAAAAACAGAATAGAAAAAACGTTGTTACTTGTCACAGCAACAAGACTGGCATCCACTACACACACACGGGCAAATATCAAAATTCACATCGTCCAGGATCGGCAAGGCCGAACCCTGAGCCCACCCCCACCCCCAGTGGGAAACAGCCTCTGTCTAAACCCAGTGGTTCTGAGGTTGCTCCTCCCTGCAGTGCCTCAGTTGGAAGGCAGGGGCCAGGGCGTGGCACCTCCTGCAGGTACCCTGGACTCCAGCCTGACCCCTGCCCAACTGTAGACCTAGCCCTCCTCAGGGACCCAAAGGGCGTCAAGACAGAGCCCCAGAGCTGCCACCAACCTGTTGTGATCTTGGCCAATCCCCCTCCCTGGCCTTCAGCTCTTGTATCAAAAAACCCCACAACTACAAAGGAAGTGGCAGGTATTAAAAAAAAAAAAGGTGGGGGGGGCTCCCATGGGAGCTTGGCCACGTGCCAACCCAGCAAGCAGAAGGCTGCCCCTGTGGTGGTCACTCCTCAGAGCTAGGCCAGTGCTGCCCCACTCTGCATGCCCATGGCCCTCAGTCAACCCAGAGCCCAGAATGGCCCATCCTTAACCCATCAGGCTGCCCGACCTAGGCCCGCAGTATTAGCAAAGCAGGAGGCAGGAGGCAGGAGGCAGAGCACGCTCCATTCGGCCCCTCCCCCCAGGGCTCCTGTGGCCCTGTAGGTGGAGGAAGTGGAGCCTCTCTCTTACCCCAAGCAGGGAGCACCACTGGGGATGGTGGAGAGCCCCCCGTTAGCGAGGGCACCACTCCCCACCATAATGGACATGGGCAAGTGGGGAAGGCCCAAGCACAGGGTGGCACAGCAGGGAAGATGGGCCTGGAGAGGTAGAGAACAGAAGATGAGGAACCAGAGGCTGGAGCACGAGGGGAGCGAGGGGGCAGGCGGACTGTCAGGTCAGCACGGCAGCGGTCAGACTCAGGGTCTGTCCTGGGAGGTAGCTGGGGGTGCTGGGGTTCCAGTGTCGGGTAGAGAGGCAAGGCTGCTCAGATGCCCTCATCAGCCCAGAACCACAGGTCACCAGGGACCCCCCGAGCCTTGGGCCTGAGAAAGCAGATGGGGAACAGAGCTCACGTGGCAAGGGCCAAAAGGCCATCTGCCTGCTGTGCACTGCCCCCACAGCACTGAGTCCCAGGCCACTGACCCTCCTCCTGCCAACCCAGGGCCCCAGACTCTGCCAGGCCCATGAATATCCTCCAGACTATTGCACTTCTGCTGCTGCCACTGGCCCTCCCCCGGGGGCCCACGCCCAGGTGTGCCCTGTGGCAGCCTGCACAGGGGAAGGGCCACCTTCAGGGAGGGGAGAGGAGCTGGCTACCCCCACTGGACAGATGACTAGGCAGGGGTGGGGGATGGAGAACTAGAGAGCACAGGTCCCGGAACTAGCTACCCCCAACCTGGAGAGAGGGGCTTGGTGGCCAGTGTGGGGACCGGGCCCTGCCAATCTGCTGGCCCCCAGGCTCACTTCTCAGGTGGCTTGCTGGCTCCCACCTTCCGGGCAGTGGAGCCCCGGGCCCCCTTGTCTCTGCCTCCGGGGGGCCAGTCGTCCCGGCGGGGGGGCATCTTAGGCGCAGGCTCCTCGGGGGGCCGTTCCTTGGGCTTCCGGCCCCGCTTCTTCCCACCTGCCAGACTCTTCTCCTCCTTCTTGGGTGCCAGTGAGTCCTGGCTCCTGTGTTTGGGAGGTGGGTCTGCTGAAGTACGGAACCAGTTCTGGGGAGACAAGAGCAGCAGTGAAGACCCCAGGCCAGAAAGATGCTGAGCCCGGGGGCCAGCAGATGGCTAGGCGTCAGGGCACCATCCCAAGGGGCTGGCTCCTGCTCAGGGTGCCCGGGGCAGGGAGCACCCAGCTTCTCAGGTCTTCCAGGGAAGCTGGAAACCACTTTGAAGAGAAACTGCAATGTTTCTCAATGTTGGCCACTTGCTCAAACAAATATCACACAAGCCATCACCCCTACCAGCCCTACCTGGCCCAACCCCCTCCATGGAGCCAGCCCATCTAGCCGCTGGCCTAGTGGGTCTCTCACACCAGGCCCCCATCCCTGCCCCACCTCTGCGTGGGTCTTGAGGATGTGGTACTTGACACCGCTCTCGGAGCTGAACTCCTTCGGACACAGCAGGCAGCAGTACTTCCCCACCAGGTGGTCTCCCTGCAAGACAGGGGTCCCCGGCCCCAGGAGGTTGGACCCCACCCCCACCCTTGGAGGACCAGAAACATCCAGATCGAGCCAGGACCCCCCACCCTGTGTAGCCAGAGGAGCAGCCACAGCTCATCTGGACGGATGCCCAACAGGTGGGCTTCAGGGACGCACAAGGCCACCCTCTGGCAGGACCACTGAGTCGTCCCTACCGCGAGGGGGTGAGGGAAGGGTGGGAAGAGACAGGCACCCTGAGGAATGGGTGCAGCCCTTTGCTGAAGGCCCCTCACCCCAGGCCCAGGTCAGCATGCCCATTTACACCCACACAGATGAGGAGCCCCCACGGGCATGGCAACTCAAGACTGACTAACTCGTGGCTAAAGCTAGGGGACAGCGAAGTGCCCTGGGCTGTGCTGGCCATTGGGCACTCGCCAGCCCCTGAGCTCATGGAGGAGGCTGCCCCACAGGGGCAGTGTCGCACACCCACTGTGTGGGGATCCCTGGCAGGTAGCAGGGAGTGCCAAGCACCCGCCCCGCCGTGGAGGAGGACCTAGGGACTGACCTTGCTGCAGCTGGCAAGATGAGCCTTGAGGCCGGACACACTGGAGTAGATGGCTTCGCAGCACTGGGGGCAGGAGATGACCGTGGGAGAGGGCCTCCTGGCCAGTGCCCCTACACAAATGTGCACCCCTTGCCCCAGCCTGGGGGATCTGGGGCCTCTCTGGAGGAAGTGGGGGTGGGGGGGGCTTGACCCAGGAGTCCTGGGGTATGGGCAGGCTAGGCCTCTAGGACTGAGATCGAGGTCTCTCTGCTAAGAGACTTCTGCCTGAAAACCCTGCCAGGACGCAGGGATCAGAGATTAGTCACCTGGAGGGCTCCCACCCAGGGCCACACCTGGGCTCTCTGTCCCTGAGTCCCTGTGCCCACCGCACCAGCCTGCCGCAGCTTACATCATTGGGGCAGTTGACATGGCCTTTCTCCTTGACTTCATTCTTCCACGCCTCCAGCAGCTGGGGGTTAACCGTGGGGAGGCCTGGCCGAGTGTAGTTGAGCTGTGAAAACAGGCAGGCCCCAGGGTGAGCCCAGGGGCCTGGGTAATGGGGGCTACCAAAGGGCTGGGCCAGAGCTGACCCCAGACACCCCCAGCTGCTCTAACAAGGCCCTCAACTGTGCCCTCCACAGGCGGGAGAGCTGAACCTTGGGAGGTCAGCAGATGGCCCAGGTGATAGGGGACCCCAAGCTGAAGCATGTCCTGCTCAGAGACCAGGAGGCTGGGGGCTCTAGGGCAGAGCACTGGGGGCTCGGGGCAGGCAGCTCACCCGTGCAGTCTCAGGCACCAAGTCGTCCTTCATCCGCCGCTTGGTCCAGTCTCGGGCCAGCTCATCCTCTGCAATCTCCTGCAGGTGGAACACGGCGACCTGGGCCGACGTGCGGCGGATGCGGCCACTAGGGGTCCGCTCAACACCCAGTAGGTCCTCAGCCTCAGCGGGCTTGTCCTCGGCCTCCTCAGGGGGCTGTAGGGCAGGAAGGCCAGGGTGAGCAACAGAAGCCATGTGGCATGCAGGTATGGGAACCCAGGAGCACGTGCCGTAGATAAGGGACACATGAACAACTCGTTGGGGACTCAGAGGCACCAGGGGCCCAGCCTCACTGCCTGCGATGCACGCAGCCCCCAGGGAGGGAAGGAAAAGCACACACAGCAGGCGGCACATGGACACGCATGCTCAGTGACCGAGGGCAGGAGGACCCAGGCTGCAGGCTGCTCACTGGGGCCGTGTGCTCTGAGCGCATGTGGTAGTCATGGCCGGCCTTGGAGCGGTAGGTCTTGCCACAGTGGATGCAGGGGAAGGAGGGGCTGTCCACCTCACAAGGTGGCTTCCCGCAGCGTCGCTGGTGGTACTGGTAGCCCATGAGGCTGGAGAAGGCGGCCCCGCAGCCCTGAGGGTCAAAGATCAGGTAAGTAGCCAGCAAGAGGCTGTGCCCCATCCCACACTGTGTGCCCCACACCCACGCCACCCCACTGACCTCCTGCGGGCAGCGCAGCCTCCCCATCTGCTTCAGCACTTTACGTAGCCGCTCCCGCTCCTCCTGCTCGCTCCCCTCCGAGGCCTCGGCGTCAGAGGGCTGGGGGGCAGGCCCGGCCTAAGTGCCCCAACCACCACAGGGCCCCTACCCCTGCCCAGGGGTTGGGGCCACAGATGTCCAAGGTCAGGCATGGGAGTCACTAAGCTCTGCCACGGTGTGGTGACGAAAGGTCAGCGATCTGGGCTGGGCGGGTGGGGTGGGGAGGGGAGTGATGGAGTGGGAGGCCAGCAGTCAGCAGTCAGGGCTGGGTGATACCTTGGTGCTGTGCTCAGCCATGGTGTGGTAGTTGAGGCCGGCCTTGGACTTGAACTGCTTTCGACAGTGCTGGCACTTGAGTGCATCCTGCAGCTGCAGACACGGCCCTATTCGTGAGAAGCTGGCCCTGGGGCACCTCCCCTCCCATGACCCCCAGAGGCAACCTTACCTTCTGACACACCTCCATGTGCTTCTTGAGCCCCACAAGGGTCTTTCGGGCGACCACATTGCAGGTGGGGCAGACAGCCTCCCCCCGTTCATGGATGGCCCGCTGCCACTGCTCCTCAGGGCCACCTGTGGGGCAGGGCCAGGGCCTCAGGGCTGGCAGGGGCTCCCGGACACCCTGGACACCAAGCACAGAACCCAGGGTCCATGCTCAGCCCCCCATCCCTGAGTTCCAGGATCCATCCCACGGTTGAGACCTGGCCTGGGCCCCGCCACACCATAGCCCCCACCTGGGCCTGGGTGGGCCACGGGGGCCGGCACCTCCTTGCTGACAGTGCTGGTGGGGGCTGGCACCTTCTTCCGCACATCCTCGGGGCTGGGCCCCTCCTGCTTCTTGGTGCGGTGAGCCCGGGACTTGTCCTCTGCCTTGGCCAGGCCTGTGTGCACACATGGGGTGGTCGGTGCAGATGTGGGCACACGTGTGCACACACCCAGCCCCACGAGTCCCTGGCCGGCCAGGACCTCACCTTTGAGTCCGAAGGTCCCTGAGATGGACGGCTGCTCCCCTGTAAACTTCTTGGGTGTTTTCTGTTTCCTTCCTGACTCGGGGTAGAGAAAACGAGGCCCAAGGTTCTGGTCACATAACCGTCGGGAGGCCTTTCCAGCCGGCCACTACCCACCCTGGCCACAGCCCCCCGCTCTAGTCTTACTGTGCTTTGTGCGCTCCGTGCCCTCCTCAGGTGGAGACCCAGGGCCTGCAGCCCTTGGCACCTCTTTGCCTCCCAAGGGCCTGCTGCCCAGAGCAAGGGGTCCGCCACTGGGGTCTGTGCTCAGCTGGAAGGCCGAGCCCTGGCTTGCGGTAGATGGGCCACATTCCCCATTTTCCGGCCTCGCCTGCTTGGGCAGGACAGGGCATGCGTCCAGGCTGTCTGCAGCCCTGCAGGGAGTGGGGAGGTGAGGGGCAGGAGGGCTCACTTTGGGCCCTATTCCCCCAGGCTACAGCTGGGGAGCACCCCAAGCCCACCCGGCAGGAGCCCCGTACCTTTTCTTACCACTGCTCCTCCCCGCGGCACGAGGAGTTTTGTTCTCAGACTTGGTCAGCAGCACCATTTTGCAGGGCGTTGTGTGTCTGCTGATGGCAATGGGCCTGCTGACCGTCACTGGTTTACTGACCACAATGGGCCTGCTGACTGTCACCAGCTTCGTGACGGGCACAGGTTTTGTAACTGTCACAAGCTTTGTCATTGGCACTGGTTTGTTGATGGTCACTGGTTTGGTGACTGGCACGGGTTTGGTGACTGGCACCGGCTTGTTGACAGTCACTGGCTTAGTGACCGGCACAGCTTTGGTGACCGGCACAGGCCTGCTGACCGTCACTGGCTTGGTGACCGGCACGGGCCTGCTGACCGTCACTGTCTTGGTGACTGGCACAGGCCTGCTGACTGTCACTGGCTTGCTAATACCGATGGGTTTACTGACACCCACAGGTTTGCCAATAGTGACAGGTTTGCTCACTCCAATAGGCTTGCTGACCCCAACAGGCCGGCTGATGGTGACTGGCCGGCTGACTGGCCCAGGCTTGGGGGTAGGCAGAGGTCGGTCCATGTGGTTCCAAATCCGGTGCTTCTCCAGCTGGGTCTTAGATGTAAATGCAGCCTCGCAGAAAGGGCAGGGAAATGTCAGCCTTTCTGAGATGGCACCCTGGGTGGAGAGAGCAGGCGTGGGAGGGGCTGCCAGGGCCCCTGCCCAGACACGCCCCCAGCCGACAGCTGGGGCAGGGTGGGCCGCAGGCCTCCTCTCCCCAACCCATAGCACCTTACCCCTTGGCATCGCTGGTAATGGTACTTGAGCCCGTAGATACTGGGAAACTCCAGCCAGCACCCCGAGTTTGGACACTTCACCCTCGAGTGTGCCTTGAACTCATCCTTCCACTGGTTCATCAGGGAGAGCTAGGCGTGGGAAGGACCGGCTACTGACCCACCTAGGCCTCTGTCAACTTGGGCTCCAGACACAACACCCTCCCTGGGCCCACAAGGCAGACAAGCTGCAGAAGCCCTCCAACCTCAGGACCGAGGCAAGATCCAGGCCACCCCGAGCAGCAGTGGTGTGCTGCACCTGTCCTAGGAGCCCCACAAACGTGGCCCACTCGGCCCCAGCCACCCACTGAAGCCCTGAAGCACAGAGCCGCCTGCTAACACAGGCTGAGGGCCTGTGGTGGACGTGTGGAGGGCAAACAAAGGCAGTGCGGTGGACTTGACAGGCAGACCCCAGCAGGAGCCCCACCCCAGTCCTCAGGGAGCTCACGGGAATGTCTCGGAGGGCCTGGTTTTCAGCTTTCGGACGCCCTTTCTTCTTTCCTTCTGTCCTGTCAGTGGCTTGACTTCCCGGGTCAAAGCAGAGTGGGGCTTGGCTGGGCACTGTCTGCCCACCCCTGACCACCGGCACCCCTGAAGCACACGAATCGCCAAGGCTCAGAGGAGACTGGTGTCCGGGGAGGCGGCCCACAACCCCGCACTGGCTGCCCATGATTGCCTGGAGTTGGCCTTGGCCTGACCCCTCTTACCCAGCTTCGGTGGGTCATGCAGCACAGGAAGTCGGACCTCGCTCCGGCTGCCATCCTTCCCAGGTCCACTCTTGCTGGACCCCGGGAGCCGGCGGCCTCCTCCAACGCAGAAAGGATCGGCCATCTCTGCAGAGCAAGTGGACAGGCTGTGAGGCCCACCAGGCCTGACTCAGTCTTGACACAAGCTGCCCTTGAGCTCCACCCCCAGACAGGCCCACTTTCTGGCCCAGGGAAGGGAAGCCTGCCCACCTGCGCTTTTGGCCACAAGGGAAAGCAGGTGATGGGGGGTCTCTGGCCTAGGCGAGGGGCTACCTAGTCATCTCCCCAGATGAGAGACGAGACGCAAGCAGCTTGGCAGGATCTAGGCCTGTCCACAGACCCTCACCAGCTCTGAAGAGCTCCCTCTGTCCCCGGACATACATTCCCAGATCGCGCTGAGCTGGGGCCACCCCAGGAGAGGAGGTGTGCCAGGGACAAAGCAGGCCAACAACACCCCTCCCGGGGGCCAATTATGATACCAGTACGGCTGCTGCTTCACAGGCTGTGCTGGCCTGGCACCTTGGGACACCTTCCCCCACAGCCCCATCCAGACCCAAGGCAATGCCATGCTATCCTGGCTCCTTCTCCCCAGGACACAGATGGGATAGCCAAGGTGGACACTGACGCCCCTCGCCTACTCCCCAACTGTACGTGCCCCCTCTGGGAGGCAGACCCAGGACCGAGGACCCCGAGGAACCTGTATCTGATCCCCATGCCAGCTGACCCATCCTACCTGTCCCTCTTTCGGGCCTTGTCTTCATCCGGAGCCCCTCCACCCAGATGAAGGCCTCACCTTGGGCCCTCACCACCCTCCACCTGGCTGACCTCTTCCTCACCTCCACCCTCAAGAGCCTCTCTGCCCCACACCTACAGGCCCACCAGCACCACTCCAGAGACTACTGGTCACAGGAAACACCCTGCTTCCTGAGGCTGGGCCTCCATGGCCTATTCTGCTAGGGAACCCCACATCCTGAGAGCTGGGAGGACTCTCAGCTCAGCCCAGTTGGGTCCTCCCACAGGTACACCCAAGGCCACAGAAAAGGGTGGGGGATTGTGTGGGCAGGTGACCCCTCCCCTGGTAGTTTCTAACTTAGAGGAGATGGGTGGGGCTGCAGTGCCTAGAAGCACTGCAGAGACCACCTGGGCAGGCTGAGGTCAGAGGTCAGGACAGCCACTGCCCACTGCCAAGGAGGTGCCCACATCCTGCGCTTGGGGGAGGAACGGATCCAGAAAGATCTAAACAAACTTCTCTGGAAGCCCTCACACTCTAACTTCCAAAGGAGACACGCGAACATCAGTCACTCCAGCCCTGTTTCGACCCCAGCAGCCTGGGATGCGGGTGCCTGCTAAGCAGCCCCTTTCCAGTCTTTCTCCAGCTCGGGTGGAAAATTCAGAGTTGGGGGGCCTGGGGCCAGGGCTGGCCTAGGAGGTAGAGATCCTCCTTCCATCCAAGGCCTGTGACTCGCGCACCGGGAGGAAAAAGGGCTTCCACCCTCCCAGAGGGCCTCGCAGGGTCGCAGAGGTGGGAGGGAGGGGCGCCGTGCTGACCGCAGGAGACGCTGGCCGCGGGACCCCGGCCCAGGCCCGGGCGCGCGGATGAGGCCGGCCAGGGGACGCACACCTGGAGGCTGGCATGGCCACCCACCTGTCACCTGCGGCCGGGTGCGGGCCCGACCTGGCCCCGGAAGGGCCGCCCGCGGCGCCTGGGGGGGGCCCGAAGGCAGTGAACCAAAATGGCGACTTTTTCTGGAGAAGGAGGAGGCGGGCGCGGGCGCGGCGCGGGGCGCGGGCGCGGGCGCGGCGCGGGGGTCCGGGCGCGGCGGGGGCGGCCGCGGGGCCCGGCCCGGCCCGGCCTGGTCGCGTGGATCGGGGTCGGGGCCGGCGGGCGCGAGGCGGCCCCAGGGGCGGGCTGGGCGCGGCTGGCGCTTACCTGCGGCGCCCAGCGGGCCGGGCCGGGCGGGGGCCGGGCGGCGGGCCGGGGCGCGGGCGCGGGGTCCGGGCGGCGCAGGCTGCGCGCCGCGCTGCGCACATGCGCGCTCCCGCCCCTCCCACCTTTGACAGTTTTACTGTGGGGGGGAGGGGGCGAACTCTCGCGGTATTCCCGCCGCCGCTCCGCGATGGGGAGGAACGGGTCGAGAGGAGGGGGCCCCGCGGGCCGGCCTGCTCGCCCGGTCCCGGGTCGGTGTCCTCCGTGTGCCCAGTTCCAGTGCAAAGTGGCCAGTTGCGCCGCCCATAGGGCGGGAGGCTTTTTTCAGGCAGTGGGGTAAACTGAGGCACGATAGGGGCCCTGGGTACTGCCCCAAGCCCAGTGCAAAGGGATTGAAGCGACCAGATGTCTATACCGGGTCCCTGATCTCCTGGGCCCCGGGGGCCCGGGACCTGCAGAGCAGCTTGTGGCCTCTCTTCCAGCTAGCCCTGTGGCCACCCTCACGGGACTGCCCGGCTCCTTGCGGCGCCCGGGCAGTTTGAGGTCGTGGGCTTTCCTGGGGTTAGTGTCCACTGGACCAGCCTACGTCTGCTTTGGGGATGGGGTCCTAGACCAGCGGCCAGTGCCTTGCCCCTCCGTGCTCCAGAGCCCAGCCCTCTGCGGGGACACTGGTATCAGGTCTGGGGGAGATAGGGCACCAACGCTGCCAGACTTGGGATGAATGATACAGGGGAGGGAGTGCTAGTTGGAAAAGGGAGTTACAAGGTGCACCTCCTTCCCGCCTCCCCACCCCGCACCCCCGTACCCCCTCCACCTCCTCTGTCCACCCTGGAGCAGGCTGGGCTGCACTGCTTGAGGGCAGGGCACAAAAGGTGTGGGCAGATTTGGGGGTGGCCTCTCCTCACAGGGACCTTTGGGATCCACTTCTCTCAAGGCCAGCACAAAGTGCTCACTCAGAGGCAGAGGCAGGGTGGGGGCCCTCTGTGGAGGGGTCTGTCAGTCGGTCCTTCCCTGGGAAATCAGAGCCAGAAAGAGGCCTACGTGACCCCAGGAGGAAGAGGGAATGCCTTCTCTTGTTGACTGTGCCTACTCTGGGGACAGCACAGGCAGGATTTCTGGAGGGGGTCAATGTGTGTACTCTGAGGTCCACCCAAGGTCGTCACCTTCCCCATTTAAGTCTGCATGTCCACATATGTGACACGTCAATGTCTCTTGGGAGGTGTCTGTCTGAGTGACCATGTGTGTCAGGCAGTGTCCTGTTTGGACATCACAGTGTCAGGGTATGTCCCTGTGTCCTGCACTATGTGAGGAGGATGCCTATCTGTATGCTAGAGTCCAGGTGGCTGGACATAGGGTGTGGGGGCTGTCTGGGTCTTAGCAAGTGGTGTCCAGGCTACAGCATGTCTGGATGTCAGGGCATTGCGTGATCTCATATGTGTTTGTGTATGGGGTGTGCTGTGCCCCGTGTGTTTCTGTACGTTAAGGGGTCATTGTTTGTCTGGGACACTGTGTGGGGGTGTGTTGTGGGTCTGGTTGCTGGTGTCATTGTGTCTCTGAGTGTTAGTTTCTGTGGGGCCAGCCTGGTCGTTTTATGCCTCTGTGTTACTATTTGTGTGAATGGCTTCTGTGTGAGTGTGTCAGGGCATGTCCCGTGACCTGTGTGTTTCTTATGTCAGGACATTGCCCTGTGGGAGGAGGGGCGCTCAATGGAGGCCCCTAAAAGATAGCCACGCCAAACTCCTGAAACCTGTGAGTGGGACCTTATTTAGAAAAAGGTGTGATTAAGTTAAGGATATTGAGAGGAGGAGATCATCCTGGATTATCCAGGTGGGCCCTGAATCCAGTGACAATTGTCTTTGTAAGGAGATTTGACACAGACAGAAGGCGACATGACCATGGAGGCCGGGACGGGGTGATGTGTCCATGAGCCCAGGAGCCCCTGGGGCCACCACCAGAAGCTGGGAGAGGCAAGGAAGGATTCTTCCCTCAGCCCCTAGAGGGAGTGTGGGCCTGCTGGATTTCAGACTTAGCCTGCAGAACTTGAGAGAATCAGTTTGTGTGTGTCAAGCCTCCCAGTTGTGGTCATTTGTTACAGCAGCCCCAGGAACCTGACATACCTGTGTCCATGCATCCAGGTGCAGTCCATAGCCATTTCCAGGCAGCCTCTTGTCCCCACCAGTGCCCCACTAGGATGTGACACCACTGCCCCCTGGTGGTCCCAGCTGGAGGCAGCTGGGCCAGGCACGGGGCTTCCAGGACCAGGGGCCCCCCCAGGGCTCTGCCCACCCCTACAAGGCTGGTTGGTGGGCGCTGGACACGGACACCACACTTGGGGCATTTGAGAACCAGGTTTATTTCTGGTCTTTTTGTCAGAATATAAAAAAGTGAGCGCAAAACCAGGGAGACGACACAGGAGCACGTGGGCGGACAAGACAAAGGGGGAGGAAGAGGCAGGGGCGGGAAGGGCCCTCTGAGGAGGACAGCGTTGTGATGGTGTGGGCTGGCTGGGACACTTATGTTAGCCACAATGGACAAGGGGTCTTCCGGTCGGGGGGCATACAGATGGGGGGCACCAGGCCAGTTGTTCCAATTCCACCACAATGACCAGCCTCCCTTCCCAAGGCCAGCTCAGGGTACAGAGCGGGGGCTGGGGGTGCAGTTTCATCTATCCTTGAGATTTTCAGACTCCCCTCGGGGGCTGGCAGGGCAGAGGAGCAGGAGCTTAGGAGCTGCCAGGACCACCCTTACTGTCCCGGGCAGCACTAGCCCCAAACCTTGGGGCCTCAGGTCCACGGAGTGGTGGCTCAGGTGCCAGCTAGGTCTCTGGTGGGCAGGCGTGGGGGGTGCAGCCCTCAGGACAGGTTCTTGTGTGAATCCAGGTTTTCCTGGGAAAAGGGCAGTGGGAATGCCCCCCCATGACTGCCTCAAAGATAGTCTCTGTGATCCCAGGAGGAGGGAGACTTTCCCAAACTAAGGGCAAGACATGCTGGAGCCTAGTGTGGGGCACTGGGCGTGCAGTCCTCCTTGTGCCATGTTAGGGCTTGGGCACTTAGGCAATCCCAGGACCTCTCTCGCCTCTGTTCCCATGAATAGAGGCGGCATGGGGAGGGTTTCATAAGTAATGAGTGCTTGGCACAGTGCCTGGCAGGGCGGATGCCGATGCGGATTATCTGGCCGTTGGTTGGGCCTGCTGGGCCTGGGCGGAGGCAGAGGAGGGGTGCACGCTGAAGGGAGCCCTGGCAGTTTACCCCGTGTGGGCAGTACTCTAGGTGCAGGGGGAGGGTGTAGAACTAGACACTAGACGAGTGGAGTGGGCCGACAGACAGACCTCTCTCACCCTGGGAGAGGGCAGGATGCCCAGAGGACGTGTGACTCAGCTGGCAATGGGGGACGGACATCAAGGTGGGTGAAGGAAATATAAATAAACACACTCCTTGGGAGTCTGGGGGGACATCCAAACCCTGCTCTGGCTCCAGGTGGCTGCCCCGAATGCTGCCAGCAGCACCCGGCAGTGGGCTTGGGCTCAGGTCCTGGGAGGAGGGGCCATGTTCAAGCAGCCCCCGGCCACCCAATCCCAGGCACAGCCCAGAGTGCACAATCAGAAGTGGCTGGAGGTGGCAATCCTGATCCCACCTGTCCACTGGGCTGGGCTTAGCCCTTGGGGCCTCTTGCAGGGTCTGAGAGGGGCTGCTCAGCCGGCGCTGCCTCATCCTTGCCCCGGGCTCCGGTCACAGTGCTGGGGTCTGGGGTTCAAGCCTCAGGCAGCAGCTACGACACGTTTCCGAAGGAAGCTATGGGGTGGATGGGGGTGAGGAGGGGCGGGGATCTCTGGCATCATCCGCTCTGTCCTGGGTGCAAGATGGCCCTTACTGGGGTCCCACAGCCACCCTCCTGAGGTCAACCTACCCACCCTATGCTCAGGGGCCTTGCAGCCCAGCCCCCCAGACCGCTCTAGTGGCTCTGGCACTGCTGGTTCCTCCCACTGACCTTGGCTGAGCAGCTGCAGGCTCCGCCCCTCCTCGCGCACCTGCAGGCGCAGCACCTGCTGCAGCACCTCCTGCCGCTGCGCCTCCTGCGCCAGCCCCATCCGCTGCAGCTTCTCCGCGTTCAGCCGCAGCAGCGCCCGGCCTGAGAGGGAGGGGAGGGGGTCAAGCCGAGGTCAGCACCCAGGGACTATCAAGAGCCAAGGCAGAGAGAGAGAGAGAAGGGGGAGAGGGACAACACGGAGAGACTCAAAGACAGAGAAAGAGAGGGAGACAGAGGACTGTGGGGGGAGAGACGGATAGAAATTCAGAGAGACAGGGAAAGCAGGGAGAGGGTCAGAGGAAAGATAAGGATGGATAGAGACGGAGCAGAGAACAGCTGGATGAAGACAGAATCAACGACTGGGAGAAACAAGGAAAGATTCTGCAAAGAGACAAAGACCTGGAAGGAGAGGTTGGCTCAGGAGGAAGCAGAAGAGAGGGAAACAGCAAGAGAAACAAAGGCAGGCTGGGTGTGGGGAAGGAGCTCTCCTGGGGAGCCCTGCACCCTCCCCACCCTCAGCCCCCCAGAGAGGCACCCGTGATGGCGTGTTGGGAGAAGGCCTCCACGTAGACGAGGTAGTTGTGGGGACAGTGCTTCTTGAGCCACTTGCAGACGTCCTGCTGACTCCACAGGACCACGGGCCTCGTCAGGCCACCCAGTGAGGGACTCGTGTGGTACAGGCCATAGTGCTCAGCGTACAGCCGGCCCTGCAGGGGAGAGGGGTGGCAGGTGGAGTGAGGTCATGGGGAGGGCAGGATCTGAGGTGGGTACAGTGGGTGGGTACCTGGGGGGCCTCTGTGCCAGGCTGCTGCAGGAGCTTGACTGGCCGGTCGCCAGCTGCCCTCTGGCTGCGGGAGTCATGCCAGGTGAGGCTGGTGCCTGGCGTCCTAGGCAGGTGGCAGGGGATGCTCTCTGCCGACACTGTGTGCTCCAGGAGGGTCCGGCAGAAGCTGAAGTGGGCAGTGGCTGTAGAGCAGGGGTGGCTGGTCAGAGTGGTCAAGGGCAAGGCCAGAGGTTCCTCTCCCTGTGAGCAGCTCCCTGCTCAGCCCATCTCCCTTCCACTTTCCCATTTAGAGGTTCCCAAGCCCCCAAAGGCAGAAGGAAGAGTGTAAGAGCTGTCTTGAAGACCCCACCCAGCCAAGATGAAGAACTGGAAACACCTTTCCCCTCCGAGTCCACAGTCTGTGCTTTGGGGAACAGGATGGATTCTGCTTAGATTAGAGAGAGGATGTGTCCCCAGGGGGCCTAAGACTTGCAGCCAGGCCAGGGGCCCTCCTGGGACAGCCTTGACTTCACCCTTGCCTTGGGCTGGTACATGCCCCACCAGACCAGGGCATACACATAGGACCTGCCTTCGAGGAAACAGTGTCCCCAATATCCTGGGAGGCCCTGTGTGGTGGAGAGGCACCTCTGGGTGCACTGCCCATCCTTGTTGAAGGCACTCAGTCTCTGCAGCCGTACCTGGTGTTTGAGGCTTGGCTGCTGCATTTCTGTGCTCACTAGCTGTGACTCATCTCCAAGAGGCCTGAACTCTGGGCAAGCCAACAACAAGGATCCCTGCTCCCCACCTCCCACAGGGACCCCGGCCTAGGACAGCTCCTGTGTCAGGGTCCTGCGGGCATGGGCTGCTTAGCACAGGTATGCAGGGTGCAGCCATGTGCCCCGGGGACCCATGGTGATGCCTTCTGCTCTCTCTTCCCACACCAACCTCATCACTCTCGTCAAGTTTTAGTTTTACCGTCATTTCTGGGCTCGTTGCTGACAAGAGTCAGGGAGGGCAGACACCTGGATGGGCCTCTCCCAAGACCTTCCAGAGGTCTTGATGCACAGAAGCTGCCCGGAAATATTGTGAGTGGATGAATGGAGGCTCTGAGTGGTGTCCACAAGTCAATAGAACCCTGGGGAGAGACTGGAAGCTGCACCCAGGCTTGCCCCCGTCTTTATAGCATCCAGGCCCTGACTCAGCAGGCAGGATCAGGTTCTGAGCCCCTAGCCCTTGCCCCCCACCCCAACAGAGTGAGAGAGTCCCTCCCGTGGACACAGCACCCAACCCCCACTGAGGGCAGGTTCTGGCCATGTGCCCAGGAGGTCTCAGGAATGAGGGGAACCCCATAACATTCCTCCGACTTAGCACCCCCTCCCCATTCTTGCAACTTTCTGGAATCCGGATGACCCAGGTGACTAAATTTCAGGTCTAGCGTCAGAGAGGGTGTGGCCAGTGTGGCCGTCGCCCCAAGTGGCTTCTAGTACGGCGAAAGAAGACTTATTCTAGGCCGCCACCTTTCAGGGTACAGGCAGCCGGGTCACGAGGCCTCGCCCCGCGGGAGGCCCGGCAGGAGTGGGAGCGCGCAGTTTCGCAGTTTCGGGAGGACCAGTCAGCCGCCTCTCCGCGCCGCACCTGTCCCGGGCCAGCCGGGCCCCGCCCATTTCCTGCCCGCACTAGGGGAGGGATCTCTGTCCGTCCGTCCGTCTGTCCACCGGTCCTCCCTCCCTCCCAGCTCTAACGTCACAATTCCAGTAGGAAATGGGGCGGGGGCATCCGAGCCTGACTATGGCCTCAGCCCCCTCTCGGCCCCACTGCAAGGGCTGGGGAGGGTTTTTTCCACGCGAAGGAAGAAGTGATCACAGGGTGGTGCCCCCCTGGGGACAGGAGTCCCAGCCGGTCACCTCCCCCAAACCAAGGAGCGCTGATCCCCAAGGCCTGAGGCTGCCCCCTCAGCGCGGGACAAAGACACCGGGGACCCCATTCGCCCAGAACGCGCCCCGCACTCTGCGCGCCGCCGCGGCTCGGAGTCCGCTAGGTCTCGCCCCTGTCTCTCTCGGCCCCCGAGCCCCCAGCCCGCGATATCCCCCGCCCCTGTCCAGGCCCGCTCACCGTCCACATCCCGGCGCTCCCCGAAGCCGGCGCGCACAGCCCCGGCGCGGCCTCGCGGGGGGCTCAGCTTGGTCCTCAGTTCCGTGAACATGGGGCCCGCGGTCCCAGGCCCACGCACACGCCCCTCGCCGGGCGCAGGGCGGCCGGTGTGGCCGGCGGGGAACGCGCGCCGCCGCCCCGCCCCGCCGGCCCCGCGCCCGAGCCGGTCCCAGCGCCCGAGCCGGTCCCCGCCCCACCGGCCCCGCGCCCGAGCCGGTCCCCGCGCCCCGCGAGTCTGCGCGGCGAGGCACCTGCCGCTGAGCCCAGAGTGCCAGGCGCGCTCCGGGAGCTGCGAGGTGTGTCGGCGGCGCGCGGGTCTGCGTAGGCAAAGGGTGTCAGAGCAGGGGGCGTCCGTGCGCACCTGGGCATGCCTCCAAGGACGAGTGACCCTGTGCACCTACAGGAGGTCCAGGCGCCTGAGGGAGCTTCTGAGCCAGCGAAGTAAAGATGCATTCGTCCCCTCTGTGGGTGTGGCAGGGTGAGGCGGGCATCCTACCTGCTCCTGGGACCTTCTGCCCACTGGGGCCCAGGTCAAAGGCCAGACCCTCTCCCAACCACTTCCCTCCCCATTCCTACCCCAATTTACTCACTTCTTTACTCAGCATTCTTCAGACCTCTCCAGAGGTCTCTCCCTCAAATGGGCACTTGCTTCCCCAGAAAAGCCAGTTTGACCGTCTCTTACCCCCCACACTGTGAACTCCAGGAGGACAACCAGGGTCTCTCCCCTTCCCTCTATAGCCCCCAAATCTGACTCAGTGCCCAGGATGTGGTATTGAAATAGGTGTGGCTGGGGACTGGGAGGAGAGAGAAACTCCAAGGAGGCTGCAGTAGGCAGGAGGAATGCATTTGCTTCAGGACCTCAGTAAGGAGTGCTAGGGTGGGCTGGGGGCTGCCTGGTCCAGCAGAAGGCCATTGCAACCAGCTGAGTTTTGCCTGCTCTGCCAGGAGCCTGAGTGCTCCTCCTAGGAGTGTGTGTGGGCCAGCACATGTCCCACAGCAGAGTGAGCAAAGGTGCACATGGACATGCAGAAATGTGTGCAGAGTGCAGTTATGCATGTCCACCTAAGACGAGCACAGGTGATCTGACCTGGACCCCTGTCCACCGATAGACCAGTAAGGATTTTTGGGAACGCACAGTGACTGCTGACGCCCACTACTGACTTGTTTACATAGATCTGCTGCATTTATTTCTTTTAGTCAGTTAGCTCATTGGGGCTGAGTTCCCACTCTCACTGGAATGTGCCGGGTCTGGTGGGGGTGTGACTGGGGCCTGTACAGGGACAGTGGCCCAAGTGGGGCCAGGCATCTGAGCGCTGAGAGCAAGGGCAGCAGTCTGCACACAGGCACATGCAGCCAGATGTGCCCGCAATCACGACACATACACCTGCACAAGCCGGACCCTGGAAACTGGATAGGTGTGCACCTGCGCTCAGACGCGTTAGGGCCTGCCTAGGGCCAGGGAGACTCTAAAGGGCAGGGTGGGCGGCCAGGGCTGCATCGCAGGGTCCCTGGCGGCCCGGCAGGCTCAGAGGAGAGGACCCATGGGTCCCGCTCGGACAGGGGGCCTCCTCGGCAAGGCATCGAGAGCACGTAGTAAGCAAGGATGCACCAGGCTGTTTTGAGCTCCCGCCTGATCTGCCCAGGATGGTGTCACCTCCTCGCCCGCCCGCCTCACCACAAACAGGCGTGCCCGCGCATGCGCCTGCCGCATCTCTGCCTCTTAGCCGCCGCCGGAAGTCGCCGGAAAACGCTTTTCCGGAACTTCCGTCTCGGGAATTCAAGGCGGGCGGGGCCTCGTGCGGACCGCGCTCTCTGCTTCCGGGGCGCGGGTGACGCCGAGCCCGTGAAGTGAGGCGAAACCGCGGACGTCTCGGGGTTTTCGCCTCTGGCTGCGGCCTCCGTCCTTTCGCTTCCAGATCTTCGTCGTCCCTGGCGCCATGAACAAGAAGAAGAAGCCGTTCCTGGGCATGCCCGCGCCGCTCGGCTACGTGCCGGGCCTGGGCCGGGGGTGAGGTCTGGGGTGGGCGGCGCGGGCCGCGCGCTCTTGGGGCCGGGGCCGGGGCCGGGGGAAGAGACCGGGCCGGGCTGGGTCTGGGGTAGGGGCAGGGGCCCGGGGCAGAGGCCAAGGGCCCGGGCCGGGGCCGAGGCAGGGGCAGGCGCAGGGTGCCGACCCGGGCTAGACCGTTCTAACTGCCCGCAGTTCTTCCCGGGAGGCAGCCGGATTAGGGTAGCTCGCCGATGGCGACGAGGAAGACGAGAACAATGATAAAAATTAAGCTACTAGGCAGTTTGGCTTAATCCTTGTAGGAAGAACAGTGCTTTGGGATTAGGACAGACGCGAGTATGAGTTCTGGCTGTACCGAAGAGGTGTGTGATTTGGGGTTTAACTGTGGGTTGGCCCGTTTTCTGGTCTGTAAGATGGGTAATAACATCATTTTGCTGGTCTGCTCTGACGAGCGAGTGCATCACTGACACGTGGTTGGAACACCGTGGTTACCCTCCCTAGGCCAGGCAGACCCCTCAACCTGTCTTTTAAACATGAATGATCCTTTCCCGACATTCCGGGCTAGGTTCCTCTCTGTGGCCGCTGGTAGTGCCTCATTCTTTCCCTATAGTGTTGGTCGTGATATGCTGCTTGTTCGAACTCTGAGCTCCCCAGGGGCAGGGATGCCACCTGTGAGGCTTATGACTGGGTCTCCTATGCCTCTCTCACAGATGACTACCACAAGTTGTTGAATAAATGAGCAGGCGTTAACATCCTATTTGTTGGATTATTCATTTGATTAGGAAAACTATTGGGTTTCTCTTGTTGGGGGTATTATGTTAGAATCTGTGAGACACACATAAGTCTAAGGTATTGACACTATTTTCAGAGGACCTGCTGTTTACTAGGAGATATGAGGTGTTTGCATAAATAAGTACATGAAGAGGAAGAGATTTAGAACTCTGGGGTTCCAGCGATCAGGGAATACTCTGTGGAGTGGCATTGGACCAAGTTTAGAAGGTGAGCTGGATTTAGGGATGGAGAGACGTGCCAAAGTTAGAGGAGGAACTGACATTTTGTGTGTTGGGCACTTGGCGTGGAGGACGATGAGGGAGTAGCAAGGAGTCTCTGACTGGAACATGTAGTGAATGGAGTGGAGCTACAGGAGGCCAGAGGGGTCAGATCTCCTGCAGGCACTGGAAAGACAGAAGTCTTCCGAATGCCACAGTCAGAGTGGCATCGAAGCGGAGGAAGGCTGCAGGAAGGGCTGGCTAACTTGGTTCCCAGCTGTGATGGGAGTCATGGTCTGGGGAGGAGGGCTTTTGAAGGTGGACTCAGTAGAACTTGGCAACAGATGGGATGGAGAAGGAGGAAGAGGGAGGCAAAGCTGATGCCATGGTGCCTGGGGTGGCACTGCTGTCATCAGCTGGGACAGCCCAGAGCAGCTGCAGGGCAGGCACGAAGAGGAAGTGTGATTGGGTCAAGTTGGGTCTTGGCGGGGGGATGACTAGCAGGTTGTTGGAAGTGGGAGGCTGGTGCTTGAGAAGGAGGGAGGTCTGCTGCCCTGGTGACTCTCAAGGAGAATGTGGGGTGGCAAAAGATAGTCTTGGTAACCTCCTCAGGTTAGGTCAGAAGATTTCTCCCCTGAACAGGCTAGTAATGTTAGAGAACGTGGCTGTGCGTAGTTCACTGCCATCTGGATCTTTGAGGTTTCCCAGAGGTGTTGGAAAAAGAGGGGTTGTCCAGTGACGACTGTGGAGGGCAGAACGTGGGAACAAGGTCACCCAGATAAAGGGGCTTCTCGGGGTCTTCTGCAGTGCCACTGGCTTTACCACCCGGTCGGACATTGGGCCTGCCCGGGATGCAAATGATCCTGTGGATGACCGCCATGCACCCCCCGGCAAGAGAACTGTCGGGGACCAGATGAAGAAAAGCCAGGCTGCGGATGATGACGACGAGGATCTGAATGACACCAACTATGACGAGGTGACTGGTGGTGGGCTCCCCGGCCAGTCTCCAGAAGGGCTGACCAGCTTGTTAACCCAGTGTGCTGTTGGCATCTGTGATGAGTGGCTGGGAGTGGCTGTTACATTTCATATTTTGGCTATTCAAGGAATATGTTTAGCAGCAGGTGAGAGGGGAGCAGGAAAAATACAAAAATGTACACTTTTGTTGTCTCTTTAAAGGAGATGTCCTGGGGCCAGCCCCGTGGCCAAGTGGTTAAGTTCGAACGCTCTGCGTTGGCTGCCCGGGGTTTCGCCAGTTTGAATCCTGGGCACGGACATGGCACCGCTCATCAGGCCATGCTGAGGTGGCAGCCCACATGCCACAGCTGGAAGGACCCACAACTAGAAAAAATATACAACTATCTACCGGGAGATTTGGGGGGAATAAGGAAAAAAAATAAAATCTTTAAAAGAGATGTCCTGGGGCTGGCCCAGTGATATAGTGGTTAAGTTGGGTACTCTGCTTTGGCAGCCCAGGGTTTGCAGGTTTGGATTCTGGGCATGGACCTACACACCACTCATCAAGCCATGCTGTGATGGCATCCCACATACAAAATAGAGGAAGATGGGCACAGATGTTAGCCCAGGGACCATTGTCCTCATAAAAAAAGAAAAGAAAAAAAGAAATGTCCTTGCAGATATTAGCACCTCTGTATTGGTGTTTTATCTTGGTTGATCTCTCGTGTTGAAGACGGAAAGTGAAACTGGTGATCACATTTGCTCTCTTTTGCTTTAGCGTTCACCCTCTTAGTTAACTGGTATTTGGGCAATTGAAGTTTTCTTCAGATGTGTTCTAACAGATGGTACTTTTCCTTAGAGGAAAAGATTTTTAAAAAGATTTAATTCTGAAATAATTTTAAATTTACAGGGAACTTCAAAAATAATATGGAGGATCCCTGCATACCCTTCACAAGCTTCTCCCCATCTTGCGTGATCTTAATTCAGTTATTGAAACCAGAAAATTAAAGTGATACAGCACTCTTAACTGATCTGTAATCTTATTTGCATTCCACACCTGTTTTTCCACCTGTGTCCTGTCTCTGGTCCAGGACCTATTCCAGGATCCCACGTTGCCTTTGGTTGTGTCTTCTGACTCTCCTCCAATGCGGAGAGCTGCTCCACCTTCAAGCCCTTGACACTTTCGAAGAGTACTGACAGTTTTATCCCTCAGTTTGGGTTTGTCTGATTCAAAAACCTTGTTTAGCAAGCATTTTACAACTAGGATTGTTCTCTGGTTCTGCTGGTGGGGACTGTGTTGGAGGAAAAGCTGGCCCTCTTAAGTGTGGTGTTTGGTTCTCAGTTTAATGGCTATGCCGGGAGCCTCTTCTCAAGTGGGCCCTACGAGAAAGATGATGAGGAAGCAGATGCTATTTATGCAGCTCTGGATAAAAGGATGGATGAAAGAAGAAAAGAAAGAAGGTAAAACAAATGATTGCCGTTTTAAAAGTTTATCTAACTTTTTAAAAAAGTTTTGTTTTGACTTATTTCAGACTTGGAGAAAGGTTGCAAGAATAGTATGTGTGTCTGCTCAGCTTTGAGGCCGCCTGGGTCTTGGTCCATGGCAGCCGCACTTGGGTAAATGCTGGGCTGCGGAGGAGTCTTTGGGCCTGGGGCCTAGATGGAGAGTTTAAGAACTCTGTCTGGTTTTCCAGAAACTGATAAAATTTGGAGGATTGTTCTGAGTACACATCAGGGTTCCCATCTTTGAAATGGGCATAGTGATGTCAAGTAATGTATATTAAGTAATTTGGAAGTTAACTCAGGGTGGCGAATGAACATCTAAATCCTCTTGGGCAGGCCGTTGGGCCTTGAGAGTCTCGTTCCACACCTCCCTATTGGGGCATGACCACGGGGACTGTGGGGCATCGGGCTGGGCTTCTGGGGGCAGACTGCAGTGAGCCTGCAGGGAGCGAGGCCCCAGCAAGCGAAGGAGTGTCTGTCCTTGGAGTCCTGTTGAAGGCAAGACTGCTCTTCAGCAAGGCCCTCATGTTTTCTCCTTGGGGCCCTTAGTGGGGGTCTTGCGTGGAAGGTTGGTCTGGCCCGTCTTTGTGTTGATGTTGCCTCAGTGTACCCATTGGTAAGGCAACTTTCTGCGTTTCCTGTCCTTGCTCTGGGGAAGCTTATGCAAAGTGAACACACACTCTTGCAAATCATAATAAATTATATTGCTTTGTAAGTTTGTTACATTTTTTTGTCAGAGAAAGAATATATTCTCATTATAGACTGTAGGATAATGAGATTAACTATAGGTAAGAGGATAACATTTATTCATAAACCCAGAAAGTGACAGTTAACATTTTGGTTCACTTTCCTTTTTCTCTTGCTCATTATGTGTACAATTTTGTAACTTCCTGTAGTAGATGTAGAATTTTTGTTTTTCAAGATCATTTTAGAGGCGTGAAATATAGTTCTTCAGGGGAGTTTTTTTTAAAGCTTGTTATTAAATTGATGTGTGTGAATATACATTTGTAGTAATTGTGTGCCTGGTTTTGCATACTAAAGATTTGAATCTAGTCTTCTGGAATTCATTCATAAAACCTGAATGACATGGATATGTATAGAAAGTTGTCATATTAAGTGGTTTTAGAAAAGTGGTTGGCTTTTAAAAACTTTATTATGAAAAATTTTCATATAAACAAGTAGAATAGTGTAGCAAACACACACGTGCCCCCAGGCAGTCTCCACACTTGTTCACAGCTTACACGCTTGTTGCATCCGCATCTGCAGGTGGTGTTTGCTGGGTCATGTCAGGGCCAGTTTGCCCTCAGCTCAGCTGTCCGTCTCCCTTGTCAGCGCAGCAGCACCTTTGTCATGCTCAGCAACGTGAAGGCTGATTCTTCGTCACCTGATAGCCAGTCCGCCTCCGTATTTCCCTGCTTGTCCCCAGAACATTATAGAACTGCTTTTTTCAAACCAGATACAATCAGAATCACTCCTCAGATCATGTGTCCTAACCACTCCTGCACCCCCATTTTTAACCTTTTCGTGACATTGGCCTTTTGAAGAGATAAGTTGTTTTGTAGAACGGTCCAAATTATGGAATGGCTGCCTGTCTCCTCAGGCTGTCCTTGAACTTGTTCTGCTCTCAGTATTTCCTGTGCAGTGGAAGTTGGTGCCTGAGGCTTGATTAAAATCAGGTGGAACATTTTTGGCCAGAAAACCTGATAGGTGCATCTGTGTCTGTTGCTTTGCATTAGGAGCCATGATGCCTGACTGTGTCCAGCTTATGGAGAGGTGTCTGTCTTTTCCAAGCACGTGATTTGTCTTAATACATTCCAGTTCCTACCTACGGATATTTTCCTTTTCCTTTACAGAGGAAAGTGTACATCTCGATGTTAGAGTGTATTAGCTCCTTGGTTCATATCAACTTGTTTGCGTAATGTGGTTGGTACTTTGTCACAGTTTCCTGTTACTCTTTGTTCAAATCTAACCTGCAGATTTTTTCCAAGTCCCTAGACCTGGTTTTAAATTACCACTAACCCAGTCACTCTCCATCCCTGAAGATCAGTTGTGCGGGGGTTGGCACAGACCGGTAGTTCTGGCCGATGGAGCAGTAAAGCTGACAGAGGGCTGGTTGTTTGTGGAGGGGCACTATTGACTTGGAAGAGAGGGAAGCAGCGACAGGTAGAGAGTCAGGTGGGCAACTAGGACAATGGTTCAGCTTTTCCTCTCAGTTGAGCATTCACAGAAAGGGCCTACCTTTGGAATTGTGTAGGGTTTTAGAGCATTGGTATACTTGTGCTCAAATGCAGGTGTTTATGTCAGAGTAAGACAAATCGTTTTTATTTTGGTGAATTTCTGCATATTTTCATGTGGTAGATAATTGAGTTACTGTATTTGTGAATGTATCCTTTGTTACCTTAAAATATATTTAATTTCAGTCTTGAATGTGTGGAGTTATTCTTTTTTGTGATTTAAGTATAATAAAGTGACTTTCAGAGTAAACATCCAGTGTTTCTAATGCATGCGCACATTTTACTTTCTAGGGAGCAAAGGGAGAAAGAAGAAATTGAGAAATACCGCATGGAACGCCCCAAAATCCAACAACAGTTTTCAGATCTCAAAGTAAGCAGATAGATGACATGCTGTTTCTAGTGTACTTAACCTACCAAGCAGAGAACCAGACTGCCCTGGAGTGGAACTGAAGAGACCTCACTGACTTTGCTCTTCATTTGATTCAGATGGTAGAAGGTCCCCCTTTATATGTTTAAGTATATGTTGATTTGTGCAGAAAGCCTCTCCTCCCCCACTGAGAAAGGCGGGACAGAGGAGCTTGTTTTCTTTGTATCTTTAACTCCATTTGTACATAAGATTTCCTAAACTGTGTCCTCTGAGCTTTGACAGAAAAATTTACATTTGAGTGAAGTAGAGCAGATCCAACAAATTGATTTTTTTAAGAGAAACACATAACCATTTCCGCCTCGAAATCCTAAGGCATGATGATTTGGGGGCTAGGGATCAGGGAGAGCATAATTTTTCTTGTGCATGTGAAATTCTGCCAGAGAATTAACGTTTTCGGGGGTCGGTGTTTCCAGAGGAAGTTGGCAGAAGTCACAGAAGAAGAGTGGCTTAGCATCCCTGAGGTTGGCGATGCCAGAAACAAACGCCAGCGGAACCCGCGCTATGAGAAGCTGACCCCTGTTCCTGACAGTTTCTTTGCCAAACATTTACAGACTGGAGAGAACCATACTTCAGTGGATCCTCGACAAACTGTGAGCATCCAAAAAGAAGGCAAATGGGACTCCTTTAGTCTGGTCGATGGGCCAGTGGTGGGGGCTCTGGGTGGTGTTGCAGAAGGTGCTTCTGTAGTTCAGTAGCTGTGCTGTGGCTGAGTCTTGTCTGTGCAGCGGTGTATGTCAGGCTATGATAGAAGGATTTCAGGTTCTTCTACATGGAAATGCAAGCTAGCGTTTTGTCTTCTTCCTCTCCAGCAATTTGGAGGTCTTAACACACCCTATCCAGGTGGACTGAATACTCCATACCCAGGTGGAATGACACCTGGATTGATGACACCTGGCACAGGTGAGCTGGACATGAGGAAGATCGGCCAAGCGAGAAACACTTTGATGGACATGAGGCTGAGCCAGGTGAGAGTTTATGTCATGCAACATTTTCATACAGGTGATACTTAAAAACTTTTGTTTTCTGATTATAAAACGAATGTATATTTGTGAAATGTTTATTTTTTTTAACTTTTGTCCAAATTTTTTAATTGTAAAATACACATAAATTTTTCATCTTAACCATTTTTAAGTGCACAGTTCAGTGGCATTAAGTACATTCACATTGTTGTGCGACCATCGCCACTGTCCATCTCCACAACTCTTTCATCTTGTAAAACTGAAACTGTGTATACCCATTAAGCTGTAACCCCTCCCAGGCCCCAGCAACCAGCATTCTGCTTTCTGTCTCTATGATTTTGACTACCCTAAGTATCTCTTGGAAGTGGATGCATGCACTATTTGTCTTTTTGTGACTGGCTTGTTTCACTTAGCAGAATGTCCTCAAGGTTCATCCATGTTGTAGCATATGTCAGAATGTCCTTGCTTTTTAAGGCTGAATAATATTCAGTACGTATATACCACATTTTGCTTATCCATTCATCTATCAATGGATACTTGGGTTGCTTCCCTGTTTTAGCTATTGTGAATAATGCTGCTATGAAGATGGGTGTGCAGATCTTGCTTTCAGTTCTTTTGGGTATATACCCAGAAGTGAGTTGCAGGATCATAGGCTAATTCTAAATTTCTTTCTTTCTTTTTTTTTTTTTTTGCTGAGGAAGATTTGCCCTGAGCTAACATCTGTTGCTAATCTTCCTCTTTTTGTATGTGAGCCACCGCCACAGCATGGCCACTGATGAATGCTGTAGGTCTGTGCCTGGGAACCGAACTTTGGCTGCCAAAGTGGAGCACCAGACTTAACCACCAGGCCACTGGGGCTGACCCTCTATGAAATGTTTATTTTTTGAAGTGCTTTGTCACAAGACAAGCAGACCTGTGATGATGTACAGTTCCTGTCCCATTAGAGTGACGGGATTCTGCATTCAGGCTGGTTCTTGCATCTACCTACAGGACATGCACAGGTGCAGTGCACTCAGAGTGCCCACAGCAAAGGGCCAGCCATGGTGGGTACTCCTGCTCCCTCTCGGGGGACTGGGGGCTGTCGAAGGTGACAAAGGGCTGCCTGACACGCAGACTGGATGAAGGCACTCCTGACAAGCCTCATGCTCACTGTGAACGAAATTTAATGTCCTTCCCTGTTTACATAAAAGTTAAATGCACATATTTTCTTTCTGCATCCTAGTAAATTGTTGTGGCCGTTGGGGGGCATGTGCTCCATTAAATGCTCCAGAAAACCCAGGTGAGGTGGAAAACCTTTATAATTGTGACATGCACATCAGAAACCAACAAGGAAAAGACTTTCACATTTGATTACGTACAAATTAAGAACTTGCAAAAAAGAAAGCACTGTAAAGTCAAAAGAACCAACAAATTGTGAAAAAGTCATCATGCACATGAAAACCAGTGGTAGAGTAGTATGTGTAGTTTTCCATTTGTGCTGGGGAAGAGAATGTCCACACACGCATGTGTTTGCACATCGTGGAAAGTGTCCAGGGCTGCACACCCACACCACCAGGGAACAAGCTAGGTGTGTGGAGTGGGAGCGAAGTGTTAAACGGTTTTTTTTTTTTTTTAACGATTTAAGGCAACAACTGTTGCCTTTTTTTTTTTAAGGATTGGCACCTGGGCTAACAACTGTTGCCAATCTTTTTTTTTTTCCCTGCTTTATTTCCCAAACCTCTTCCCCCCCTCCCCCCCCCCCCCCCCGCCCCCTGCTGGATACATAGTTGTATATCTTAGTTGCAGGTCCTTCTAGTTGTGGGATGTGGGACGCCACCTCAACGTGGCCTGACGAGTGGTGCTGTGTCCGCACGCAGGATCCGAACCCTGGGCTGCCGCAGTGAAGCGTGCGAACTTAACCACTCAGCCTCAGAGCCAGCCCCGTGTTAAACGGTTTTTAAGGAAAAATTTCACACGTACTTGGAAGTAGAAAAATAATGTAGTGAACTATTCAACCATTACTATTTGATGCAGTGGGAAGTTTTAAATTTTAGTTGAGCTTTTACTGTGCCTCTTAAATTTTTTCTGGTGAGCAAATATTTTATAATATAAATCCAGTAGCTTACCAATTAAAACAATTGCACATGTTTTCGTGTTCCTAGATGTGTATCTACTTTATAATTGGAGAATAGTTCATTGTTTCCGAGTATCATGATTTTGTCCTTGGTTAATGGTCCTTTTGTGTTGTTGCTACTTTTTTACTGTTATAAGCCATGCTTTGACGAACTCCTCATGCTTTTATCTTTGCACATTAAGGAAACATTTGTATAGTATCTTTAAAGTGGAGTTGTTGGATCAGTGTATTTTCACTTAAATACCAAATTGTCTTTCAAACACATGGCATTTCATGCTCAGCAACATGAGATGAGCATGTCTGTGTGATCACACCGTTGGCAATGCTGGCTCAGCGGTCATTGTCTTTGTCGTTTTTGCCAATCTCAAAGGCAAACTCCCTTCGCCTCAGCAAGCCTTAATCTGCATTTTCGTTACTGGTGAAGTGGGGCATCTTTCCTGTTTGTTTGTCTTGGGCAACTCTTCTGTGAAATGCTGCTTTTGTCATTTGCCCGTTTTCCTCTTAAGTTTTAACACAGTGATCATTTATGTTGCGTGTATCTGCTCTCCTTTGTTGTGCTCTTTCAGACTTGTGTGTGGAATATAGAAATATTTTCTTTGAAAAGACTTTATCATGGTTAATTTTTTTGTGGTAAAATATATGCAAGATCAAATTTTCTGTTTTAACCATTTTAAGTGCACATTTCAGTGCCATTAAGTACATTCACGTTGTTGTGCACCATCCCCACCATCCGTCTCCAGAACTTTCTCATCTCCCCAAATGGAAACTCTGTCCCCAATAAACGCCAACTCCCTCCCCTCCCCCAGCCCTGGCTCCACCATCCTACTTTGTGTCTCTGAATTTGACTCCTCAAGGTGCCTCACGTGAGTGCATTCACACAGTGCTTCTCCTTTTGTGCCTGGCTTGTTTCTCTGAGCATAACGTTCTCAGGGTTCGTCTGTGCTGTAGGCGGTGTCAGGATTTCCTTCCTTTCTAAAGCTGGGTGACATCACTTTATGTGTGTGTATGGGCTGCATTTTGTTTCTTTAGTTATCTCTTGATGGACATAGCTTGCTTCTGCCTTTTGGCTATAGTGAGAAACGCTGCTGTGAGCCTTGGTGTACAAACAGCTGTTGGAGTCTCTCCTTCCAATTCTTTTGGATATAAACGCAGAAGTGGAACTGCTGGTTCATCTGGTAATGCTATTTTTGATTTTTGGAGGAACCACCATACTGTTTTCCACAGTAGCTGCACTGTTTTAGATTGCCAGCAGAGCAGGACCTCATAAAGGTTCTAGTTTCTCCACATCCTTGACAACACTTGTTATTTTCTGATTTTTTAATAATAGGCATCCTAATGAGTGTGAAGTGATGTCTCATTGTGGTTTTCATTTGCATTTACCTGATTAGTGATGTCAGGTATCATTTCATGTGCTTAGTGACTATTTCTGTCTTGGAGAAATGTCTATTCAAGTCCCCCCCTTTTTTTTTTTTGAGGAAGATTATCCCTGAGCTAACATCTGCTGCCAATCCTCCTCTTTTTGCTGAGGAAGATTGGCCCTGAGCTAACATCCATGGTTGTGTATCCTAGTTGTTAGTTTTAGTTCTTTGTGTGAGCCACCGCTGCCACAGTATGACAACTAACAGATGGGTGGGATGGTTCCTGGTAAATGAGCCTGGGCTGCAGCAGTGAGAGTACCAAATCTCTACCACTAGACCACCAGGGCTGGCTGAAAAAAAAAAAAAAAAGAAAAGGACTTGGTGTCTTTTTTTTTTTTTTTTTTTTAGGACGATTAGCCCTGAGCTAACATCTGCTGCCAATCCTCCTCTTTTTGCTGAGGAAGACTGGCCCTAAGCGAAATCTCTGCCCACCTTCCTCTACTTTATATGTGGGACACCTACCACAGCATGGCTTGCTGAACAGTGCCATGTCCGCACCCGGGATCCAAACTGACAGACCTGGGCCAATGAAGTGGAACGTGCGCACTTAACCGCTTCACCACTGGGCCGGCCCCTCAAGTCCTTTTTCAAGAGCAGTTTTAGGTTCACAGCAAAACTGAGAAGCAGGTACAGAAATTTCCCGTATACCCCCTGCCCCACACATCATAGCCTCCTCCATATCAACATCCCCCACCTGATGGTGCATTTGTCACAGTTGAAGAACCTGCGTTACACATCAGAATCACCCAGAGTCCATCGTTTACAGAAGGGTTCACTCTTGCTGTTGTACATTCTGTGGCTTTGGACAAATGTTCGAGGACGTGCATCCATCCTTATAGTATCACACAGAGTAGTTTTGCTGCCCTAACCATCGTCTGCTCCACCTTCATCCCTCCTGCTACTCCCAGGCAACCTCTCATCTTTTTATTGTCTCCATAGTTTTCCCTTTTCCAGAATATCTTATAGTTGGAATCATGCAGCATGTAGCCTTTTCAGATTGGCTTCTTTCACTTAGTGATACTCATTTAAGTTTCCTCCACGTCTTTTCATGGCTTGACGGCTCATTTCTTTTCATCACTGAATAATATTCCATTTTCTGGAATTCATCTTGAAGTTTATTTATTCATTCACCTTGAAGGACATCTTGGTTGCTTCCACTTTTTGGCAATTATGAGTAAAGCTGCTTATAAACATCTGTGTTCAGGTTTTTGTGTAGACATAAGTTTTCATGTTCTTTGGGTAGATACCAAGGCGTGCAATTACTGGATCGTATGGTGAGAGTATGTGTAGATTGTTAGAAACCACCAAACTGTCTTCCAAAGTGACTGCACCATTTTGCGTTCCCACCAGCAACAAATGAGATTTCCTGTTGCTCCACTTCCTCACCATCATTTGGTGTCAGTGTTCCAGATTTTGGCCATTCTAATAGGTGTATAGTGGTTATCTCAATGTTGTTTTAATTTCTGTTTTCCTGCTGACATAGGGTGTGGGGCGTCTTTTCATGTGCTTATTTGCATCTGTATGTCTTCTTTGGTGAGGGGTCTTTTCAGGGCTTTGACCCATTTTTTAGTTGGGTTGTTTGTTTCGTTTTTGTTGTGTTTTAAGAGTTCTTTGTCTATTTAGGTAACAGTCCTGTATCAGATGTGTCTTTTGCAGATATTTTCTCCTAGTCTCTGGCTTGTGTTTTGATTCTGTCCTTTTTTTTTAAATTGAGGTTGTATTGGCTTATAACGTTGTGTAAGTTTTAGGTGTACATTATTATATTTCAGTTTCTGTATAGATTGCATTGTGTTCCCAGCAATAATCTAGTTTTTATATGTCACCATACTTGTCTTTTCATTCTCTTCACAGTGTCTTTCACAGACAGAAATTTTAAATTTTAATGAAGTCCAGTTTATCAATTCTTTATGAATCATGCCTTTGATGTTGTATCTAAAAAGTCATCACCAACCCCAGGTCATCCAGATTGTCTCCTATGTTACCATCCAGGAATCTTATAGTTTTGCATTTTATATTTAGGTCCTTGATTCACTTTGAGTTGATTTTTGTAAAAGACTTGTCTAGACTCATTATTTTGCTGTGTGGATGTCTGGTTGTTCCAGCACCATTTCTTGAAGAGACTGTCTTTGCTCCATGGTATTGTCTTTGCTCCTTTGTCAAAGACCAATTGACTATATTTATATGGCTCTATCTTCTGTGCCACTGATCTATTTGTCTATTCTTTCACCAATACCACACTGTCTTGATTATTGTAGCTTTATTTTAAATCTCAAAGTCGGATAGTGTCAGTCTTCCAACTTTGTTATTCTGTTTCAATGTTGTGTTGCCTATTCTGGGTCTTTTATTTCTCCATGTAAACTTTAGAATCAGTTTCTCAATATCCACAAAATAGCTTGCTGGGATTTTTATTGGAATTGCATTGAATCTATGGATCAAGTTGGAAAGAACTGATATCTGGGGGACAGTACTGGGTCTTCCTTGCCATGAATATGGAATCTCTCTCCATTTATTTGGTTGTTTGATTTTTTTCATCAGAGTTTTGTAGTCTTCCTCATGTGGATCTTGTATGTGTTTGTTAGATTAATACTTAAGTATTTCACATTTTTGGGTGGTAATGTAAATGTTAATGTGTATTTGATTCCATTTGTTCCTTGCAGGCATATAGAAAAGCAGTTGACTTTTGTATTCTGAAACCTTGCTATAATTGCTTATTAGTTCTGAGAGATTTTTTGTAGATTTTCTACATAGACAGTCAAGTCATCTGTGAACAGGATGAAAGCTTCATCCTTTTCTGGTCTTGCTGCATTAGCTAAGACCCTGTTCCCGTTTTTCACTCGGGCTTTTTGTTGTTTATCATAGTGATTTTAAAATAACTACAGAGAATGGTATAATGAACTGCTACATTGCAGATGTAAAGAAAGTAGTTGAAATAATGAATCTTTTATGACTTCTGAGTTTCGCTCATTCTTAGATAGACCTTTCTTATGTCCAGTTATGTTTTTTTTTTCCTAGAACTTTTATGGTTTCACTTTTTTAATGTAAATTTTTGTTCCATGTAGATGAAATTTGTTTATCATCATCAAAAACTGTGGTTTGAGTTAAGGTCATTTTCCTACTTTTAGAGTTTCCATATCCACTGGTAGTCAAGACGGTGGGAAGGGGCTCCAGGGATGTTGAGTCCTTCGTTTTGGGCATTCCTGCCCTTTCTAATCAACTTGGCTTGGCCTGTCTTGCAGGTGTCTGACTCGGTGAGTGGACAGACTGTGGTCGACCCCAAAGGCTATCTGACGGATTTAAATTCCATGATCCCAACCCATGGAGGGGACATCAAGTGAGTGCTCTGCAGAACTAGTGGGTTGGGGTGGGACTCTGCTTGCCTAGAATGTTTTGGATTTTATTTGAGAAATATGCAGCCAAAATAGGATGGATATTCTAAGGAATACATAGTGGAGTAGTTTCATTTTCTATTTAAAATATATCTGGCTGGGGCTGGCCCCGTAGCCGAGTGGTTAAGTTCGCGCGCTCCGCTGCAGGCGGCCCAGTATTTCGTTGGTTCGAATCGTGGGCGCGGACATGGCACTGCTCATCAAACCACGCTGAGGCAGCGTCCCACATGCCACAACTAGAAGGACCCACAACTACGAATATACAACTGTGTACCGGGGGGCTTTGGGGAGAAAAAGGAAAAAAAATAAAATCTTTAAAAAAAAAAAAAATAGAATTTATAAAGTATATCTGGGGGCCGGCCCTGTGGCCGAGTGGTTAAGTTTGCACACTCCACTTCGGCGGCCTAGGATTTTGCCGGTTTGGATCCTGGGCGCGGATATGGCACCACTCCTTAGGCCATGTTGAGGAGGCGTCCCATACACCACAAATAGAAGGACTCACAACTAAAACAATATACAACTATGTACTGGGGAGGTTTGGGGAGAAAAAGCAGAAAAAAAAATATCTAAAATACATCTGTACCCATTCATTGTGGATCTTAAACTGTTACAAGTAATACTTCAAATCTGTGCACAAGCTGAGCTAAAGAGCGGCCTGCTAATCATGTCCCGTGCTTGCAGCTTTCCCCTAAGTGCTCAGCACCTGGCTCCCAAAGAGGTGCTCAGAGGCTCTGTGCAGGGTGCTAAGCAGGCGTGGAAAGTTGCTGACTAGGGTTTTGAGTTGGTTATGTCACTCGGGACATCAGGTTTGACAGATCGTACGTTGTCTGTGCAGTGGCGCCTTCTTTCTGGGCTCAGGTACACCCTTGACAGTGTGGTGGCCTGATCCTGTGGGCTTTCTTGCCCTCTAGTGATATCAAGAAGGCACGACTGCTCCTCAAGTCTGTTCGGGAGACAAACCCTCATCACCCACCAGCCTGGATTGCATCAGCCCGCCTGGAGGAAGTCACTGGGAAGCTGCAAGTAGCTAGAAACCTTATTATGAAGGGGACGGAGATGTGCCCCAAGGTAAGACATTTTCCTGGAGGCTGCATGATGCCATTCCTGGGTGGACTCTTGGTGTCTGTACCACCCAGGACACCTGTGGGAGTGAACCTGCCTGCCTTTTGGTGTCTAGACAAGTGACAGTAGGACAGGTGTGGGCTGGCACCTGTTTATTTTCCCTTGGACTGAAGTTCCCTCCACCATTAGTTTAATGGCAGGACAACCCTAACTAGAAAGCACTAAATTGGTTAGCTCTTCCACCCCACCTAATAATGTAAGAAACCTAAGCATTGGGGGTGGCCCCGTGGCCGAGTGGTTAAGTTTGCGCGCTCCGCTGCAGGTGGCCCAGTGTTTCGTTGGTTTGAATCCTGGGCGCGGACATGGCACTGCTCATCAAACCACGCTGAGGCAGCGTCCCACATGCCACAACTAGAAGGACCCACAACGAAGAATATACAACTATGTACTGGGGGGCTTTGGGGGAGAAAAAGGAAAAAAATAAAATCTTTAAAAAAAAAAAAAAGAAACCTAAGCATTAATGCCAACTCTCAGGAGAATATCCCAGCACTATTTTTTGGAGTAGAGTGATAGATAAGCTTTAAAAAGTCCTACAAGACTTTCTAAGTGATCATACACTTATTGTGCAGACTGCGGTACCCTTGACAGTGAAAGATGCTCTATGAAAACTTACCCTAGGATATTAGGCATGAATCAGAACTTCCCAGGCAAACGCACAGCCACCTGCCTGTATGTTTTCGCTTTGCCTGTGGATTGACTTATTATCTTGCAGGGCAAACTGTTCTTTTCCCATAACGTGGTTGCATGTCCCCTGACTCAGACAGAGACATGCTGTAGCCACATTCCCAAGCGTTGCTGTTATTGGGTCTGTGATGCAGGTGTGTTTGAGGCCAAGCTGATGGAGTTTGTTTGATCATAAACCCCATGGTCCCGATGAGCCAAGCCCTTCCTGTTTTCGAGGTTTCTGTGTGCACTTCCAGGGATGCCTGCTACTCTGTCATGGCTTCCAGCCTGCACAGACGCTTATGTTCTTTTCTTTTGCTCCACAGAGTGAAGATGTCTGGCTAGAAGCAGCCAGGTTGCAGCCTGGGGATACGGCCAAGGCCGTGGTGGCCCAAGCGGTTCGTCACCTCCCACAGTCTGTTAGGATTTACATCAGAGCAGCAGAGCTGGAAACGGACATCCGAGCCAAGAAGCGGGTGCTTCGGAAGGGTGAGTCTCCGGGGTGTCTGTGAGGGGCAGGTGCATGTGCACACGTGCAGGAAGTGCTGCCTGCTTGGTCCTGGTGCCATGCTCTTGGAGAGCAGCTTTTCCACCGCTTTGCTCAGGCTTTAGTGGCGGTGGTTCAAGAATGGGTGACGTTTTCCAGGCCTTTTTCTGGGCTGGGTTGCCTCTGCCCTTGGACCCTCTGTGGGAGGAATTTCTACCCTGATTGAGGTGCGTAGGTTCAAATCACACTCCTGCCTTTTCATGCTGTGTGACCTTGAGTGAGTTGGGCAATTGCTCTGTGGCCCAGGTTTTCCCAACTACAAGACAAGAACAGCAACAACATTCAGAACCTGCTTTTTAGGGCTTGATGAGACCGTGTGCGTGAAGGGTGGAGCTGAGCCAGCACAAAGCAGACCTTGTGGGTGTTAGTCTTCTCTGCTGTCTGCTAGGAGCCGGATACTTCAGTAGGTAGAAGTGTGCCACTTGCTTTTAAGTGAACTGACGGGGTGGTCACACCAGAGCTGTGCATTAATTGAACTCCTTCCCATCTCATCAGCCTCCTGTGAGGCAGTGCCTCACCTTCTTGCCTAGTGTTTTAAGCAAGGTAGTGTGTGCCGTGGGCCCCAGTCAGGGTGAAGGTTTACATGCCAGGGAAACGGAGTCCATCCAGGGATCACTGCCAAGATGAAGCTTTTGTGGGCAGTTTGTTTTTCATTGTTGGGGAATTGATAAAAGGGATGGTATTTCTCTCTTCCCCAGAACTGTCTGGTCGATGCTGCTTTGGTCTTTGTTCCAGAGCAGATGCTGATCAGAGGGCAGATCTGGAGTAAACCTGTGCAGATGGCTGTTCCCACCTGAGTTTGTAGAGTGGGTGAAATCAGTGAGAGGCTTCCAGCACTCGTTTGTAGGAGGTGCGTTTGAGTGAAATGTTAGAGGTGTGCAGTGTCAAGCAGTACAGGTATAATCACAGTGTCCAACTCTGTACTGTGTGTGGTAGAGGCCAGGCGGAGTCCACCTTGTATGTGACCCTGTCTGCGTGCCTGTTTGTGCTTGTAAGTGTTTTCCTCTCTTGGGTCTGATTTCTTGATTGAAGCCCCGCTGCCCATTAAATGCCCAGAGCTAGTCTGAAGGGGCCAGTAGCAGAAAGTTAGCACTAGTCTTGGTTTGTAGAAATCGACTTATGTTTTCCATCCAGGAAAACAGTTCTGTAATGACAAACACATTGAACTCTGGGTAATTAGCATTATTTATTTAGGATAGCTCTACTGATTTTCCCCTGCCATGGCGTGATGAATGGTCAGAATGTCTTTATGGCCCCTCCCTGTTCATTACCAGATTGCTTCAGCTCGTTTCCAGTTGGCTTCAGATTTGGAGAGTGGAGCGGGCACAGAGGTGGGGCCTGCGAGGAGTATTGAGTGACTGCATTTCCAGGCCGTCCTGGACCTTGAGGGGAGTGGTCCTTCTGGCTCTGCTTTCTCTCAGGCAGAGAAGCTTTGCTAAGGTGGAAAGAACATGGAATTCCCAAACTGACCTCTGCCCCTGCTCCCCGGTCCTGATCCTGATCCTGGCCTACCCCCCTCCTTAGAATATTTCCAAAAACAACGTTCTTTTTCCAGGTGACTGGGGCAGAGCTGGGCACCACCTCATTTAACTCTTGGTGAACACTTGTCAGCCACTGCTTGAAGGATCTGATTTTCGATAACTAAGATGACAGCTATATCTATCAGTGGCTTGGGACACCATGCCAGCCCTCAGTTTCTGGCGTGTGAGCTCTGGGATGCAGCTGACGTCTAGTCCTTTGTTGGGAGAACTGGAGCTTCAGATGCTGGTCTGAGCCCTGAGGAGGCCGAGGGACCTTGGGTGTGGTGCTTGATCGCTGAGCTGCGGTGTCCTCTGTAAGGGCACTCTAGGCCTGTAAGCATTGTGCCCTGGGGCCAGGCCTTTGGCTGTTTCCTAATAGAGGTGAAGCACTCTCTTACTCTGCTAATTACTGCAGTCATATAAGAGTGGAGTTATTTGACCCCAAAACTATATACTCTGGTCCATAGAGTATAGCATCCTCCGGCAGCCATCACTGTTGGGTCACTGTGAGCACAGGGACAGCACCTGAATGTCCTCACCCCCAGCGCCATGGGCTGGAGATCACGTTGACCTCTACATGGGCCCGGCTTCTGCTAACAGGCATATCTAGTTCAGAGTGCTCTCTTCCTGTCTGGGCCGCCTCCTATACGCCGGCTGGCTGTAGCTTCTCAGGCAACCTTGACACAGCAGCACAGCATGGTAGCTTGTCTCTGGGAAGCGCGTTGGCAGGAGCTGGACCCATCAGCAGTGGTGGGCTTTAGCTCCAGTCCCATGGCTGCTGACAAGATGCCAACGAAGGAGTTCCTGCGCGCTCTCAAAAAGTGGAGACGCAGAGTCCTGGGGGTCGTATGCACCTCTGGGTGAAGTTAATGACCCTACAAGTTCAGTCCCACCTGAATGTTCTGTACCTTAGAAGCTAAATTGTGAAGCTCACCTCCATCAGTATGTATTATATGTATGAAATAAAGAGAAGGAAAAGAGAAGAAATAGTTAATATGCGAATGGAGAACAGGCAGGAGGATCAGATATCTAGTTCTGTGTCCTCGTTGCTCCGCCTGGTCACCTGTCTGGAGGTGAAGACTTTCTTCCATTGCTTGGGCCCTCTGCTCATGTCTTACTTGGTCAGAGTTCTTCTTTCCCTGGACAGGTGACCAAACCGTTACTCCTGGAGGGGCTAAATCCTCAGTGATCTTGCTGTCTTGGGCTGCTATACTTCCCATTAACTTTAACTGTTGGAAATGGGAATACTAAACCAGGCCTCAGGACCCTCTGGGCTCTAGTCATGGTCTCCCTGCCCCTGCCCCTGGCACATGGCGGCAATTCAGTCTCACTTTGGAGCCAAGGTTCACTTCTCCGACCAGTGGCACCAGGAGACCAGAGAGATGGGTGACTGCGTCAGCTTGCAGTGTGCCTTGGTGGACACATCCTCCCTTGGGATGAGAACTCCCGACAGCACAGTTCAAAGACATGGAGGTGGGAGCCAGGCCGTCTCAGTGCGTTTGACGTGCAGCCCCAGGGAGCTGCTTGGATGTCACTGCTTCTTCCCAGACCTGTATGTTCTGGCTGTGTGAGAACCCCCACTGTAGGTGGTTGGTTGTCATGGCATTAGTTGCATCCTGTAAAGTCGAGGCCCGCTCCTCTGGGGCGTTTCTCTCACTCGGTGCTTTGAGTGCTCAGTAGACGTCCCCTTGTTCTACTGAGCTGTTGCCTGAATGACAGAGGTAGGGTGATGCCAGAGAATGTCAGGGCTCAAACCCTTTGCTGCACGTCTTTTTCTGGGAAGTAAGTTTCTTGAATGCGTGATGGGTGACTCCATGGGTGGTGGTACTGGCAGAGCGCTGCAGGCAAGGAAGGCAAATCCATTCCAGTAAGAACCAGTCACTGGCCCTCCAGATGGAACCAGTCCAGGATGTCGGCCTGGTCTGGGAGCTGACCAGGGAACAGTTCTCTTGGAGGGGACTCAGCTCAGCAGTGGGCAGCATCAGACCACCTGTGGGAGGGAGCCTGTGTGGATGAACCCTGAATGGCTATGGTCCTGCCTCTCTGGCGCTTGCACACGGCTCCATGAAGCAGGCGGGGGCAATGGGTACCCGGAGGAAGCCAGCCCCCATCTGCAGGACGTGGTCCTGTGTGCTATGAGTGTGAGGCCAGATGGATTCCTTGGAGAGCACTCACATGGGTCACAAATATCTTCACACTCTGATTGTTCTGCCGTCATTCCATGGCACATCTCTTCCCCCAATTTCCAAGCTTCCCACCTGGTTTCTTCCGCTTCCTAGAACCACGGTCAGCTCTTCAGCTGCTGCATGAATCAGCATAGGCCCATCTTGGGCAGTCTCACTTGACCAAGCGGATGATCAAGTGATAACCTGATGCCAGGTCAGGGCAGTCAGTGCTGGTGTACTGTACAGAGTCATGTGTAGACCAAGATGGGCTTTTTCTTCTCAGTCCCTTGATCCTAAGGAACTCCCCAGAGGCCGTAAGTGAGGGCCGAGGGAGGAGGAGGTTGATCAGCAGCCAGCGTGGGAGGCATCTGCCCCATGGCCCAGGCAGCTTACCTGTACCGTACCTGCCTTTGCTCCACCCTTCTCTTGTGCCATTCCACCTGACCACAGGCTGCTGTGCATCTTCCCAGCTTGTGGCTTGTCTGTCACATAGCACCCAAGTTCATGGTGGGTAAATCAGGTTGCTCGGTCACTTAATGTCGCTAAGCCAAATATTCGGTCTCTGCCTGGGCTTAGTGGCCAGCTAGGGGCTTCAGGAGAGAGTAGCTTTGTTCTACAGCCCTAGAGGGGCTCCGTGACTCCTGCTGGGCCTTCCCAGGGGCTCCTTACAGCACACTGGTCAGAATATGTAGACCAAGTGTAGCTGAGTCTGTGAGGTCAGAAGCAGCCTGTGGCACTCGGAAAACAGACGGTAGGGCCCCTCCTAGGTGGTGTGATTCCTGAATGCCCAGGCCCAGGCTGAGGTACTGTCTTCTGTGGCAGGTGGTACGGGAGCAGCAGCTTGTTTTCCATCACAGAGGGGAGGTCCCCACGAGCCCCGGACTGTGGGACCCTTCAAAACTTGCTAAGGGCAGACCCCTGGGGTTTGTGAGGTGTTTCTCCCCACTCCCGAGCCCGCTTGTTCTGGGCATCTTGCATATGTTCTGCTTCCTGCTTACCAGCATGATGACAGCCTGACATGGTGTGCCATGACCCTAGAGTAGGCTGGCTAGGCCATAGGAGAGGGGATGGGGCACCTCCATTTTTACAGGGCCTGTAAAGGAGGGAAGGCCCATCTTCTCAGACAATGAGGTGAGCTGCTTCTGCTGGTGAGGGAGGCTCAGGGTATCACATCCTGGCTTCATCCAAGTCCCCCGGATGGCCCCAGTCTGTGCCCGCATTTCATGTGGGAAACTTTGTGGGTCTGCAAATTCTGCACCATTAAATCTTTCTCTCTTTTTTTTTAAAGATTGGCACTTGAACTAACAACTGTTGCCAATCTTCTTTTTTTTTTTCCCCTACTTTTTCTCCCCCAGTCCCCCCAGTACGTAGTTGTATATTTTTAGTTGTGGCTCCTTCTAGTTGTGGCATGTGGGACACTGCCTCAACGTGGCCTGATGAGCAGTGCCATGTCCGCACCCAGGATCCGAACCAGTGAAACCCTGGGCCGCCGAAGGCAGAGCGTGTGAACTTAACCACACTCAGCCATGGGGCTGGCCCCTGCACCATTAAATCTTAGGTCTGCTTTCTGCAAGGTTGGCCCATGTATTTTCAAGAAACAAGAGCTCCTTTGGAAGCTTCAAGGTGTTGGTTTCCTGCCTGTGGCCCGAGTTGTCATGTTCTCTCCGTCAGCTCAGTGGTCATTGTCACCCTGCCAGAGGCTTGGCCTTACCCTCCCCTAGTGCTCACTCTGCAGGGCTCTGTGTTTATCTGCCTTCTATTTTGGACTGTTTGGTAAATTGCATCTGAAGAAAGGGCTCTGCTGCTTGAACAAAGGTTTGGAAGTTTTTGGACTGCATTGTGCCTCTTCTGGGAGTCTGTCCCCCTTCCCTGATGTCACTCTGTTTGCTGGCTGCCCGTGTCTGAGCTCCTGAGGAAGCCCACCTGCTGCGGAGCTGGTGAGGTAGCACTGCTGTCAGTGTGGTGTAGCCACACAGTGCCCTGGTTCTCCTTGCACTCCTTGGGGCCCAGGAAGGAGTTCCCAAGCTTAGTGGCCGTCAGACGCACGCCAGCCTGGGCAGACACAGATCCCCGTGTCGTTCTGTTTCCTTTTCCTGTGATTTCTGCATGACTCACACTCACAGCTCGCGGGGCCGGCCCTTCCTGTGTGGTGATTGTCTTCTTGTGTCTGCCTTGCTTTGTATTTTAATGTTGATTTTCAAGTGTGAGCAGGAGTAGAGATGACGCACAGTCCTCTGTGCTATCCTCAACTGTCTCCTGTGCCCGAATCTTGCTTTCTTTTTCAAGGTGTTTCACATTGGTCTGGTTTCTGTCTGCCCCAGACCTGAGAGAACCCGTTGAAAGGGTAGGCCTGCAATCCCAGTCTGTCATCCAGGGGAGAGACCATCTGACCCTGCTGACACCAGCATCCTCTGACACAGCATCCTGCTTTCAGTTCCCCTTTTCTGTGACCTGGTTTCTCGTTTGACCTCTCCAGCCCTTGAGCATGTTCCAAACTCGGTTCGCTTGTGGAAGGCGGCTGTTGAGCTGGAAGAGCCCGAAGACGCTAGAATCATGCTTAGCCGAGCTGTGGAGTGCTGCCCCACCAGCGTGGAGGTGAGTTCGCCAGGTTCTCGTCCGCCAGCCCTGCCAAGGCCTGAGCCAAGTTCAGTGTCTGGAAGTGGGATCAGCTGAACATTGAGCTCACCGAGGCTGTGATTCTGGAGACTGTAAGGCAGTGTGAAATCACAGGATGCTGCCCTGTCACACAGCTACCAGGCAGAGTGGTCAGTCTGGCTGTGGCCAGTTCTGCTCCTGATGGAAGTGCAGAACAGAATCTTAACTCTTCTCGGACCACTGCAGAGAATTCTGTGTTGAGCACTGTTTTTCAGGGGTCAGTCCTCCTAATTCAGCTTAGTTTGTAAATGGGACCCGAAGGGTAGAGGGTGATAGAAAATGCTGGTGTATCTTTCTGCCAGCCCAGCATGAGGTTGGCTCTTTGTTTCAAAGCTAGTTGGATTTCTTTAGTTTTAAACCTTCTCTTCATAACATTCTGTGCAGTGATTTTTAGTCTTGGTTTTATGATATCCAATATGTCTTTCATTATCCTAACGGGTATTGTGAAATTCTCCAAACGAAATTAATCTTAATTTATTTACATAAAAATAAATAGAGCCCATGCACATTTTTGGTGATGAAATGTTACAGAATCAACAGCTGCAGTATGAGAACTCCAGAAGGCTGAACTCCATGTGTCCTTTCAGCTTGTGAAGGCAACAGTCATATCGTGTTCACCTGCTGTCCTGACACCTGGGACAAGTCTGGCACACTGTGTATGTTTAACCAGTGTTTGGAATGTGTGACTGAGAATCTGTCATCTTTTTGCGTTAACCAGAGAGTCACTTAAATAAGTCAGAAGCATAACTGAACAGTTACGAGATTAGGCAAAAAAATGCTGCTGCACCCATTCATGGGCTCTGTTTACGTGGTCCTTGAAAGCTTTTAGAAAGAATTCTGTGAAGGTGCTGTGGGCCTGTTGAGATAGGCTCACCCTCCAACCTGGCAGGTTGTGCTGAGTGCTGTCCTCTTGTTTTCTGGTATTTTGTCCATACAGCTCTGGCTTGCTCTGGCGAGGCTGGAGACCTACGAAAATGCCCGCAAGGTCTTAAATAAGGCCCGTGAGAACATCCCTACAGACCGGCACATCTGGATCACGGCTGCCAAGCTGGAGGAAGCCAATGGAAATACGCAGATGGTGGAGAAAATCATTGATCGTGCCATCACTTCCCTGCGGGCCAATGGTGTGGAGATCAACCGTGAGCAGTGGATCCAGGTAAGGTTGGCAGGTAGGACTCCAACTGTGGTCGGATACCAAGATGTCTGCTTTAAAAATGGATGTTCTGCACATTGGAGTCTCTCGTAGGGTAGGGGCTGCAGGATGGTCCCTGAGAGTTCCCATGCTGTCACAGGGTGGCTTTTCTTATGTGACCACATCATTGCCTTTTGTAGAGTCAGGACCCGGAGCACAACTTGAGGTTGGACACTGGAGAACTTTCAGGGCACGTGGGACCTCACCCCTCTGCAAGTAGAAATAATGTGATTGAAAAGGGAATGACAGTCTTATGGCTTCTTTCATTCTTTCCTGTCTTTTAACTTTTTCTGTGGACTGTGATTAGTGGAGTCTCTGAAGAGCTTCTAACCCAGCCACCAGGACGGGTGCCCTCTATTGCCTTGCCCACTGCCAAGTGAGCTTTCTGGGCAAGGGCTCTCCACCTCCTGGGAGGCCCAGCCTGTCATGTAGCCAGCCTAGGAGAAAGCGCCTCTTTACGCTGGTCTGCATCATTCCACCAGGAGGGGCCCTACAGAGCAAGCCCCTTTGCTTCACCCACTACCCCTCAACATTGGAAGATGGCCCCAGACCTCCTGCCACCTCCCTTCTCTGTGCTCCTGCTGCCACAGTTCCAGTTACTGTTCTCAGACTCACCCAGGCTGTCTATACCTGAGCTGCTCCAGATGTAGCTGCTCTAGGTATAGCTGGTGAGGGCATTTCCCCTCCTCCTGATGAGGCTGCTTCCAGTGATGCTGCTCCCTCTTCCTGGACCCCTTCCTGATCACTGCCTCTGCTCTTTTTCACGTGTATAGTATTAATCCATGTGGCCCCTTTCTGTGTTTGGGCAATTTTTTTTTTTAATCTCAGGTGCAAGGCCTCCATGTCCCTCTAAAATTTAACCATCCAAATTCAACCCTTTTGTTACTTCAGTGTTTTTTAGCCGTGTTGTTAACATTTTTGATGCTCTGATTCTTTTGCAGAGATCCAGGTTCCAACTAGTATCATCTTCCTTCTGCCTAAAGGACTTTGTTTAACAATTCTTTTAGTGCAGGTCTTCTGGTGGAACATACTTCCAGTTTTCAAATGTCTGGAAACAGTCTTTATTTCATCTTTCTTTTTGAAAGATATTTTCTCTGAGTATAGAACTCTAGGTTGACAATTTTTTTCTTTCAGTACTTTAAAGATAATACTCTGCTGTCTTCTCGCATGCATTATTTCCACTAAGAAATCTGCTGTCATCCTCTTTATTCTTCTGTACATAGTGTCTTTTAAAAACTTAATTTAAAAAATTTTTATTTTCTAAATTTAAAACTTTCTCCCTGCTTTTAAGATTTTTTTATCATTGGTTTTGAGCAGTTTGATTGTGATATACCTTGGTGTAGCTTTCTTCATGTTTCTTCTGTGTGGAGTTCGTTCAGCTTCTTGGATCTGTGAATTTAGAGATTTCATCAAATTTGGAAAACTTGTGTCTATTGTCTCTTGAACTGCCCTCCGCCCACTTCAGGTACAGACCATTGAAATTGCCCCACAGCTCATGATGAGCTATTCATTTTTTAAATTATTCTTTCTGTTTCATTTTTTAACAGTTTATTAAGCTATAGTTAACATTCCATAAAATTTACCCACTTAAATTGTACAGTTCGGTGGTTTTAGTATATTCACAGAGTTATGCAACCATTGCCGTAATCTAATTTATAGCTTTCTCATCACCCCAAACAGAAAGCCTGTGCCCGTTAGCTATCACTCCCCTTCCTCCTAATCTTAGGCAACCACGTTCTTTCTCTGTGTACTTGCATCTCTGCTTTTTTTCCTCTATGGATTTTCATTTTATGGATGTTTTATATTGAATGGAATCATACAAGATCTGGTCTTTTGTGACTGGCTTTCACTTAGTATATAATGTTTTCAAAGTTCATCCATGTAGTAGCATGGATATGTTGAAATCTTTTGCCCATTTTAAAATTGTGTTATCTTTTTATTAACGCTTACTTGTTATCTTTTTGTTTTTATTGAGTTGTAAGTTGTTTTGTTTTTTCCTGAGAAAGATTGGCCCTGAGCTAACATGTGTGCCAGTCTTCCTCTATTTTGTATTTGGATCATGGCTGCCAATGAGAGGTATAGGTCCATGTTGGAGAATTGAACCTGGGCCGCTGAAGCAGAGTGTGCTGAACTTAACCACTAGGCCACGGGGCTGGTTCCAGAATTCTTTATATATATTCTGGATACAAGTCACTTATCAGACTATACGATTTGCAAATATTTGCTCCCCTTCTGTGGGTTGTCTTGATTATATCACTTGTAGCACAGATGTTTTTAATTTTGATGTAGTTCAGTTTATTTATTTGTTTCTTTTGTTGTTCATACTTTAGGTGTCATATATAAGAAACCTTCCCTAACCCACGGTCATGAAGATTTACTCCTGCATTCTCTAAGATTTTTGTTTAGGTCTCACATTTAAGTCTATGATCCGTTTGAGTTAATTTCTCTATATGGTATGAGGCAGGAGTGTGACATCATTCTTTTACATGCGCATGTCCAGTTGTTCCAGCACCACTGTATCTTTCCCCCATTGAGTGGTCTTGGCACCATTGTGGAGGACCAGTTGATCATAAATGTGCAGGTTTGTTTCTGGACTGTCAGTTCTGTTACATTGGACTGTGTGTCTGAATTTATGCCAGCACAATACTGTTCTGATTACTGTAGCTTTGTGGTAAGCATTGAAGTCAGGAAGCGTGAGCCCTTCTCCTTTATTCTTTATAAGGTGGTTTTTAGCTATGCTTGTTTCGTTCTTGTTTCTATGTGAATTTTAGGATCAACTTGTCAGTTTCTGCAAAAAAGGCAACTGGGATTTTGATAGAGATTGCGTCGAATCTGGATCAATTTGGGGGACTCTTGCCATCCTAACAATAGTAGGTCTTCCAATCCATGAGCATGGGATGTCTTTCCATTTATTTAGGTCTTTTAAAAAATTTTTAGCAGTATTTTAGTATACTAGTATTACACTTCTTTTGCTTTATTTATTTCAAAAAGTATTGTATTATTTTTGATGCTATTATAAATAGATTTTTTCTTAATTTTATTTTCAGGTTGTTCATTCTCAGTGTATAGAAATACAATTGATTTTTGAATACTGAGCTTGTGTCCTATGACCTTGCTGAAATAGTTTATTAAATTGTAATAGTTTTAGTGGATTCTTTAGGATTTTTTATGTACAAGATCATGTCATCGGCAAATGTAGTTTTACTACTTCGTTTTCAATCTGGATGCCTTTTATTCCTTGTCTAATTGCTCTGGTTAGAACCTCCAGTACAATGTTGAATAAGTGATGAGAGCTCACACCTTGTTCCTGATTTTAGGGGGAAAATGTCTAGTCTTTCCCACTGAGTATGATATGAGCTTGTACAGCTCACTGATGCTCTGGTTATTTTTTAAACTGTTCTTTCGTTCTCTCAGTTTCATTTTGAATAGCTTCTGTTGCTTTGTCCTCAGGTTCTACTAGTCTTCTGTAATGTCTGATCTACTGTTTATCTCAGATAGGGTATTTTTCATCTCAGAGTTTATAGTTTTCATTTCTAGAAATTTAATTTTGGTCTTTTTAAAAAAAATTTCTTTTGTGTCTCTACTTGACGTTTTGAACGTATGGAGTATAGTTATAGTAGTTGTCTTAGTGTCTTTGACTGCTGCTTCTAATATCTGTGTCAGTGTGGGGTTGATTTTGGTAGATATTTTCCCCCTCGCTGTAAGTTGTGTTTTCCTGTGTTCTTGTGTGCCTGGCAGCCCTTGGTCTGCAGCGGATGCTGTGAGCCTGCCTGTTGGGTGCTGAATCTGCTGCATTCCTGTGGGCACGGGGGGCATGGTGTTGGAGGGCAGTTCCATGGTCAAGGCCTTCTGGTTGTTTGGGTCTTGCTTTGACACTGTGCTAGGTCAGACTCAAGCAGTCATCAGTTTGGGACAGTTTAGGGCTAATTTCCCTATGGAGACAGGGCTTCTCTTTGGATTCTTCCCAGGGCCCTGTGTCTCTTGGGGGTTTCCAGTCTGGCTGGTGGGAATGGACACTCTTCCTGGCCCCCTCTGAGCTCTGAGGACTGTTCCTACTAATCCTTTCAGCTGGTTCTTTCCAAACACTCGTGCGCTGGGGGGTTGTTCAGTGAAGACTTGTGGGGGAGCCTCTACAGAACAGATGGCTAGGGTTCTGTCTCTTGTGCTTAGGCTTGCGTCCACTCTCCCCTTGGTCTTCCAGGGCTCTCAGCTCTGCCTCCTCCAGTAGCCCTTCCTGGTCCCCCTCCCTGTGCTACAGCCTGGAAACTCTCTCCAGGCAATGGGCGTGGCAGACGTGGGGCTCCCCTTGACTGTTTCTGTCTCACTTCTCACGGCCCTTTGCTACTGATGTCTAGTGACTTGACAACCACCGCTTTGTAACTTTGTCTGGGTTTTCTGGCTGTTTCAGGAGTGACAGTCTTGGCTGGCAGTGGCAGTGTTTCTTCTAGTCCTTTGAGAGCCTCTTGGATGCTGATTTTGCCTGCCTCAGGGCTCGCTCTTCCAGCTCTCTGAGCACCTTCTCCATCTCCCTTGAGCCCTGTAGCCGTGTGATGCAGCAGAATTGAGCAAGAGCCCTGTGTGTCCCTGGAGTGCTCCTCTGCACCGACTTCCACTCCTCAGCCCCTCTTGGGGTGCACTTGCTTGGCCATAGCGAGTCTGTCTGTCCTGCCAGCTTGCATTTTCATCCTGTCGGGAAGGATGACTGCAGGAGGTGATGGCAGATGTCCTGTCCCCTTGGTGGTTGTCAGACCACCCTCCTACAGACCCTTCACTAATACTAGAGTGTAATGCAAAGGATCTGAATGTAGACCAGTTCAGTCATTTTAAGGTTAATACAAAGTTTTTCATGTTGTCCTGCAAACAGCATTATAACTTCGGAAAGTTTTGCCTCCTGAGTAAGTCACCATTTATTGAGCACCTACTGTGTCTAAACGTCATTTAATCTTTGCCTTCTTACTTCCCATTCTTTCTGGAACCCACTCCAGTGAGGCTCTGACCCCACAGTGCTGCAGTTCTGGAGAGCCTCGGTGGCAGATCCAGCTGTCGGCGCTGTTTGTCCTCTCAGCCTGCCTGTGCCCTTGGGTCACTTCGACACGTGCTGACACGCCTTGTTTTCCTTCCGTCCCACTGGTCTCTGTTCTCCCTCTTCTGCTGATTTTCTTTCTCTTCTCACATTCTAAGTAACTTGGCTGTTTGGCCCTAAGACCCTTTTGGAGACTTTCTGTGCTCCCCTCTTTGTTGGTCTCATCTCACCTCATTGCTAGGAATGTTGTTTACATGCCAGGAAACCCCAAATGTGCACTGTGCTCTGGGTGCACCCCACAGCCCTGAATGCACACCCATGCTGCCCTGCATTCCCCTGGAACATGGGATAGCACCACAGCCTGGTGTGTCCAAAACGCGTCTCCTGGTTTGCCCACAAAACTTACTTATCTGTAGCCTTTCTCGCCTTAGTAGACAGCAGCACAGTTCATACCTCATGAGTGACTCCTTTCTTTCACACCCCCGTCCACAAGCAGTTTGAGTCTACCCCTACGTCTTTCCTGGGTCCAGGTGCTTCTCGTCAGCTGAGTGAGCTGCCATCCTCGGCCAGACTTGGCAGTGATGCCCATGGGCTTCCCTGCTGCTGCTCCACACAGCAGCCAGGGAGGTCCTCTTTTTCTTTTTAAATTTTTTTAATTTTATCTTTTTGAGGAAGGTTAGCCTGAGCTAACATCTCCTGCCAATCCTCCTCTTTTTGCTGAGGAAGACTGGCCCTGAGGTAACATCCACGCCCATCTTCCTCTATTTTATATGTGGGATGCCTTCCACAGCATGGCTGGATAAGTGGTACCATGTCTGCACCTGGGATTCGAACCGGCGAACCCTGGGCCACTGAAGCGCAGCGTGAGAACTTAACCGCGGGGCCACCGGCCTGGCCCCCAGGGAGGTCCTCTTAAAACAAGACTGGTTCTGTGACTCATTCTGCAGCCTGAAATCTCCCAATGTCTTCCTGCTACCCTTGCCATGGCTTGCGAGGCCCCAAGGATGCAGTTGGGGCTGTCGCCCCACCAGTTTGCTACTGTGCTTCCTTGCTCATCACTGTCCTTTCCTGTGCCTTAGCATGTGCCCTCTCCTCAGCTCTTTGCCCTGGGTTCTGCCTAGGATGCTTTTCTGGTGCTTGTAGGGCCCCAAGGGGCTCAGGTAAGGGCTGCTGTGCTGTGCTCGTTTCATATTCCAGGTCTATCTAGTGAAGCCTCTGGGTCGGCAGCACATGTGCCCCTGTACCGTCTCCCTGACCGATTCATCACAGATCTCTCGCTGATGGAAACAGCAGAGTGGTTCTTTCTCTTTTCTGTTGCAAACAGTGCTACAAAAGGGTCCTGGTACATATGTTGTTTTGCACATATGAGAATATATTTGTCAGATGAATTCCTTAAAATGGAATTGCCGTGTCAACATATGTGCATTTTGTTTCGATAGAGAACTTGAAATTGGCCTCTAGAGAGGTCCACATGTACTCCGCTGCTGTGTACTGACACCGTGTCCCCCCCCACCTTTACCATACAAGTGCGTTGGCACGTGTTTTGATGGTTCTGGTCTGGTATGTATCTAAAGTACTTACAGTAGTTTAATGAGCATTTTAAAAGTAAGAATAGCCTTGAGTTTCTTTTCAGATGTTTAAAAGTAATTTGCAGTTTTATTTTCTGGAGAACTGTGTGTTTATGTCCTTTGCAGTGTTTCTGTTGCATTGTGGTCCTTTCCTGCTTGATGTACCAGTGACTTCAGTGGTAGAGTTCTGAGTCTCGTGCTATAGAACCATGACTGTCTTCTCTCTCCACATCCTGAAACTGCTCTCCAAAAGTCAAGTGCTTTTCTGCTCGTCAGCCTGCCCACCTGCCCAATGGGATGCCCTTGTGATTGGTCCCTTCCCCAGGTTTCTGTCTCGTCTTCCATGTGGTGGGCTCCTCCACACCCTGACAGGTCTGTCTCATGGTTAGTGTGTGTCTTCCTTCTGTCGATTTTGAATTTTGAGTTCCAGACCAACAGATACAAGTCTTTGAACTTGTCTTTTACTCTGACTGCTTGGGAAGTGTCTTTAGCTTAGGAACCCCTCATAGCTACTGAGTTGCTTACTCTGGTACTTCGTACACAGTAGATGCTTATGTAATTTTTGTTGAGTGGATGGATGTAGCTTCATTCAGTCATTAGATATTCCTTGAGCATTTATCTGCTGGGTGGCAGGAATGGGTACATCAGTGATCGAGACAGACACAGTCAGACAGGCAGTGGCAGAGCCTTAAAGGCATCAGAACCGTCGGAGGCCACACCACCTGCGATACGAAGGATCTCTCAGTTCTCACCATCCAGGAATGCATACTCCCTGCCAGGCACCTGCAGCTCTGGGCTGTGAATTCAGTTTTGTGTCCCTCTTTCAGGATGCCGAGGAGTGTGACAAGGCTGGGAGTGTGGCCACCTGCCAGGCGGTCATGCGTGCCGTGATTGGTATTGGGATTGAGGAGGAGGATCGGAAGCACACCTGGATGGAAGATGCCGACAGTGTAAGTCGAACTACACCCACCTGGCGTCTGTTTGTGGGGAACAGCAGGCACCTTAGACTTAGGCTGTGGTTTGAAAGTCTTTTTGACCCCACTTATTTTTAAACATAGTTACCATTGTGAAGAGTGCAGCTTTCTGTTAGCCAGGTTTACATGAAGAGCTGCCTCGTGAGGATTTGTTAATCTCCAGAGCTCCCTGGTGCAGGCCTGGTTATATATGTATTGTGGACCAGGAGCCAGCACAGAGTCTGAGCTCACACAGCTTCCTAGCTCTTTACCTCTCAGTGTCTGGGTTGTCTCCCACCCCCTGGTTTCTGTTATAAATTGCACTTCAGAAAACATTTTGCATGCAAAACTTTGGCCTACTTTGAGATTATTTCCTTGGAATAGTTTCCCAGAGCAGAGATTTTGGGGTCAAAATGGATATACACTACACATTTAAGTTACTGAATACCTTAAGTGTGGCCATCTCTTTTTTTAGCTTTATATTTTGAAATAGTTTTAGACTTATAGAAAAGTTGCAAAACTGTGTGAAGAATTCTTATATGCCCTTCACCTGGATTCCCCAGGATTTACCCACTTTACTATGTTTGTTTTTTCATTCTCTGCACAGGTGCACATGCACGCACACACATGCCTTCTATTTTTTTCTGAACTGTTGGAGAGTAAGTTGCAGATGTGATGCCCTTTACCTCTAGACACTTCTGTGTGTTTGTTCAAAAGAGCACATTCACTTACACAACTACAGCGCAGCTATCAAAATCAGGAAATTAATGTAGGTACAGTACTATTACGGCATTTGCAGACTGTATTCAGATTTCACCAATTGGCTCACTAAGTGTCTTTTTAGGTAAAGGATGAGGAGCTGCCCAGGGTCACGTCCTCAGGTCTCCGTGGTCCTGGCAGTCTTGACGAGGGCTTTAGTCTCTGTTTTTCATGCGTCTGACTCTTTTGAGGAGTACAGGCCAGAAATGGTGTAGAGCCCACTTGGTTCGAGCCTCCACAATGTTTCCTCATGGTGAGTTGAGGTTCTGCATCTTTTAGGGTGTTGTGTCGTCTTGGCGGGTTGTGTCGGGAGGCACAGTCAGCTCTGACTTCTGACAGGTTTCTCTGCCGGAAGGTTACTGTTTTGTTCCTTTGTAATTAGTGAGGATTTTGTGAGGAGAAACTTTGAAACTATGTAAATACACCATTTCTCGCCAAACTCTGATCTACTAGTTTGTAAGTCCATTAGTGATGTTTTTGGCTTGTATCAGTTTTTACTGTGGTATTGACCAAATGGTGATTTTCTAAATACCATTTCTCCTACAGTTTATTAGAGTTTATTAGTTGGAATTCTACGGTAGCAAGGAGGCTTCCTTTCTTTCTCATTCACATGGGTATTCACTTCTTTACATCTGGAGAGACTAAGGGTTCCCGCTCTCCTCTGTGAGATTACAGTCCACTGCTGGCATCATCTGTGTGGCACTCACGCAGCCATCGTCTTAGGTCCTGCATGTGCCAAGTCCCAGAGCATAGGCACAGGCTGTCCGTGCACCTGCCAGGGGCTGTGTGGCTGCACATGGCCTTGTGCACACTAGACACACACTCTGTTCGTTAGAGGAATTAAGTCGCAGGCCAATTGTAATGGTTTTTTTAAAGATTGGCCCTGAGCTAACATCTATTACCAATTTTTTTTTCTTCTTCTTCTCCCCAAAGCCCCCCAGTGCATAGTTGTAGGTCCTTCTGGTTGTGCTATGTGGAATGCCGCCTCAGCATGGCCTCATGAGCAGTGCTAGTTCCACACCCAGGATCTGAACCAGCAAAACCCTGGGCCACCAAAGCAGAGCGTGCAAACTCAACCATTTGGCCACGGGGCCAGCCCTCATAATGGTTTTAAAAAATTTTTTCATTGTGTAGTATTTAAGACATAAAAAAGTTAGAGAATAATTTAACAAATATCCGCACAGTGTCTGTTTTGGAAGAAAATTCTTAAATATGCACAAGAATCCCAGCTCCTGGTTGCTGAGCCCCTCTGTATTCTGAATGTGGAATTAAACACTTTGCTTCTTTTTATGCTCTTTACTGCCTTTGACAACATTGGAAGCCCTCTCTGGGGGTGTCAACCTGTGGATACCAGATCATGGGAGCAGAGACCCACGAGCCAGTCAGGTTTTCTCTTGGTTCTGATCATCTCTGTCATGTATACTGGAGTCAGCACAGCTCTCTTTCAAAGCACTTTGTAATCCTGGAGGAAGAGCTGAAGTCTCTTGTGCTCAGAAGTATGGAGTGTCTTCCTGGTGCTCCCAACACCTCGGGACTGGCCCAGCCTGCCCACACCCGAGACCCTGGGCATGCTGTCACTTGCTCTTCTGGAGCCGTGGAGGCCTGAAGCCTTTGTAATTGGCCTCCAGGACCTTGGTCAAAAGTCAAGGAGAGGACCCACAACTAAAATGTACAGCTATGTACTGGGGGGATTTGAGGAGAAAAAGTAGAAAAAACCAAAAAGAAAAAAGAAGATTGGCAACAGTTGTTAGCTCAGGTGCCAATCTTAAAAAAAAAAAAAGTCATGGACAGGGGTACAGACCAGTTTGTATGGGGTCCCCTCCTTGCCTAGCTCCGTCACTTCTCCAGCTGCTCCTGGGCAGGACATGCCTGAGGCAAGGCCCTACCTGGTTTCTGTGGTGGTCAAGTCAGATCGAGGTCACGTGACCAAGGAGCGACATCTGAATGAGGAGGCCTTGGCTGTGCTAAACCCTGCTCTTTGTTCTCCTCTACACCCATTTCTATGCTGCTGGTCCTTGAATACCCGGAGGCTTGCTAGTGGCCCTCTTGGAGGAGGCAACTGTTGATCTGGGAGGTGGCCTTGGGTGGCTCAGGTGCCCGCCCCCCCCCCCCCCCCACTCTGGTGCGAGGACTTTCAGGGCTGTGAGGCCGCCTGTCTAGTCCCATTCCATGCCATTTTGACGTTCATAGTGTAAAACTTTGCTGCTGACACACTTCCTAGTGGCTTTTCACTTACCTCAAGATACAAAACCCCTTCTTGGGGTGAGAGTACTTTCAGCATCCGCAGAGCGTGGAGGACAGCAAGTTTTCTTGGGCAGTGAGCGAGCATCCGGCTTTGAGGTCTGTGTTGGGCTTTGTCCTGCATAAGGCTCAGTGAGAACAGCCATCAGCCTGTTCCACTGGGCGTCCGGGGGCTGTGACCACCTGGAGAGATGATCACCTCAAGTAGTGGCTGGCTTTCTTATCGTCTTGCTTAACACTAGCCAGGGAACAAAATCACTCTTGCACAAGGAAGAAATGTCTAAAGAAAAGAGAGTGTTTGTGGTAGTTCTCTTGGAGTGTATGGTTTCTTTCTCTTTGTATTCACCTGTGTTTTACAGGTTTCCAATGAGCATAATTCCGTAATGGAAAATGTAGACTGCATTTAATTCTGAAAAAGAAAAGAGTATGTGTGGCATGTGGTCACACCGTCCTGCCTCACGTGCCTCTAGCAGTGGCTGGTGCTCCAGTGCGCCAGCTCCTATTGCCTGTCGAAGGCCAGCAGACAACCCTGTCACGGGTCCCACCTGCTTCTGTTTTGGTGTTCATGTTCCCAGCCTCCTGGACTGTGCTGCTTGTTGGATCATCCCGTTGTATGATTTTAGCAGGTGTTGTCATTAGGGAGGTGTGACTCCTCCTGCTCCCTTGCTGGTGCTGGGCCGCCCATTCCCACACCTGTCTCTCTGCTCTAGTGTGTGGCCCACAACGCCCTGGAGTGTGCGCGAGCCATCTATGCCTACGCCCTGCAAGTGTTCCCCAGCAAGAAGAGTGTGTGGCTGCGGGCTGCGTACTTCGAGAAGAACCATGGCACCAGGTACATGGGAGACTGTGTGCTAATTAAATGCTGACTCTAGGTTGTGCTGCACTGATTTTTTTTTTTTTTTTTTGAGGAAGATTAGCCCTGAGCTAACAACTGCTGCCAGTCCTCCATCTTTTGCTGAGGAAGACTGGCCCTGAGCTAACATCTGTGCCCGTCTTCCTCTACTTTATATGGGGGACGCCAGCCACAGCATCGCTTGTCAAGTGGTGCCGTGTCCGCACCTGGGATCCAAACCGGTGAACCCCGGGCTGCCAAAGCGGAACATGCGCACTTAACCGCTGCACCACCGGGCCAGCCCCCACTGTGCTGAATTTAAACCTCACGTCCCCCAGATGGGCAGGTGCCCGAATTTGAGGTTCAGCCCTCTGTGATGAGGGGCAGCAGCTTCTATGGCGCTTGGGACTTTGCAGCTGGAGCTGTCTTTAAGGCTCCTTCTGCAATAGGATTATTACTGCTTTATAGTTGAGAAACTGAGGCACCAAGGGGTCCTGTCTGCTGAAGCGCTTACAGCTGAACCAGCGCATGCCTGATGGCCTTGGGGTGTGTGGGGCAAGGCTGTAGCCTGAAGCCCCACGTTTGTGCCGAAACCAGCTTCAGCAGTGTGGGCGGTGCGGCATCTGGGCCCAGGCAGGCATGTTTTTCATTTAGGCTGTGCTGGATTTGGGTTTGGGCTGGTTTTTTGCTCTAAGGAGGTCCTTGACAATTTTCTTTAATTGTGCTCTTTAATTGAAAAAACCTTTTGGGTCTGCCTTTTTGGCTGTGACTGCTGATTCAATTAGGTCTTGCAATTTCTGGTGTTGAGTGGATAGCTGTCCAGGGCATCGGGCTCACATCACTGCACACCCTCTGCCTGGGTCCTCTGCTGCTGGCCCTGTGCTGAGTGGGGACCACCTTGCTGGTTGCACCAGGGCTTCAGTGGGGCGTGTGAAGCCCTTATTCTTGTTTTGTGGCGTTGTTAAGTCTCAGTCTCTTCAGGATGTCTTTCTTTCACAAGTGTTGCTGAAGCTCCTGTTTCCTCCCCACTCCCGCCCACTGGTTTGGTATTGTGGAGTTAACTCCTTTGGGGACCTTTTGAGATAACAGCAGTGCTGGCTTGCCCTGTTCAAGTTCACCTCACACGGTCCAAGTCTGGAGCAGAGCCTCTCCTGCCGGGTGTGGTTTGTGGACATGCCTCCATGTGGCCTTAGTGGCACTGCTGCTCTTGATCCCTGGGCTCAGGGGGCCTTTGCCCCCCATCTCTGGTGCCTCTCCTGTCAGCTGACACATAGATGATGTGCGGAGGTGGCGTGCTCAGGGTCTAGGGTTGTCTGGAGCACAGTGTATGCTCTGCCAGGCCTCGCTCCACACAAAGGGGTTCTGTGCCCTCACTGTCCTGCTGCTGAGGTCCCCAGAGGTTGTTTGTGCCAGGTGGTACAACAGGATGGTGGGCCATGTGAGAGCTGAGGGGGCTTTACACCTGATAACCCGTCTGGTGGTCTTCTTGCTCAATAGTGACCTAAAATAACTTTCTTCCAATAAGACAATTTCTTTGGATGCCGAAGAATAGACTTGGGGTCATAATCTTTATCGCAGATATCGGCGGATCTGTGTTAAAGATGAAAAGGCTTCTCCTGTCACCCCAACCCTGCGGTTAGCGCTTGCCCCTGGACACACGGCCATAAACGGGCTCTTGAGAAGCTCGTAGGTCAGGCTCTGCTGTTTAAACAATGTGTCGCTTTGTAGCACCCTCTCCGTGGTTGATATTAGAACCTTTATGGAGAGAAAAGATTTCCCCACACTCTCCCCATTGTAAAATCTGGTAAATCATTTATAGTGTCGAACTTTGGAGCAGTAACTATCTTTTTAGCACCCGCACCACTGTTGCGAGCACCCTGTGTGCTCTGGCGGTGACCGTGCCCTCTGTCTTGCAGGGAGTCCCTGGAAGCACTCTTGCAGAGGGCCGTGGCCCATTGTCCCAAAGCGGAGGTGCTGTGGCTCATGGGCGCCAAGTCCAAGTGGCTGGCAGGGGATGTGCCGGCGGCAAGGAGCATCCTGGCCCTGGCCTTCCAGGTGGGTGAGGGGTCGCCTGCGCTTCGTGGGGCCTGTGCACACAGACCCCTGGCCTTCCAGGTGGGTGAGGGGTCAGCTGTGCTTCTAGGCGGCCTGTGCACGTAGACCCCCGCCTTGGCTCCGGCCGAGGCCTGAGGTCTCTGGTGTGCACGACCTTTCTTAAGCCCTCACCCTGCTCGTTGATAGGAGCTGACCTGAGAGAGGGGACATGGGAGGTCAGGACGCACGGGACTCGGGCTGTTCTAGGCAGCTGGGGCCCTGAGGGGACCTGAGAGTTGGAAAATGGCCCAGCTGGTGGACACCGGCCTCTTGGTCACTGCCATTCAGGGTGACCACAGGCCGAATGTTCCAGAACGCAGAACACAGGGCAAACAGCACCATTCCCCAAAAGTAGCCGAACCGCACCATGTCCCCACACAAGACCACAGTGACAACCCTGTTCCTATATGGCAATTAGATTGTCCAATCCTTGGAGGAAGGCGGCCAGTCCCATGTACTCTGAGCCCAGGGGCATGCTTTGGGGTCACACATGGGCCACCAGTGCTGCCCAGGCCCCATGGTAGGAGGAGTTACATTCAAACAGCTGTACCCAGCCAGGCTTATTACGATTGGTGTCATGAGCTGTGCAGTTTTTTCTCAGTGCTTTATTTTTGTTGTCACTTATAATATCCTAATACTGTGTGACAGTATGAGTATTAAGTCAGTAGTTTGCAACATCCTTTTTTTATAAACTGTAGAGCACTATGTAAATGTCAATCTCTTGTTGTAACCCAAGCTAGCATAATGAAGTTGTCCTTCCTTGAGTAAATACTGTGATTGGGGACCAGCCTGGATATAGCCTTTTGCTGTCTGCTGTCTGTCTGCGGGCTCCCAGTTTGAGGACACTGCTCCTCTCTGGGTAGTCACAGCACTCTCGCGCCATCCACCTGGGCACTGCTGCCTCTCTGCAGCACCCTGAGGTGACTCTCCTTTCCTTGCCCATCACCGTGGGGCTGCTCATCAGCTCTGTGACATGGCAGCCTGAGTGTGGCCAGTGGGTTGTGTGCTTTCAGGAGGGTGCAAGGGTGCCACCCACGTGTCCACTAGACTCTAGGTAGTATGTGGCCCAGTCCTGGCCCTTGGGAGCCCAGTGATGCCCTGGGCATCCTTCTGTCCTGCCCTCATGGACACATTGGGACAACCAATTCTTCGTCACCAGGCTTGGGAAAGAGCAGGTCGAGTGTGGCAGATCCACACGGGTGGGATGTGAGTGACCCGCTCCAGCTTGGGGTGGACCCTTGTGAGAGTGGCTCTGCAGCTGCAGCATTGCCGCCTGAGCACTGTAGAAGCCTCGTGTCTGCATCGGGGAACGTGGGCTGGCTTGTTTTCAGGTAGGTCATCATTCTTGGACTGGATTCTGCTTTGTCATCTGTCAGCCTGGGAAGTGCTTAGATCAGACTGTCCTGGAGCAGAGTGAGGCCCGGCTCGGCTCCCAGGCTGGCTGCTTTTGATTAAGTATAATCTACGCCCGGTCACTTTTGTTCTGAGCCCATCCTGGTGCTGTTGTGCTCACCCTCCAGGCCAACCCCAACAGTGAGGAGATCTGGCTGGCAGCCGTGAAGCTGGAATCTGAGAATAACGAGTATGAGCGGGCCCGGAGGCTGCTGGCCAAAGCACGGAGCAGTGCGCCCACTGCCCGGGTGAGCAGAGCTACTCAGGCCACGCAGAGCCCTCCTGGCCACGTGGCCTTGGGGGAACGGGAAATGATGGGAGGCAGACTGAGGCTGTGACACTCTAGGTTCATCTGTTCACACTTGACTTTAAAATGCATTCTTGTGTTTGTACCCCACCTTATTCCAAAAGACATGAGACAGCTTACAAAAGTACAAAAAATACAGCAGCGTTTAAGGTGAGCTGTAGCATGAACTATGTGCCATGAAGGTGCCATCCTGGCCCCGGGCCCAGTGCTAGATGCTTCCCGAGCCAGGGTTGGCCATCCCCTCTAGACCGGTGGTGGACGCAGGGGTTGCTTCACGGTGCGCCTGCCTCACAGGTGTTCATGAAGTCTGTGAAGCTGGAGTGGGTGCTTGGGAACATCGCGGCTGCCCAGGAGCTGTGTGAGGAGGCCCTGAAGCACTACGAGGACTTCCCCAAGCTGTGGATGATGAAAGGGCAGATCGAGGAGCAGGAAGAGCTGACAGAGAAGGCTCGGGAGGCCTACAACCAGGGGGTGAGCCTAGCCCTTGGAGACAGAACGTGCTGGGGCAGGCTGTCATTGCCTCTCTCCTCCTATGGGAATTGGTGGGCCAGTGGTCAGCGACTTGTTTAGGCCCCAGCTGGTGGAGTGGTGGACTAGGGGGTGCTGGACCCTGGTCCCCTCACTCAGTCCTGTGCTTTTCCTTCTACAAAACTGTACATGCTGCACTCAACCAAGTGCCGGTTGTGGCACACCTAGTGTACAGGCTGCTGTGTACACACTATGTGCATGTGTACACAGCACAGGCATGCACATAAACACACACACCCTGTATACACTTGTACAGAGTGCAGCCACGCACATAAACACATACACCCCGTGCACACATGTGTACAGCACAGCCATGCACAAAAAACCCCACACACAGACCTGAGGTGTGTGAGTCTCTGTGGACACAGGTAGCTCTGACTTGGCCTGAGGAGCCGGCCACAGCTGTCACAGCCCCTCCCAGACACCAGACAAGGCCCTCTCTTAATTGTCTGTATTGGCTGCAGTTGAAGAAATGTCCCCATTCCACACCCCTGTGGCTTTTGCTTTCCCGGCTGGAGGAGAAGATTGGACAGCTGACCCGAGCTCGGGCCATTTTGGAGAAGTCTCGCCTGAAGAACCCGAAGAACCCTGGCCTGTGGTGAGTCCTGGGGGGCCCAGCTCGCCTCCCAGTGGGCTGTCCTTGTTCCGTTGCTCTTGCTGAGTTGTGTGCAGTGTTTCCAGCTCAGGCTCCTTGAGAAGGGTGGCAGGTACTGGCCATTGAGGAACCCGCTTCCTGCCTTGGTGGGTTCGGCCCGGACACTCAGATGGCCCTGGGGATGATCTGATGCAGTGTAGTCTGTGCCGTGATAAGAGGGTGCCCAGAGGAGCCAGGAGCTGGGGATGGATGAAGCCACAGAAGAGGTGCCGTCTGGGCAAGGCCTTGAGGAATGAATGGGAATTTGCCGGGTGAAGATGGCATTCTGTCCATAGGAAACAGTGCACACAGGGGGGCAGCACAGAGCTCAGGGTGTTAGGGCTGGAGCATGAGGGGGGCACTGAGGGAGACACCAGAGAGATGGGCAGGTCCTGCGCTCCACTCATGCCCTGGCACTTGCCGTCCCGGTGGTCTGTCCTGGTCCTGCATATCTTTACTTGCACCTGAATCTTGGCTACGGTGACAGCTATGGTGGGCTGACAGTGGGGTGGGCACCACCTCGCTTCTCTAGTGGAGAGCTCTACTTGTGGAGCTGGAGGCTCTAGTCACTGTAGCTCCCCGCGCTTCCAGAACTGCAGCTGGGTTTGTGGCCCAGCTGTCAGTGGACCAGTGCTGGACGTCCCCTCTGGGCCTCTCTGCAGGTTGGAGTCAGTGAGGCTGGAGTACCGTGCGGGCCTGAAGAACATTGCCAACACACTCATGGCCAAGGCGCTGCAGGAGTGCCCCAGCTCTGGTGAGAGGCTGCAGGGACCATGGCCGTGCTGAGAGAGTGGGTCTCCGGGCTCACACAGACTCCGGGAACGTGCTGTTTGTGTGAATCCTTCCAGTTAGAAGTCCCAACTGTCCTTGGGCACTAACATTTGACCAGACTCCCAGTCTCAACATGGGGGGTTTGACTTCGTGTTCTGAGGTGTTGCCATTGCTTTTTCTTTTAAAATTTATCTTTTATTATTTTACCTTGTGTGTATAAATAATGCACATGCAGTACGTATAAACAAATTTGGAGTATAAAGAAGGATATAAAAATTACCTGTATGCCCACTACTCAGAAATCATTGTTTTTAACTTGTTTGTATTACTGTACAAAATTAAAGTCGTACTGTGTGTTTAGTTTTTTGCCTTTTTTTAAAGCTGAAAATTTTGTGAGAATTTTCCATTTTCATTGAATCTTCAAGAACATAAATTTTTTAGTGGTTTCATAGAATTATCTGTGTGGATATGCCAGAAATATACCACTCACCCATTGGCGATTATCTGATAATAATCTGATGATAATTTGAGATTACTGCCTTTCTGCATGAGTCTTCGCTTGTGTTTCTGACTGTTTTGTTACAGTAAATTCTTAGACATGAAATGACTGAGTCAGTGGGGATGAAACCTTGAAGGCTGTTGGTACTCCCGACCCTACTGCTCCCAGAAGGTTGTCCAGACTGTGCCGTCAAGGCTGCTGTGGTTCCAGGGCAGGCAACGGGGCGGGCGGGCACGTGTGGCCTTCGTGTTCTCCCGTGATGGGCCCTGTGAGCAGACGTTTGGGAGATCACAGCCATGGTGTGTGCACACACCCCGGGTTAGAGTCTCCGCAGGCCCCTCAGGCAGCCTGTCTGGATGTGTGGGTTTCTGGAAGCAGAGGTGGGGTCTTAGACGTGGTGTCTTTGTGTCTGAATTCCAGGTGTCCTGTGGTCTGAAGCCATCTTCCTCGAGGCAAGGCCCCAGAGGAAGACCAAGAGTGTCGATGCCCTGAAGAAGTGTGAGCATGACCCCCATGTGCTGCTGGCTGTGGCCAAGTGAGTGGGGAGTCCTTGTGGAGTTGCTGGCCTTTGGGGACCTGATGGGACTTCTTGCTGGGGTCCAGCTGGTCCCCTGAACAGGGCAGGCTTCCCTGGTCCTTGGCCGCTGGGGCCCCTTGACAAAGTCTTTTGCTTTTTTTTTTTTTTTAAGATTTTTTTATTTTTTCCCTTTTTCTCCTGAAAGCCCCCCGGTACATAGTTGTATATTTTTAGTTGTGGGTCCTTCTAATTGTGGCATGTGGGACGCCGCCTCAGCGTGGTTTGATGAGCAGTGCCGTGTCCGCGCCCAGGATTCGAACTGATGAAACACTGGGCCACCTACAGCGGAGCACGAGAACTTAACCACTCGGCCACCGGGCCAGCCCCAAGTCTTTTGCTTTGACCTAAGGCCATGTAGATGTGTGCTGCCCAGGTGGCCTGGGCTGTCCCAGACCCCCAGGAGGGCAGCCTCCTTGGGGCCCCTGGCCCTCCTTTCCTCTGTCCTGAGCTCCTTCTCATGGGACTGCTTGCTCTGTCTCTGCCACTCTTTAGCTTGTACCTCTGTGTAACCTGGGTTGCTCTGCTTCCGTTGTTCCATGCAGAATTTAAGTGATAAGCAAAGCCCCTTTGGCTCGAAGGGCTGTAAAGGAGAAAATTGTTTTCCTCATGTTAGGGTGAGACAGTGGATGCTGTCACCTTTGTGACTCCTGGGAGTGGTCCAGGGCCTGTTGGTCAGGCCTAGTCAGCATGCCTAGGGGTGCAGAGATGAATGTGCCAAGGCCACCTCTCCTTTAGGGTGATGGTCTCCAGGGCGAGAGCAGGTCAGCAAGCCCACCTAACACAGCATGACTCAGGTGTTGGGTTTTGGTAGCAGGGTTTCCTGGGGAGGCGTGTCGTGTGCAGTACAGGGCCTTGGGGGCCCTGGGAACGTTGGACGAGGTGGTGGCTAGAACATGGAGAGCTTTGGGAGCCATCCTGACCTCGCAGGATCTCTCCTTCCTGCTCCCTGCATCCAAGAGGATGATGGCCTGAGAGGAGCCCAGCTGAGTGCAGGGCAGGGGAGAGTGTGGTCAGAGGGGGCAGGGAAGCGACCATGCAAGTTGGGGTGGAGGGGTTGTCAGGAGGAGCCTGGCTGGGCTCCTGGGACTGCTGCTTGGGGCTTTCACCTGGGGGAGGTGGTGTGTGTGGCCTGGGAGTTTCAATATGCTGGCGCCGCCTGAGCTGCAGCCTGGCCTACCCCTGACACATGCCCAGGTGGCGTTGGCCCCACTTCCTCAGGTCCTGCCTGGCACTTCCTCTCCAGCCGCTGTGGAGCCGAGGGCACTGCACATGGGGGCTTCCCACAGGCTCCTGCGGCCCAGCGTGGGCTCCCTGCCCCCACCTTGTGCTTCTGCCTCCCAGAGTGACTTTTATGTGTGACAGTCTGATAGGGCAGCCATAAAACCTCATAAAAGGCTTTGTTAAAGTAAATAAGTCACTCTTTGCTGTTCCCAGGCTGGTGTTCTGTGTGCCTGCTATCTGGGTTTGTGCTCTTTAAATCACAGTTTATCTAACACCAAGCAATTAAGAATACCACAAGGCTTAAAAAGCAATCAAGCTATCAGAGCATGAAATAATTCTGTTTTGTAACTGAGGCCAGCCCAGACAGCTGCCTGGAATGGAGAGTTCGTGGTGCACTCGGCTGCTTTGGTGCTTCTGGCCACACAGGGATGCAGAGCTGGGTGGAAAGTGGAAGCCACCAGGAGTCCCAGCCTGTCAGAGTGCTCCCGTGCTGTCCTCCCCACCGTCCATCCTTCTGTCTGCTCCATCCTGCCTTCACTGGCGTGTAGGGGAGGGCTCCCGTGACCCCTGATTTGATTTCCGATGGTCCTCACTCATGGCTTCCAGCACAGGCCCTCTCCTGGCCTAGTTTCCAGGTGTCTATCTGCCACTGCTGACCTGAGGCCCTTCTTCTCTGTTGGCTTGGGTTCCTGCTGGAGGCTGCCCGATGGGGCATAATGATCCAGAAGGTGTCTGTTAACGAGCAGGCTGAAAGTTCACTTAGCGCTACCTAATCAAAGGCTTAATTTTCTGTTGTTTACTTTTATCTGTTTGTATTTTACTTAGTTTACCTTTAGTAACTTCTAGGAGTTTGAAGTTCTTGCTCTGTGTGTGGGTTTTTAAGATACAGTTTGATGAGACACTCGAAGGGGAGTTCCAGCATCTGGAGTGATTTCCAGGTAGCCAGGCCACACTGCTTGGCCGTCCTGATGGAGCTAATGGTTCACTGGGGACAGGATAAAACCGATGCCGCCAGAGCCATGCCCCATGCCGGCCACAGTGGGTCATCGTCCACCCAGTGAGCAAGCTGTGGCCTGAGGAGGCTGGAGCTGGCCGCACCTCCCACCGCCCCTTAAGCACCTTCATCTGGCCCCTGACTCCGGCCCCTGCCCTCTGCCTTGGACAGGCTGTTCTGGAGTGAGCGGAAGATCACCAAGGCCAGGGAGTGGTTCCTCCGCACGGTGAAGATCGACTCGGACCTGGGGGACGCCTGGGCACTCTTCTACAAGTTCGAGCTGCAGCATGGCACGGAGGTGAGGCCTGCTGTGTGCCACCCCCACCTTTCCACCTGTGTTGGCCAAGGGACTGGAGGGAGGGAGGGAGCATGGTGGCACCCTCTTGACAGTTTCTGCCTCCACAGCTGTTTTCTTTTTAGAGCCTTACAGCCTCTCAGCATGATATTTAGATGTTTTAAGTGGCCTATTAGCATTTCTCAGTGTGTTGGTTGGTGACTGAGGCCTGGGCTCCCAGTAGAAGTGGGAATGGAGTTTGCGCCCTGAGGAATGTCTTTGTTGGCAAGTTCTGTCTTCCCAGGCCCGAGTGTGTCTTCCAGGGGAACCTGGGCAGCAGACTCTTTCAGAGAGCGAAGCATTGTCAGAGCTGTGCTCCTAGTGTGTGTGTGGGGGGGGGGGGCGGTGGTGGGGTGTGCAGGCTGTCCTGGGGTCCCCATGGGGAGCGGAAGCCATGGCATGTGGAATCTGGCAAACTCCTTGTTCAGGGAAGGTAGACTGGGGCACCTGCATAAGGCACAAACTCAGGGGCCTTGACTTGGCTCACACCTTGTGCCAAGGCCTGCCCCAAGAATGTCAGTGCAGTGGGGTGCAGTGGGACTTGCTCCCCAGGGGAAGGGGCTGTCTCAAGGGACACACCTGAAAGACAGCTTTGCCCTGGTGCAGGGACGTGCCCCCTCTGCTAGCCGGGCTGGCATTGGGCTGGGTGTGCACAGTGGGGGGCAGCTTGGGAGGAGCCCTGCCTCAAGTGCCCGGTGGTCCCCACCCAGGAGCAGCGGGAGGAGGTGAGGAGGCGCTGTGAGAACGCTGAGCCGCGGCACGGGGAGCTATGGTGTGCCGTGTCCAAGGACATCGCCAACTGGCAGAGGAAGATCGGGGAGATCCTCGTACTGGTGGCAGCCCGCATCAAGAACACCTTCTGACTGTCGGGTCCCTGTAGGGCGGGGGCCTTGGGGCAGCAGTGAAGGAGTGTGTGGTGGTGAAGAAGGGAGTGGAAGCTGTTAGTCATGCTCTTTAATTCAAGGTTTTCTGGGTCGCGTTGGAGTTGGTGACCTGCTGGCTTTCTCTGGGCCCGCCCCGGCACGTGCGTTGCCGCCCCAGTCTAGTCTCCCGTGCTGTTTGGGGCTCACTTCTTGCAGACAGCCCGTGCCCCGCAGAGGAAGCACGGGGGAAGCCGAGTGCCTCACAGGATTTTGTGGAGAAGGTGGTAGAAGTGCGCATGCTGTGTGGGAACAGCTAGGGTGGCTCTCCTGGTGACTGGTCTGTCCCCTATCCTCTGGCAGTCCCTGTCACAGGTCTGCAGACACAGAGGAAGTCTGCAGTCTCCTGGGCACCAAGCTGCATGAAAGTGCCCACGGGGCAGGTGCCTTCCCCCTGTCAGAGTGCAGACGGCAGGCCAGCTCCCTCAAGTGTGTTGCTAGAGGATCGCTGGAGGCCCCCTCGGGGCTGTGTTGAAGGAAGATGTCACAGTAAGAGGTTTTCCACGTTTGCAGATGAATTTCTTTTTGCTAGTTTATAACCAGCAGTTTTGTCCTAAAGCACTCGTAAATGTCCTCATCTCTAGATTGAAAAATGCATCCCCTGGGAGACTAGCATGTTTTCACCATCTATGCTGTGTGAAGATAAAGGGCTTTCTTTGGATCCGTGTGTGTGTGTGTGTGTTCAATTAGAAACCAGCAGTTCTTTAGCAAGGGGATGTGTGGCCATGACTGACACCTGGCCGGGGGTCATGGGTGGTCCAGAGGCTGTGGGCCAGGGAGAAGAGATGCTGATTGTCACATGTAGTGACCAGGTAGCTGGCAGCTGTTCTTGCACATTCTTGTAAGAGAAGATCCCAGAGGGGCCCCTCGGTGCCCCGCAAATGAGGGGGACCTGTGGTGAGGGTCAGTGACTGACCCGAGGCTGAGCCCTCTCGTGGCAGCCGAGGTTGGGGGCACTCACCTTGATGTCAGTACCTGGGGCACAGGCATCTTTGCCTGGAGAACACAGGCCGTGCTGTGTCCATCTCCGGTGTTCTGACAGGCGCAAGGACATGGCCAGTCCCGGGCAGGGAACGGACCACCACTGTGTGGGGTCAGGAACTACTGGTGCCGGGGCAGGCAACTTGGACCCAGTCCCACTCACGGAGTCTGTGAGGTTGGAAAGCCTTCCTCTCTCCACCCTGAGGGCCAGTCCTGAGGAACCACGAAGAGGTTCTTGGGAGTTTTTCCTGATCTCTATTGGAGGATGCGGGGGATCCTGCCCGTTATGCCAAAGAGTGAGTCCTGCAGCTTTTAGGAGCTCGAAAGCCAAGCCCGTCTCTGTTCTGATGTGGAAACTGAGGTCCAGGAAGGGGCAGTGGCTTGGCAGTGGCTTGGCAGTGGCCACTGGGCTCCTGGTGCCTTCTATGCCCTGAGTCAGGCGTGATTTCTCCTGGGCACTTCCTCTGACCTGGGTGACAGGTGAGGCCTCCTGCAGGACCCTTGGAAAGTTCCGGACTATCTGGATTATCCGAGTCTGAATGTCTTCATTCTTCATTGGGTGGGGGTTGTTTTCTCAAATGCTTTTAGGTGGTTAAACTACTTTTCTCCCTGGGGAAAATGTAACCTAGCTTTTCTTCAACTGATATTTTTTCATATCCAGCTCAAGGCATGTTGGGTTCCTGGAGGCTGCCTACTCTTGGGGGGACTACTGGGGGTGGTGGGGGGATTTGACCCAGCTCCCTGAGCACCTGCTTGGGTGAGCAGCCCTCACCTCCCCCAGTGAAAGACCCCGTCAGCCCAGGAGGGGCATGAAGCAGGAGGTACCTCTTGGCTGAGCGCTGGGCTGGGAGGAGCCCAGGAAACCCCACTCCTGGGACCTCCTGGGGCAGGACCCCCAGACATCAGGGTGCAGGGGCCTGGGGGCAGGGGTGGGTGCTCACCTGGTTCTGCAGGCGACTGGGTCCCTGGGAGAGCCAGCACCTGCTGATCACTGAGGATGGCCCTGGTGGAAGGGTACAGACAGGCCCCCTGCCTCTCCAAGCTCCCTTCCCCCACCAGTTGGGCCCTGCACTGCCCTCTGCCCGCTGGGCCCCACCTCTTGGATGAGCAGAGATGGCTTAATCCAAGACCCACTGGATAGGAAGGGAGCCCTGAGGCTGTTGGCTCCAGGGCCAGGTTAATTGAAGAAGCGATTGGATAGGGAGTGGGGAGAGGGAGGGGGCAGGGCTGGGATCATGGGGCCTCCCTCCTGCTCCCTCCCTCCTTTCTCAGAGGAGCCAACTTCAAAAGCCCTGTCCGCCTGCCTGCTCTGCTGCAGCCCGTCCAGGGAAGCCCCTTGACCAGGCTTGTTGGCTGGGCTTGGAGTGGGACCTGGAGTGGCGGCCGTACTCCCCACCTGAGGACGCCAGGATCATGTGTGAGGCCCAGTGGTGGCAGTGAGGGAGGGCCTGACCCTGCGAGCCCATGGTGAGCAGCTGCCGGCCGCTGGGGAGGGGGCTCACCTGGGCCAAGGGGCTGGGAATGTGCACAGCCCAAGAGGCTGCTTGTCTTGCTGTGCCTACTGGGAAATTCCCCCTGGTTCCCGCCACCACTGCCTGGCTCCTGGGTGCTGTGCCTGGCCTTCCCGGCAGTGTGGGGGAGGGAGTGTGCTGGCCATCCCAGTCTGCCTCCTGGGGCCGGGCCACCCTGTCCTCACAGGCTTGGCTGGTATGAGCCTTGGGCCCCTGGGGCGGGAGGGCAGACAGGCCTTCTCAGGACCCCCAGCAACCAACCTACTGTGCTGGGACTTCTGCAGCACCACTGAGGGCTCCTGCTCTCACTGTGACCTCTGACCTGCAGCAGGCAGAGGGGCGACTCTGAGTTAGCCATCATGCCTGCTGAGAATGTCTAGAGGGGTTTGAGAAAGGGCCACAGCTAACTGCATCTGCTCCTCCCGCTAGTGCTGCTGGGTGCCTCAGGCAGGAGCCCACCATGGACACCCAGGGCCAGGTGCTGGGTCGGGCTCCCCTGCCAGTGCTGGGAAGCGGAGTCGCAGAGTCGAGTCCTGTCGTCGCGCTGAGTTCACATGATTAATTTTCCAGTCGCTGTCTGACTCCAGCTTGGGGGCCTGAGGAAGAGCTTGGGGGCTGGGAACCTGGGGACAAGCCTGCCTCTCCCTGTCTCTCTCCCCCCCCCAATCTCTCTCGCCCCCTCTCTCCCTCATTCTCCCTCTCTCCCCCTCTCTTCCCTGCCCCTGTCTCTCTCCCCTTCCCCTGCCCCCTCTCCCTCCCCCCCGCCCCCCACCTCCCTTTCTCTCTCTCTCTGATGTTTGGGCTTCTGGGTGGGGCTTCTCCCCGTGAGAGCCAGTCTCCTCCATTCTAGGGGAGGGAGGTGGCCTGTGAATGGAATGTCTGGTGGGCATAATATGGCCCCTTCTTTACCTCTGTGGGTTTCCCCAGGCCTTCCCCTTCAGAAGGGATATGGCCTTGAGCTCTGAGCCTCACCCCAATCCTGGTTAGGTTAGAGGTACAGGGGGACCCCAGTTTCCATGGCTCTGAGAGCTGGTTGTAGTAGAGCCATTGATGAGAGGGGTGTTGCAGAAGAGAGATCAGTTCTGCCCCAGGCTCCTGTGGGGAGGGCAGAGCAACAGCTGTGCAGCCCAGCTGTGGGCACCCAGGGCAAACAGAGTGCTGAAGAGTAGGGGGGCGCTCACCCAGCGTAGAGCCCATCCCTGGTGGGGGTTGTGTCTGGGAGGTCTGGGGACGGGTCCAGGCACGTCAAGGGCAGGGTTGTTCTTGGAGGGACTTGCTGCTGTACCAGACCTAGGCCACCCCTGCCCTCCATGGTCTTGTGGGCACTTGGCCCCTCACTCCCGTGCAGACCAGAGCACCAGGTGCTTCTGCCTCTGGAACTCTGTCTCTTTACCAGCCCTTCAGGGCTCAGCCCACAAATCTCTGCCTGGAACATCGAGCTGTCCGGTTTGGAGACCTTTTGTCTATCCTTCCCTAAAAACTACAACGGGCAAGGATTTGTCCTGGCAGACCCATGCCTGAATCATTTGTTGAATGGTAGAGTGACATCGCCATTTTACACCAGCTCAGATTCCCCGTGGCCAAGGGATTGGGTGGGGTGGGGGGTGGAAAGCAAATTGCTCCGGGGCTGCTGGAGGTGTGGGCGCCCCACCTTGACCCGGTGACCCTTCAGGTGCCCCCCAAGCCCGTGGTCTGGGTGCTCCTGCTGGCGCTGCTAGGGATCATGCCACGCCAGGCTGCACTCCGTGCTTGCAGCGTCCCTGACGTGCTCCACCACTACCGTGCGGTCATCTTCGAGGACTTGCAGGCTGTTGTAAGACGTGTTGGGCCAGGGGCCGAAGGGACCGGGCCAGGGTCCAGAGACCTCTATTTCATTAAGAAAAACCTGACTGGAGCTGCCACCCCCCAGCGGCGTGGACTGGTGGGAGCCTCTTGTGGCGCCCAGAAGGTATGAAAGAAGCCCAGCCCTCCAGCCCCCTCCCTCCGGGCCTCTCCATAGGCTCTTCCCCCAGCACTGAATTCCTTTCTTCCCTCCCCAGGAGCACAGTATCCTCCTGTCCATCGCGTCCCTGGGTCAGACCCTGCGTGGGGCGGTGGCGGGGAGCCGCCGCGGGGCGCTGGAGAAAGCGGCATGGGCCGTGGCCGTGCGCATCGAGGCAGTGATGCAGCGCCACTGCTGGACGCTGCGCCAGGTGCGCGTCCCTCAGTGTGTGTGGGTCCAGACCCCGTCCTTCTCCCTTGTGCCCGCTGCACCTCGCACAGCCCCACGGTCTGGGGGCTCACGTCGGGCCCAGTGACCGGCGCGACTCCCTTCCCCAGGGGCTGGATGCGAGCTGCGGGCGCGGGCTCCTTCGCACTCGCTGACTGCCCCGTCCCCGACAGCGGAGCCGCAGGCCGGAGAGGCGACCCGCGCGGCGTCGTGGCGGCCGGAGGCGGCTGCTGCTGCGCGCCCTGGACGCCGTCGCCACCTGCTGGGAGAAGCTCTTCGCGCTGCGCGCCGCGGGCACAGACGGCTCCCGGCCGCCCGGGCGGCGGCGAAGAGCCGGCGGGCCGTGGATCGTGGGCGCCAGCCCGGTCGGTGGACGACTGCGCGCTCCCGGTCTCCTCGGCGGCCTCGGCTGACCGCGGGGCCCCGGCCCCTCCCCTGTCGCGGCCCCAGGACTTGGAGGTTCGAGCCCCGCGCGGCCGCGCTGGTCCGGAGGCGCCCCGCTCTCCACGCGCCAGAGAAGCCTCAATAAACTGAGCTGGTGCTGCGATGCGGTTCCCTTTCCCTTCGTCTGCCGGCCGTGAGGCCAGCCTCCCCGGGTCTGCGCCTCCACGCGGAGCGGGGCTGGGGGAGACGGCGGGCGGCGCTGCCAGCTTCGGCCAGCAGGGGGCGTCTCGGGACGCTGGACCGAACTCCCGTTCAGTCCCGGGCCCAGGTCGGGGGGCGGGGCGGAGGATTCCTGCGGCCTTAAAACGTGGCGTGTCCGTCCTGCTCTACTCGAATGGGGGAAGGGGTGGAAATGGAGGGGAGGGGAAGGCTGAGCTTTGTGAATTCGGAACAAAACAACCGGATAAAGGAAACGGGCCTGAGGGGAAGCCAGAGTCGCTGGCCCTGGCTGCAAGCGGGCCAGGCCATTTCCTGTGGCCCTGGGAGGGTCACCAAGACCCACCCCCACCCCTGGACTGGACAGGCTGGCCAGGGACCCTACATTTGCTTGGCTGGGTGAGAGGCCGACCCCTGGACTCCCCCGCCCACAGCTGCGCAGGTCTGGGGGTCCGGTGACCCCTTCCTCATCGCAGCCTATGGAGGGGGAAGTAGAGCACCTGGCCAGGGCCGACGTCCAGTGGGCTCAGCACCTATCATCATGTCCACCAGACAGGTGGACCAGCCCAGGAGGCACCAAACAGGGCTTGCTTCTGGGCACCCTGGCAGGAGGTGCAGAGAAGCCTCTATGTGGAGCAATGGGCATGGGCCCAAAACCACCACAGGGCTGACCCTGACCCAGCTCCCCGCTGGACACATGTAACACGTTTAGTCTGTGCAGTAGGAATTACTGTCACTGTTTTATAGATGAGGAAACTGAGGCCCCAGGAGGTTACAAGACTTGCCCCAAATCACACAGCCGGGAAGCGTAAGAGCTGGGGTAACACCCAGGCCCGGAGCATGGTTACACCCCCTACGCGCCCTGGGCACAGGATGGGGAGCTGAGCTTCCTGGACCTCAGTGTTTGCTGGAGTTCACATTGCTGGGGCCCTGCTGTTCGAGCCTTGGGGTGTGGCCCCGTGTCCAGGTAAGAGAAAAAAGGCCTAATTTAGTTGGGGATGAGGTGTAGGGCAGCAGAGTTGGGGGCTGGAAAAGGTCAGTAAGAGAGTCCAGGGGTCTTGGTGTAGGGACAGGCCCTCCATAGAGGCCTCCACCATGGCCCTGTTTCCCCAAGGACAGCTGGCTCCTTGCACTTGGACCTGCCCCAGCCCCCAGGTCGGTGGGCAGAGTATTCCTCTCATGGCACCTGAGCATGGCCTCCTGGGCTATCATGGCTGCTGCCCACCCATGGTGCTCCCCTCCTGCTGCTGAGAACGGTCAGACTGTGCTAGGGGGGAGGTGGGTGGGCAACAGGGCAGCCCCTCCATCCACCCATGCCTGAGGAGGGTTCGAACCACAGTCCCTGGGGGGTAGGAGGAGGAGCAGAGGCCTCAGAGTTTGGGGGATACAATCTCTGCCTGAGTCCTGGACCACGACCACATGAATGGGCAGGATGCTCCAGCACCCTGGCCTCTATTTCTCCTGGGGTCTCCTGCTGGAGCCCAGCTGGTAATATGTATGTGTGTGTGAGTGTGTGCACAGAGGTATGTCCTGGGGGGCTGCCTGCAGGTGTGTACATGCAGGAGTGTATGTTTCTGCACAGGTCCCAGCTCACACCTCCCCCTGCCTGGCAGAGCTCCTTCTCAGGCAGGCCCTCCTGATGTCTAACCAGGTCTGTCCCGGCAAATTGAGTGCCTGGCGGTGGGGATTGGAGGCTTGTGGCCTGAGTCAGTAGAACTCAGTGCTGCCCGTTCTCACTCCCAGGTGGTTCTCAGCACAGCCCCCCACCATACACCCCCTGTCCTTTCTTTCAAGGCCTCACACATGCCAAGTGGCTTTGGCGCTGGGCACAGGCTCTGCACGTCTTGCCCAGTCCTGTTCCTGCCAACTCCCCGATGCTGGGCGGGCATTGTGGGTGTGGTGGTCTGGGTCCCTGTCCCCATGTCTCAGAAACCACCTGTGCAGTTTCCTAGGGGTGCTGCAGCAAATTACCACCAACTGGGTGTTTGAACCCAACAGAAAGCTCTCACTGGCCTGAAGTCAAGCTGTCGTGGGGCTGTACTCCCTCCAGGGACTCCAAAGGGAGAATCCATTCTTGCCTCTTCACTTCTGATGGCTCCAGGCATTCCTTGGCTTGTGGCTCCCTCACTTCCAAATCTGCTTGTCTTCTCATGGCTTCTCTCCTCTTTATAAGGATCTTTGCCACTGGATCTCGTGCCTCCTGGGTAATCCAGGATGATCTCTTCCCCTCAAGATCCTTAATTACATCTGCCAAGACCCTTTCTCCAAATAAGGTCCCACTCATAGTTCCAGGAGGTGGACACAGCTTTTGTGGGGGCCACCATCAACCATTCAACCTCCTACAGCTCCTTCCTCAGGCCAGATGCGGGCAGGGTGGACTTCTGGGACAGAGTTCACTTGTCCATGGTGGGGACATCCCAACCAGACCAAGTCTAGGGGCAGGCACACAGCTACATCGGGCTGCCAAGGGACAGAGACTAGAGAGAACAGTGGGGGTGCCCCGCTCAGACCCTGAGACGCCCCTTCAGACTTCAGTGCCAGGACCCCTTTGTGGATTGTTTGCAGCCGCACATGAGCTGCTCAGTTAGCGTTCGCTGGCTGGAGCTGACTGGCACTGACGCAGAGGTGGGAAGAGACAACCACGGGCACAGCCATTGGCCATGGGGCCACTGGGGCAGAGTGCTGGCAGCATGACCGGTGCATGGGCCCTGCGTGTCTGTGGACTCGAGGTGTCTGCCAGGCCAGCCTGCTCTGCTCTCCCTGCTGAAGACGGAGCATGTGGCCTGAGCCTGGTGCTTCCTCCATAAGACATTGTTTCTGGGGCACATATGTGGTCGGGTTGGGGCCTGCACCCAGTGGTGGTATCCCATCTCACACGTGCTTTCCCTACTGCTGCCAGGGAGCTGGGGGCTGGGGCCCAGAAGGAGGAGGGGCTGTATGAGGGTGGCAGATGGGGCCGCAGGGCACTGACCAGGGTTGTGCAACTTCCTGCAGCCAGGGAGCCAAACCCCCCACCCCCAGCCCATGCAGCGCTGAAAGGCAGGGGGGGCCAGGCAGGCTTTGAAGGGTAGCCCGGGTCCCATGGCCTCCCCAGACTGAGAGCCTTTGAAAGAACATCTGGAACACTGGCAACCAGCAAACTAGTCTCTGGATTTGAAAAACCAAAAAGTTAATCCCAACTGTGTCCCTGTGTGTTCCCCACCCCCACCTCCCACCTCCCACCTCTGCCCCTTCCCAGGTGGCAAACAGGCCGCAGGGGTGGGGTCCATGCCAGCCCAGTGCACTGGCCCTTCTGAGGGCTGCAGGCTGCCCTGCCCCGGGGTCCTTTTCTGAGCTCTGGCAGCACCTCCCCCCACCCCCCCACACACTGGCCACCACCCCAGTCCAACTGAGCAAGGGGAGGTGGTACAGAGCCCAGTGCCTCCATGCCCAGGCTTCGTGCTCCTGGAGCCGAGGCTATGGGACAGGACGTGGGTTCACCGGGCCGTCCATCTGGCGCTGGGTGCTGAGGAGGCTGCGGCAGCATGCAGACTGGGAGGCTCAGGAGGAAGCACCTGCACGCAGCCCTGGAGGATGCGCCGGCCCTGCTGGCACTTGGCCCTGTGTGTGAGCCTGAGTGTGGGGTCCCCCAGCCCTGCAGGTGTGCAAGGAGGCCCCCTACGCCAGCTGTGGTTGGTGCAGAAACAAACAAGGCCCCCCCACCAGGAAGCAAAGCAAATACTGCTGGTGGGGAGTGCCAGGTGCTGGAGACCATTGTCCCTGCCAGTGGCCTGCGGGACCCTGGGGAGGGGGTGCCCAGGGACAGTCCCCATCCTGGCCCCTCCCTAGGAAAAGACCCAGCTTTGTAAACAAAGAAACAAACAACCATTGCAACCCCTCCCCCAAGAACAAGCAGGGAGCTGGCACCTGCTGGGGGAAGTGAGTCTTTGTTTGGGGGGAAATGGGGAGGTCAGAGGAGGGGCTGTAGTGTGTGTTGTGGGCAGGTGCGGCATCCTGGGGTGGACGCTGGCCCCCGGGGGTCACCTTCGGCTGTGTCCTGAAGGGACCTCTGCTCACGTCTGGGAGGGGCACCGCCTGGCTCTGTGAAGTCCTGTCGCAGGCCTTGTCGCCTCCCTCCAGGGCCCAGTTGTGATCGTTGTGGCTTGGGGGTGAGGTGGCCCAGTCCGCCGGCCGCCCCCGCGTCCCCTGCCGGCCTGCGCGGGGCGTGAGGCCAGGGGTCCGGCTGCGGCCCGAGATAAGCGCCGCACCCGCCGCCGCTTCCTGCGCTTCCTCCCGCGCCGCCGCCGCGCGCCCCTTCCTGTTTTCTCGCGGCCGGGCGGGGCCGCGGGGGCCGGGGGGCCGCCGGGGCCGGGGGCCTTGGGGACGGGCCGGGGGCGTGGGGAACAGGAGGCGTGGGGGACGGGCCCGGGGCGTGGGGGCCGCAGGGGATGGGGTGGGGGTGTGAGGGACAGGGGGCCGCGGGGGACTGGGGGACGCGGGGACGGGGGCCTGCGGGGGCAGAGGGTGTGGGGGACCGGCCGGGGGGCCGCGGAGGCCGGGGCCGGGGCGCGGGGAACAAGGCCGAGGGCGAGGAGCTCCCACGGTGCTTGCACCCCACCCGGGGGAATTCCCCTAGAGGCTGAGCGCTGGTGTGGAGGTAGGGGAGGTGGGAGGAAGCCGGAGTGGGCTGGGGCCTGAAACCCAAAGTGGAGGAATCTTGGGCTCCCACCCAGCCCCCTCCCCAGTCCTGGGCCAGGAACCTCCACACACGGCCAAGACCTTGGGGGACTGGACCTGAGCGTGTTCCTTAGGGCCCCTCCCCAGTCTGTTGCATGAAGCAAGGTGGGCTGGGGTGGAGGATTGAGTTTCGATTTTGGGGGGGCCCATGAGGATTGCAGGTCACTAGCTCTGGACCCCCTTTTTGGGATCAGCTGCTCTAGCATATAGATTTAAGGTGCTTCTCACTCAGACTTGGTTATTTGAGTTACAAATTTATGTAATTTTAATGAAAACACGCATCTACGCAAAACCTTGCATGATCATAGCAACATTCTTCACAATCCCCCAAACATGGAAACAGCCTGAATGTCCATCAGCTGATGAATAGATAGAATGGATCCATCCACACAATGGAATATTATTCAGTCCTAAAAAGGAACGAAGTGCTGATTCATGCTACAACAGGGATGAACTTTGAAAACATCATGTTCAGTGAACAAAGCTAGACTCAAAAGGCCACTTTGTATGATTCTATTCATATGAAATGTCCAGAACAGGCAAATCCACGGAGACGGAAAGTAGATTAGTGTTTCCCAGGGACTGGGAGCAGGAGGAATCAGGAGTGATGCTAATGGGCATGGGTTTCTTTTTGGGATGATGGAAAAGTGCTAAAATTGGACAGTGGTAATGGTTGCACCTACTAAAACCACTAACTTGCCTACTTGAGAATGTAGGTGGGCTTTGTAGAATGTGAGCTCCATGGGGCCGGCCCCGTGGCCGAGTGGTTAACTTCGCGCGCTCCTCTTTGGCTGCCCAGGGTTTCGCCAGTTTGGATCCTGGGCGCGGACATGGCACCGCTCATCAGGCCATGCTGAGGCGGTGGCCCACATGCCACAACTAGAAGGACCCACAACTAAAAATACGCAACTATGTACCGGGGGGCTTTGGGGAGAAAAAGGAAATATAAAATCTTTAAAAAGAAAAAAAGAATGTGAGCTCCATAGCTGGATCATGTCAGTGCTGTCTGGTTGAGTGGAGGGAGCTTAGGTTCCTCCTGCCCGCCCAGCATGGCCTTCTTGGGGTCTGAGTATGAGCACAGCCTTGGCCCTGGTGTGTCTCTTGGTGTGGTGTGTGGCTGGGTGTGGGTGGGGGCGTGTGGTGTTCCCAAAGGTGTCTGAGGTGATGGTGTGTCTACTGGGGAGAGGGGTGCACCTTCTTGCTCTCAGCAGCCCCTGCCAGACCTCCTCCCCTGGTGGCTTGCTGGGGAGGGCTCAGCACCTCAGCCCAGGTCACTCCAGGGCCAGGCTGGGTCCCGGGCGTGGGAGCTGTGGCTTTTGCCAGGCAGGGCTGCTAGAACTTCCCGCCAGGAGCTAGGCGGCCTGGGTCTGTTCCTGGCGGGTCTGACTCAGCGGGAGCTGGGGGTGGGGACTTCCCTTCTCTAACCCTTGGGGAAGCAGGTGGGTGGAGCCAGGAGGGGGAGGGGTGGGAAGCCCGACCCAAGGCAGGAGCCACCCAGGCCCGGGGCTGTGGTCCTGCCTAGGAGGGCGGCTCCATGTAGCTCCGGCAGAGCCAGGCCTTTTGGGAGCTCCCCAGTCAAGGCGCTGGGCAGAGGATCCTCTAAGCAGACCCCTACCCCACCCTCTGTGCTGGCCCACTGCTGCTGAGGAGCAGCTATTTGAAACAGCTGCCCTCGGTGGGAGGCCCCTTTCATGTTCCCGTTCTGCTCCTGCTCCTGGATGCCCCCAGCCCCTGGCGCTGGGGACTCGCTCCAAATTGGGCCCCTCACTGGTCTCCCACCCTGGCACTGGGGAAGGGGCTTCTGGGGAGCAAGCTGTTCTGCCTCCTTGGGCAATGTCCTCCCTACTCTGGCAATGGGGTGTGCTGCCACCTCAAGGCACTCTTATGGCCCCACATCCCACTGATCCCAGGGGCCTGGAGGGGCAGATCCTCTGGATTAGGGGGGAGGGAGGCGGGGGGAGTCAGGAGCCCAAAGAAGGGGATGTGAGAATACTGCTCCAGCCTGTGCCAGAAAACAGGAGAGACAGACGTAGCATCCGCTCGTCCAGGACCTGTTCTGTGTGTGTCCATGGGTGTCTCTGGGGTGAGGGCACGGATGGGACAATGGCTGGGCCCAGGTAGTGAGGCCCTCTGTGGGGCTGTTCACATAGCAACAGGACTGGCTGGGCTGGTCCTCCCTCCCCCTGCCCTGGCCAGGGATGGGGTACAGAGGTGGGAGGGTCCACACCTGGGCAGAGGCTCCTGGACTCTGGCTGCCGTGGGTCTCGTCCCTACAGTGGGCTATCCCCACAGTGGGCGCTCCTTGGCCCAGCTGACCCAGGGCCCCAGGGGTGGGTCACCTGTCCCCCAGGGGGGCAGGTCCAGAGCAGGAGTTGGTGGGCTGTGAGGGTTGGGTGTGGCTTGCACACTCATAGGTGATGTGTGCTTCTCTTCATGCATGAGCCCAGGACTCAGCATGGGTTCCCCTCCATGACGTATGTGGCTGGATTGGACCACCCTTGTCCCTTTGTGCCTCAGCTTCCCTGCCTCCCTACTGTGTGCCAGCACTCATGTATGCTTTGAAGGAGCAAATGACGCCACTGGTGTCCCCTGGGCTATTTCTGTCTGTCCCTCCACCTGCTCAGGCCATCTCTCTCCACCTCGGAGTCCATCTCCCACCCTCCTCCGCTTGTCTGTTTCTGTCCCTTTATGTGTATCTCTCTCTGTCCCTTTGTCTTTGAGTTTTCTGGGCCCTCCTGCCGATGGGGTGGGGATGGGGGCCCAGGTGCAGCCCCCTCACTCCGCCAGCTGAGATGTGGGGCTTTTGCCAGTTAATACAAAGATGATGTCAACCTGCCTCCGAGAGGCAGGACACCTGAGGATAGCCCCACAGTCTGTTCACCTCCCTGCACACTCAGGCAGCAGCGTGGACACCCAGGCTTGCTGTACGTCCGTGTGCAGTCTCAGACACCATGGGCGTCACACACAGAGTCACCCTCAGGGCTGGTCACACAGAAGCACATGGCCACACTGTCACAGCATCACAGCCACACACACACATGTACACACTCACTCACACATATGCAGATTCAGTCTCACCAGTAGTTGACTCACAGAACCACACACATTGTCATACAGAACCCTCATGTGTCACAGACACCCGCACTCGCAGGCACTCGGAAGACTGAATTCAGTGACTTTCCCACATCAGGGTTGTCAGGAGTCACCTGTATCCCTCAATATGCTATGGGGGTGGGCGCTGGGGTAGGATAGACCAAGGGGACACATGACCCCTCCTCTTGGCTTAGAAGACCTGCTAGGCCCTGAGAAGTATGTGAATGAGCAGGGGATTCACTTCTGGGGGTGTCATGGATCCTGTCCCAGGAAAGAATCACCCAGGATGATTGCTGCCAACTTCTCTTGAACCTGTGGGCTCCTCAGTGAGGGGCACTGGGAAGGAACTTGGAGTACCAAGGAGGAAGTGTGAACAGAGGGTGTCCAGTCTTGCTGGGAGGGGCATAGGGCTAGTGTGATGGGGCTCCAGAGTTTAGGGCTTGAGATGTGCAGCTTGAGCCCTGCTGGTCTGGTCATTGACCTGGACAGGTCACCCTAGGGAGCAGTGTAGCTGACATGGTGCTGCTCTCTCTGAGGACACTGGATTGAGACTGACAGTCAGGGGCCCTGTGATGCACGTCTGCAAACAGATTTTGACACACACACACACTCCCCCACCTCCCTGGGAGAAGGGCACTGTCCTGGGCAGGTCTTGGGCTTGAAGGAAGTTCCAAGGAGGAGATGAGGATGGTGAAACCTGGGTGGGGATGGAGGGGGGTTGCTGGGTTAGTCTGATCCTTATTAGGCTTAAGATGGGTGGGCCAGGAGGGGAATGGAGGGCTGGCAGGGTTAGGGGACCGCACGTGTGCTTCCCAGCAACTCTGCATGAGGGGCGCATCCTGGAAGGATGAAGTGGGGGCTGTGGGGTCCTCGCTGGGGTCAGGCTCTCTGGGGGCCATCTGGAGGGAAGGGCACAGCCAAGGGTGCTCCAACAAGCACAGACGCTGGTGGCAGAGGAAAGGTGAGGGGCTTTATTGTGGCTTTGCCTGGCCCAGGGGGACCCAGCTCCGGCTCCTCCTTTCCTTTACAGCAAAAAAGCGTTGTTATTCCTCACGTTTAAAAAGCCCCTGCTACATGGATGCTTTTGATCAGTGAAATCCCTTAGAAAAAGTTAAAGGTTTAATAAAAATTAAATATGTTGTATTATGTATATAAAAAAGGCAAAGTAAAAAATACAGCTTGGTTCTAGAAAATACACTGCAGGAAAAGGATTAGGCGCTTCAAAAACTTAACCTTGGCAGGGCCAGCCAACAGGTCATAGGCCTGGGCTCCCTGGAAAAGCCCCGGGCGTGTGGGAACCACCCCAGCAGGATGCCCGCGGCGGCGGCCGCTGAGCGCACGCGTCGCTGGTTCCCGCGGGGCTGTTCCAAGTAGCCTGCAACGTACACCCGCGACAGACAGAGCGGCGACACACGGCGTGGGCCGCCGGCCTAGCCGGAGATGCATGCGCTGTAGTAGACGGCGCTGCTGGCGTCGGACAGCGCGGCTATCAGGCTGCTCTCCTCCGGACAGGACATGGCACGCGGGCCCAGCTTGGCCAGCGCCACGTGGTATGGGAGCCCGGTGGCGTCGGGCCGAGTCCGGCTGCAGTTGAGGTACTGGTCGAACTCGGTGAGGTCCACGTCGGCCCACAGGTCGGCGGCGGGCCCCAGGGGCTCCGCGCCCTCCAGCGGCGGGGCCTCGGGCGGCGGCGACAGCGGGCCGGGATACGGGCCCGGGCCGGGCGCGCCCAGGGCACCGTAGTAGAGGCCGGAGAGCGGCGCGGCGGGGGCCGGCGCGGTCCTGAGCGCCTCGGCCAGGGGCGCCCCGTAGCAGCCACCGGGGTCCCGGGGCAGCTCGGCGGGGGCGTAGGGCGCGCGGAAGGGCCGCAGCGCGCAGTCCTCGGGTGCGGCGGGCGGCGGGAAGAAGGCGGCCTCTCCAGGCTCCAGGCCGTCCAGCGGCGAGCGCTCGGGTGTGGGCAGCCCCAGGCCGTCGAACTCTGCGCCCAGCGTGGGCAGCTCGCGGAAAACACGGGCCGGCCCGGGCGCCGCGGGGAAGGGCTCGGGCGGCGGCGGGGGCGCCAGGCCCGGGAGCAGGAGGCCGGGCTCCAGCCGCCGGGCCTTGCGCGCCTGCTTCTTGCGGCGCGGCCGGTACTTGTAGTTGGGGTGGTCGCGCAGGTGCTGCACGCGCAACCGTTCCGCCTCTTCCACGAAGGGCCGCTTCTCGGCTGTGCTCAGCTCCTTCCACGCCTTGCCTGCGGGGCGCGGGCGCGGGTCAGTGGGGGGCCGTCGGGCGGGCGCACTGCCGGGCCCTGCGTGCGCCCTGGGCGCGCCGCGAGGGTAGGGAGCGGCCCTTGCCCATTCTGATCCCCTTCCACGAAGTCCCCCTCCCCCGACTGCTCACCCTTCCCGCCCGTCCGCGTCACTCACCCAGCATCTTGCTGAGCACCGCGTTGTGCAGGTCTGGGTTCTGCTGCGCCAGCCGCTTGCGCTCGTCCTTCGCCCACACCATGAAGGCATTCATGGGCCGCCGGATGCGCGACTCGTCGGCCGTCTGGCGCTCTCCGCGGCTGGCCGGGCTGAGGCCATAGCGCCCCGGCTCGGGGCTTCGCGGCGGGCTGCGCTGCGGACTGGGCGGCGAGGCGGGCGCGGCGGGCGCGGCGGGGGCGGCGGGGAGGCCGCGCGGCTCAGGGGCGGCCCCGAGTCCCGGGGCCCATGCACAGTCGCGGCGGGCTGGCGGGTCGTCCTGTGCGCCGTAGCCGGGCGGCGATCTCTGCATTCCAGCTAGGCGCGGCCTGGGCGGAACGGAGCGCGGGAGCGCGGAGGGTGGGCGGCTGGCACTGCGGGACGGGTGCAGAGGGCGGGCCGGGACAGGCGGACGGACGGCGGTGGCCTCGCGCCGGGTGGGCGCCCAGATATAGCGGCGCGGGGCCAATCGGCGGCGCTGCGGGCGGGGCGGGGGGGGGGGGGGGGGGGGGGGGGGGGGGGG